GCTGTTTCCGATCAAGTGCACCCGTTTGTCGGGAGAAGGGTGGATTGATGTGACCGAGAGGGACTTGCCCTCTGGCGTCGCGAATGCCAAGGTCTCGCACTTCGCAAAGGTTGTCTACCGAAAGGTCGCGGAGTCGATGAAGCCCGATCACTTGGTAGAACCAGAGGCGGTGAAGCTAGTTGTGGGAAACGATGTTTTCGAAGTCTCTCAGTTGATGACTATGTCCAGGCAGGAGATGACTCCGTTTTTTGGTGAACGTTTCGCAGGGCAGGCATCTTCATGCGTGATCATTGTTGCTGACGACGAGGACGCGTTCGACGAGATCAAGCAGACGTTGACGAGTCTAGGGAATCGACGTCTGCCCAGCCCGGAAACGGAAGATGGCGCTCTCGCGAAATCCGGCAAGATGGGAAAAGCCCTTCGCCAGGTACACACTAGAACGAAGCTCAAAGAGCTCGTTGGAATAAACCCTTGGGTGCTTGATTATGGCGGCCCACAGATGCAAAGCGATCACGAGATTCTGCTCGAGGCTAAGCGCAAGGGCCTGAACAGAGACCGCGAGACTTTGCTTGGGGCTGTACGGTACGATGGCTTGGTGCTGAAACATGCGGATGATGTGCGGAACCGTGACCGCGAAATTGTGCTCGCGGCTGTGCGGAAGCATGGCTTGGCGCTGGAATTTGCGGCATGCGAGTTGAAAAGTGACCACGAGATTGTGCTCGAGGCTGTACGGAACGACGGCAGGGCGCTACAATATGCGGATGACGCGTTGAAAAATGACCCCATCTTCATCTGCCGGCATATACTGATGGTGTGCGGAACCGCGACCGCGACATTGTGCTCGAGGCTGTGCGGCAGCATGGCTTAGCGCTGGAATTTGCGGCACGCGGGTTGAGTGCGCGAGGCGTAGATAGGTGGCTCCGTGAGCTCGCGCTAGTTCTTCTACAAGGCAGGCCCCTTCTTTGTTCTTCTCTTAGTTCGTAGGTTCGGGCCACGTCCCCGATTCAAGCCACGTCAATAAATGTTGGTGGAGTTGTAGACAAGTAGGCAACAAAAAAACAAAAAGCTGCAGTATGCAGCTGACGCGTTGAAAAGTGACCGCAAGGTTGTGCTCCAGGCATGGCGCTCCGATATGCGTCAGCCGAGATGAATAACAAGATCCCACTCCCAGCAGCTTGTTTTGAGAGGTCGTTTCGCCCCTCATACGAGGACGAGCAATTATTTGCGAGACTAGCTACGAAAGGCACCAGAGGACTCGCGAAACAAGCCTGCTTCAAGTCCGAGAACGAAGATGGTACTCAATCATACCAAATTCCTTTCAAATATTGTTGATATTCAAACTCACGGGTTTTGTCTGTTCGACCGAGTTGTTCAAGTCGGAACTCGCAGTGAGCATTGTTGTGGAGGCTATAAGGGACCGCGAGACTTTAAGTCTTACTCTTAGGTGGCTTACTTTTTTTTTGAATTTACTTTCAATAACTCACGTCGATTGGATGGATTTTGAAGGGTCTCCGGAGTCGAGAACGAAGTGTTCTGTTGCTTGTGTTGACGGTTCTTGTTCTTGTAGTTCTTGAGAGGTAACTGCTCTTTCTCTGCTCTTGAAAAGATTTACTTCTCTCTGATGAAAATACTTAGAAGACTCCCGTCTTCGAGCAATGGCCAGGATGAAGTAGTGCTACAAGTGCTAGATTTCTTAGCAGTCAATTCTCATACTGGGAGGAAGAGAGGGATGTCTTGAAGAACGTGGTGTTGAAGAGAGAGATGTCTTGAAGAACGTGGTGTTGAAGAGAGGGATGTTGAAAAGAAGGAGCTGCACTAAAGTTTGGTATAAGATCATGAAACAGGTGGGTGAATGAATGAATGAATGAATTTTCTTGGTACAACTAGTAAAGAACCAGAACTTATACTCAATAGATACTTAATGAACTTGCATTCGAAAAAAGGAGAAGGAACAAAAAGAGATCATGAGCGAGCTGTGAGTACTATACTTCATCTACATTTATAATTGTCATATTGTACTAATTGATAGCAAAAAAACTAAAACATGAGCGAGCACCTTCGACGCATCGTACATCGTGATCCGCCAGCGTGGACAGGCATAAAATTTCGCTGTGCGAAGCTGCATCGGGTGGTGGACAGCACAGGGTTATGGATAGAATTATTAATGGGTTCACTAAAAAGACTACTTAGTCATTAATATTACTATGCTCAGGGGACGAGACATTCTCGTGAATCACTCTTCAGGGACCGACGGTGACACTGTCATCTTCCTGCTCACAGGATTTACTATAATATGCGTCCTCCCCAGAGCTACAACTTTTTCTCAAATAATTGAACAACCACCCTGGAAAGCATATTAAGGGCGTACAACATACTGTCGCCGACAAATCTACTGCTATCTTCTGAAGAGGCGTACTCCTATTTACAATTATTGAACAACGACGTATAATTGAAAATAGGAGTACGCCTCTTCAGGAGTACGGCTCTTGAATAGAGTACGGCTCTTGAATTGAGTATGCTATCACAGGCTAGCGCAGGGATGACGACATCCCTGCGCTGCTGTTAAGTTTATTAAGTCACTTCGGGCTGTCTCGTGTAAGTATAAGGTCTAGACTTAGAAAACAAGGCCGCGAGGGTCTGATATACTGGCAAAGTGCATGACTTTAAGGAAAAAGGGGAAGAAGAGAGAGGAGGGAAATACCGCAGAGACAAGAAGGGAGAAACTTGCCCGCTACTTTCTGGAAGCGGCCAGCGATTGGCAGCAAAGAACTTGGGTCCGAACTGAAGGGAATGCTTACAGAAGTGCGCTGCTTTGACGGCAAGCGTCTCGCGTGAAAGTATCGCCAAAGGGCTGCGCGCGTCAGAGCAGGGAAGCTTCGCACAAATCAACTGAAAAGAACCCAGGCGGCGCGACTTGACTGCACGCGACGCGCGTGAGAGATATGCGCCGCGTCTTCAGTCAGTCATACAGTAGCCACGCAATGGCCGAAGCCTCAGCAGTATTGTATACTGCTGAAAAAGTTGAGAACTGCCACTCAGCAGAAGAAAGGCCACCTCATTCAGAGCCCGACGGGCCTGGTGCTGCTGCAGACAGTTGCTGCGCGCGACATTTTTGAAGAAGTTGCAAACTCTTGCGCGCAAGATAATGGATTCGCACCAGATTGAGACAGCGCGCCCGCTCGAAAATTTTGACCAGTATACGCGAGAGGCCCAGCCTAGCTCTTGCCACTGTGTTGCTTGTCCAATGCGGTGAAAACCTTGAAGAGCTTGCTGGCAGCAAGAATCGGAACAATCTTAGAGGCCGAGCGAATCAGAAAAACAAAAACAGCGACCATCCCACGATCGAGAGAGAACTTGCCAAAGCGCCCCACACAGAGGGAACACCTAAAGGAGAGGACTTGGCCAGCGAATTAATAGAGAGCAAACATGTAGCACGTACGGACTACCTGGATTCGATAGGCCAGCACTTTGACCGGCTTGCGCCAAACGAATTGAGATTATAGCGGGTTGCGCTGTTTCAGATATTGGCGAAACCGTCGCGGGGGAGCTTGTCCATGCTTCTCCATGATACAAAAACCGCGCAACGGGGTAGCCTGAAGGGGGGCCAAAGTGCTGCACTGCTGCCAGGCTTCTGCCTTCTACCATAAAACAAGCGCGGCGCTTATCGCTTTGAGCCTGTGGCCGTGGCTTATTGAATCCCGCAGCGGCTAAAGCAGTGCGTAGCATAGTCCAAAGCGAGCGACTTGGTTGGTTCCGCTGGTTTTAAGATTGCGATCAGCGAAGCGAGTGCTTAAGAAGCATGTCTTCGCTGGCTCGCGAGTTAGAAGTAGATCGATGCGGTGAGAATCCTATACGCTAACACTGACGAAGCAGCAAAAGTCTTGGCGCGTTGTGGTTGATCTTGGTGGTAACGGCTGCAGGGATGAGATGGCACCCCGCCCCACCCGATCGGTGGGCTTACATCATCACCATCGCCCTGATCTTGGTGGTAGCACAGTAGTGCCCATTTTCCATAGTGTTCCCGTGCTTCATGCTCATGCGTGGACAGTGCTCGCGCCCGTGAACTGTGAAGACCATCCCAGCCGCATTGCTGGGCTGGTGTTTTGTTTTCTTTGGTTTCCAATTCCAAAAAGAAACTGGCCGCAAGTGTCTCCGTCGTCGTTCCCGTTCAGCTGGCGCCGGCGCATGTGCGACATCTTTTGCCCCGGAAGGAGCACGCTAACGGCATGACTTGCAGCAAAGACATGACAAGAAAGCAGAAGAAAACGCGGAGCGTTTGAATTCTATGCATAGAGAGCAAAAGAGAGACCAGGCCCGACCTCGATGGCATAACAGTGAAGCGCGCAGCTCTAACGTGCTTCGTGGCTTTGTTTTGCTTTTTTGTCCGGTTTCGCTCCTCTCATCCATGTCGCGCGCAGTGCATCAGCTGAAGTGAACTGTCGACACCGATGGCGTCGCTTGCAAAAGATGCAAGAGAACACGCGCGCGATGCTAGACGCGTGAGCCAGGTGATGCAAATCCCGCGCGCTGATGTGAGATGGCTCCTCCTTTGATTGTGCAGCCCATATGGCAAAACTAAGGTGTGTTTTGACGAGGTTTGTTTGTATTCTCCTTTGTCCGTTTTTCGTGGAAACCCACGAATTGCGGACAATTTGGAGCCCACGCGGTGTTGTCTCTACTCTCTAGTGAAAGAAGGGAGTGGCTTGGACCGGCGTCCGCTTTTCGTGGGAACCCACGCGGAAAGGGTTGGGGGTCGTGTTGTTCGTTATGCTCGTGGCTGTCGTGGAGAGCCTTTCCCCACTAGGTCTGAGGTATCTCTATCTAGCATCTGCTGCTGCTGGTGCCGTCAGCTCTAGCGGAGGGGAGCGCTTGGCTGGGAGTCCGTTTTTCGTGGGAACCCACGAAAAGCGGACCGCGTCGCGCTTTATGCTTGTGGTCCTTGGTTGGGAGTCCGTTTTTCGTGGGAACCCACGAAAAGCGGACCGTGTTGCCCTTTATGTTTGTGGTCGTCTTGATGAACATGTTACAGCTGAGGTGTGAGGTATCTGCTGGCGGGCATCGTCTCGAATGAAGCGCACGGCTTCGCCCGGCGTCCGTTTTTCGTGGGAACCCGTGAAAAGCGGACCGCGCTACGCTTTATGCTTGTGGTCGTCTTAAGCCTAATCCTAATGAAGAAGAAGATGCTACCCGTGAGGCGTGGGGTATCTGTTGGTCTTGGTGGTGTCGTCTCTAGTGAAGGGAGTGGCTTGGGCCGGCGTCCGCTTTTCGTGGGAACCCACGAGGAAAGGGCTGGGGGTCGTGTTGTTCGTTATGCTCGTGGTTGTCGTGGAGAGCCTTTCGCCACTAGGTGCGAGGTATCTCTATCTAGCATCTGCTGCTGCTGGTGCCGTCAGCTCTAGCGGAGGGGAGCGCTTGGCTGGGAGTCCGTTTTTCGTGGTAACCCACGAAAAGCGGACCGCGTCGCGCTTTATGCTTGTGCGTGGTCCTTGGTTGGGAGTCCGTTTTTCGTGGGAACCTACCCACGAAAAGCGGACCGTGTTGCGCTTCAGGTTTGTGGTCGTCTTGATGAAGATGTTAGTGCTACAGCTTAGGTGTGAGGTATCTGCTGGTGGTAGGCATCGTCTCGAGTGAAGCGCATGGCTTGGCCCGGCGTCCGTTTTTCGTGGGAACCTGTGAAAAGCGGACCGCGCTACGCTTTATGCTTGTGGTCGTCCTAATGAAGAAGAAGATGCTACCCGTACCCGCGAGGCGTGAGGTATCTGCTCCTGCTGGTGGTGTCGTCTCTACTGAAGGGAGTGGCTTGGCCCGGCGTCCGCTTTTCGTGGGAGCCCATGAGGCAAGGGCTGGGGGTCGTGTTGTTCGTTATGCTCGTGGCTGTCGTGGAGAGCCTTTCTCCACTAGGTGCGAGGTGTCTCTATCTAGCATCTGCTGCTGGTGCTGCCGTCAGTTCTAGCGGAGGGGAGTGCTTGGCTGGGAGTCCGTTTCTCGTGGTAACCCACGAAAAGCGGACCGCGTCGCGCTTTATCCTTGTGGTCCTTGGTTGGGAGTCTGTTTTTCGTGGAAACCCACGAAAAGCGGACCGTGTTGCCCTTTATGTTTGTGGTCGTCTTGATGAAGATGCTACAGCTGAGGTGTGAGGTATCTGCTGGTAGGCATCGTCTCGAGTGAAGCGCACGGCTTGGCCCGGCGTCCGTTTTTCGTGGGAGCCCCCCCGTGAAAAGCGGACCGCGCTACGCTTTATGCTTGTGGTCGTCCTAGTCCTAATGAAGAAGAAGGTGCTACCCGTGAGGCGTGGCGTATCTGTTGGCGGTGTCGTCTCTAGTGAAGGGAGTGGCTTGGGCTGGCGTCCGCTTTTCGTGGGAACCCACGAGGAAAGGGCTGGGGGTCGTGTTGTTCGTTATGCTCGTGGCTGTCGTGGAGAGCCTTTCGCCATTAGGTATGAGGTATCTCTATCTAGCATCTGCTGCTGCTGCTGCCGTCAGCTCTAGCGGAGGGGAGCGCTTGGCTGGGAGTCTGTTTTTCGTGGTAACCCACGAAAAGCGGACTGCGTCGCGCTTTATGCTTGTGGTCCTTGGTTGGGAGTCCGTTTTTCGTGGGAACCCACGAAAAGCGGACCGCGTTGCGCTTTATGTTTGTGGTCGTCTTGATGAAGTTGGTGGCGTCATCTCTACTGCAGGGATTTGCTTGCTCCGGCGCCCCTTTTTCGTGGGAACCCACAAAGAGTGGGCTGCTCTTGGGCATCGTGGGGAACACGTTACCCGCGGCCGGAGGGGTCACTTGGCTTGGGGTCGGTTTTTCCGTGGAGCCCACGAAAAGCGGACTGCGCAGCGCGTTGTGGTCGGTGATCATCGGCGTCGTCGATCGTCTGTGGCGTCGATTGGTTGCGCCGTTTGTCGGCGGTGCCGTCGATCGTCTGCGTCGTCGATCGTCTTTGTCGTTATCTCCCCTAGGCTAGCCCTAGCGCAGGCGTGTCGTCATGACCTCGAGGACATGAAGGCGCGTGGGCTGGAGTCCGCTTCTCGTGGGACGGCGTTGCGCGTCTTGCCGATCTCGTCAGTCGTCGGTCGTCGATCGTCAGTCGTCGATCGTCAGTCGTCGATCGTCTGTCGTCGATCGTCTGTCGTCGATCGTCAGTCGTCGATCGTCAGTCGTCGATCGTCAGTCGTCGATCGTCAGTCGTCGATCGTCAGTCGTCGATCGTCAGTCGTCAGTCGTCGGTCGTCAGTCGTCGATCGTCAGTCGTCGATCGTGATCGTCAGTCGTCGATCGTCGATCGTCCGTCGTCGATCGTGATCGTCAGTCGTCGATCGTGATCGTCAGTCGTCGATCGTGATCGTCAGTCGTCGATCGTGATCGTCAGTCGTCGATCGTCATCGTCAGTCATCGATCGTCAGTCGTCGATCGTCCGATCGTCAGTCGTCGATCGTCAGTCGTCGATCGTCAGTCGTCGATCGTCAGTCGTCGATCGTCAGTCGTCGATCGTCAGTCGTCGATCGTCAGTCGTCGATCGTCAGTCGTCGATCGTCAGTCGTCGATCGTCAGTCGTCGATCGTCAGTCGTCGATCGTCAGTCGTCGATCGTCAGTCGTCGATCGTCAGTCGTCGATCGTCAGTCGTCGATCGTCAGTCGTCGATCGTCAGTCGTCGATCGTCAGTCGTCGATCGTCAGTCGTCGATCGTCAGTCGTCGATCGTCAGTCGTCGATCGTCAGTCGTCGATCGTCAGTCGTCGATCGTCAGTCGTCGATCGTCAGTCGTCGATCGTCAGTCGTCGATCGTCAGTCGTCGATCGTCAGTCGTCGATCGTCAGTCGTCGATCGTCAGTCGTCGATCGTCAGTCGTCGATCGTCAGTCGTCGATCGTCAGTCGTCGATCGTCAGTCGTCGATCGTCAGTCGTCGATCGTCAGTCGTCGATCGTCAGTCGTCGATCGTCAGTCGTCGATCGTCAGTCGTCGATCGTCAGTCGTCGATCGTCAGTCGTCGATCGTCAGTCGTCGATCGTCAGTCGTCGATCGTCAGTCGTCGATCGTCAGTCGTCGATCGTCAGTCGTCGATCGTCAGTCGTCGATCGTCAGTCGTCGATCGTCAGTCGTCGATCGTCAGTCGTCGATCGTCAGTCGTCGATCGTCAGTCGTCGATCGTCAGTCGTCGATCGTCAGTCGTCGATCGTCAGTCGTCGATCGTCAGTCGTCGATCGTCAGTCGTCGATCGTCAGTCGTCGATCGTCAGTCGTCGATCGTCAGTCGTCGATCGTCAGTCGTCGATCGTCAGTCGTCGATCGTCAGTCGTCGATCGTCAGTCGTCGATCGTCAGTCGTCGATCGTCAGTCGTCGATCGTCAGTCGTCGATCGTCAGTCGTCGATCGTCAGTCGTCGATCGTCAGTCGTCGATCGTCAGTCGTCGATCGTCAGTCGTCGATCGTCAGTCGTCGATCGTCAGTCGTCGATCGTCAGTCGTCGATCGTCAGTCGTCGATCGTCAGTCGTCGATCGTCAGTCGTCGATCGTCAGTCGTCGATCGTCAGTCGTCGATCGTCAGTCGTCGATCGTCAGTCGTCGATCGTCAGTCGTCGATCGTCAGTCGTCGATCGTCAGTCGTCGATCGTCAGTCGTCGATCGTCAGTCGTCGATCGTCAGTCGTCGATCGTCAGTCGTCGATCGTCAGTCGTCGATCGTCAGTCGTCGATCGTCAGTCGTCGATCGTCAGTCGTCGATCGTCAGTCGTCGATCGTCAGTCGTCGATCGTCAGTCGTCGATCGTCAGTCGTCGATCGTCAGTCGTCGATCGTCAGTCGTCGATCGTCAGTCGTCGATCGTCAGTCGTCGATCGTCAGTCGTCGATCGTCAGTCGTCGATCGTCAGTCGTCGATCGTCAGTCGTCGATCGTCAGTCGTCGATCGTCAGTCGTCGATCGTCAGTCGTCGATCGTCAGTCGTCGATCGTCAGTCGTCGATCGTCAGTCGTCGATCGTCAGTCGTCGATCGTCAGTCGTCGATCGTCAGTCGTCGATCGTCAGTCGTCGATCGTCAGTCGTCGATCGTCAGTCGTCGATCGTCAGTCGTCGATCGTCAGTCGTCGATCGTCAGTCGTCGATCGTCAGTCGTCGATCGTCAGTCGTCGATCGTCAGTCGTCGATCGTCAGTCGTCGATCGTCAGTCGTCGATCGTCAGTCGTCGATCGTCAGTCGTCGATCGTCAGTCGTCGATCGTCAGTCGTCGATCGTCAGTCGTCGATCGTCAGTCGTCGATCGTCAGTCGTCGATCGTCAGTCGTCGATCGTCAGTCGTCGATCGTCAGTCGTCGATCGTCAGTCGTCGATCGTCAGTCGTCGATCGTCAGTCGTCGATCGTCAGTCGTCGATCGTCAGTCGTCGATCGTCAGTCGTCGATCGTCAGTCGTCGATCGTCAGTCGTCGATCGTCAGTCGTCGATCGTCAGTCGTCGATCGTCAGTCGTCGATCGTCAGTCGTCGATCGTCAGTCGTCGATCGTCAGTCGTCGATCGTCAGTCGTCGATCGTCAGTCGTCGATCGTCAGTCGTCGATCGTCAGTCGTCGATCGTCAGTCGTCGATCGTCAGTCGTCGATCGTCAGTCGTCGAATGTCAGTCGTCGATCGTCAGTCGTCGATCGTCAGTCGTCGCAGTGTGCTTGTCGTGCGTACCCACGAAAAGCGGACTCCGAGCGACAACACGGAGACGGACACCGACGATCGACGACAGGACGCACAACCCACAGCGCAGTCCGCTTCTCGTGGTATCCCACGACAAGCGGACTCTAGACCGAACATCGCCCTCCGCGAGAGGTGATGACGCCACGGCGACAGAAAGCACAAGGCGCAGCGCAGTCCGCTTGTCGTGGGTACCCACGAAAAGCGGACTCCAAGTGACGACATGGACACCGACGATCGACGACATGATGCACAACTCACAGCGCAGTCCGCTTCTCGTGGTATCCCACGACAGGCGGACTCTAGACTGAGCATCTTCAGACACCTGCGTTCTGCTGTCATGCGCCTGCTTTCTGCGCCGTCGCTCGCCTGCTTTCCACGCCTTCAGGCTTCAGCGTCAGGCGTCTTCTTTCTCCACCTCGCTGGTTTCTGTTCCCTATCCCTGCTGCCTTTCTCGTCGGAAACGGAATCGGGCTCCTTCTTTCTGTGTTCTTGCTGTGTCTTCAGATATCTGCCTTCTGCGCTGTCAGGTGCCTGCCTTCTGTGCCCTTAGGTTCTTGCCTTCTGCGCCTATGCGTCGCCTCGTAAAAGCCTTGAGATTGAGAATGAGACTAAGCTTCTGGAAGTGGAAGCGCGAGCAAGGGAAGTACCTGAGGGCACAGAAAGCAGGCAATTGACGGCGCAGAAGGCAGGTAGAAACAGAAAGCAGGCCCTTGACGTTGACGGTTGACCTTGTCGTTGACACTTGACAGTTGACGGCGCAGAAGGCAGGCGCCTGCCTTCTGAGCCCTCAGATACCTGCCTTCTGCGCCCTCAGGGGCCTCTGGCTGCCTTCCCCTTCTGTGGCCTCAGCCTGAGCCCTGACCCTGAGGCCCTTGCCATCTGCACCCTTCAGGTAGCTGCCTTCTGCGCCGTCAAGTGCCGGCTGTCTGTGCCCTCAGGTATTTTGTCTTCTGCGCCTTTCAGTTTCAGATACCTGCCTTCTGTGCTCTTCAGATACCTGCCTTCTGTGCCCTTCAGATACCTGCCTTCTGCGCCGTCAAGTGCTTGCCTTCTGTGCGCTCAGGTAGTTGCTTTCTGCGACTTTCAGATAGCTGCCTTTTGCGCCGTCAGGTGCCTGCTTTCTGTGCCCTCAGGTTCTTGCCTTCTGCTCCTGTGTGGCGCCTCGTAAAAGCCTTGAGACTAAGCCTCTGGGACTGGAAGTGGAAGCGCGAGCAAGGCAAGTACCTGACGGCACAGAAAGCAGGCGCTTGACGTTGACGACGCAGAAACAAAGCAGGTAGACGTAGAACTAGAAACAGAAAGCAGGCAGTTGACGTTGACAGTTGACAGTTGACGGCGCAGAAGGCAGGCGCCTAGGCCTACCTTCTGAGCCCTCAGATACCTGCCTTCTGCGCCGTCAAGGGCCTCTGGCTGCCTTGGCCTTCTGTGGCCTCAGCCTGAGCCCTGACCCTGACCCTGACCCTGAGGCCCTTGTCATCTGCACCCTTCAGGTAGCTGCCTTCTGCGCCGTCAAGTGCCCGCTGTCTGTGCCCTCAGGTATTTTGTCTTCTGCGCCTTTCAGTTTCACTCTCAGCTTCAGACGCCTGCCTTTTGTGCCCTTCAGATACCTGCCTTCTGTGCCCTTCAGATACCTGCCTTCTGTGCCCTTCAGATACCTGCCTTCTGTGCCCTTCAGATGCTTGCCTTCTGCAGCTGCGCCGTCAAGTGCCTGCCTTCTGTGCGCTCAGGTAGTTGCTTCCTGCGTCCTTCAGATAGCTGCCTTTTGCGCCGTCAGGTGCCTGCTTTCTGTGCCCTCAGGTTCTTGCTTTCTGCTCCTGTGCGGCGCCTCGTGAAAGCCTTGAGACTAAGCGCCTGGAACTGGAAGTGGAAGCGCGAGCAAGGCAAGTACCTGAGGGCACAGAAAGCAGGCACTTGACGTTGACGACGCAGAAACAGAAGAGAAAGCAGGTAGACGTAGAACTAGAAGTAGAACTAGAAACAGAAAGCAGGCAGTTGGCCTTGACGTTGACAATGGACAGCTGACGGCGCAGAAAGCAGGTGCCTGCCTTCTGAGCTCTCAGATACCTGCCTTCTGCGCCGTCGAGGGCCTTTGGGTCTGGGTCTGGCTGCCTTCTGTGACCTTAGCCTCAGCCCTCACGTACTTGTCGTTGTCGTTGTCTTCTGCACCCTTCAGGTACTTGCCTTCTGCGCCTTCAAGTGCTTGCTTTCTGCGCCCTCAGGTATTTTGTTGTTGTTCTGCGCCTTGCAGTTTCAGATCCCTGCCTTCTGTGCCCTTGAGTACTTGCCTTCTGCGTCCTTCAGATACCTGCCTTCTGCGCCGTCAAGTGCCTGCCTTCTGTGCCCTCAAGTACTTTTAGACTTAGTTGCCTTCTGCGCCCTTCAGATGCCTGCCTTCTGCGCCGTCAAGTGCCTGCCTTTTGTTCCCTCAGGTGCCTGCCTTCTGCACCCTGGACGCATTTGCCTTGAATCGCCTTGACTCCGTGGCAGCCGGCGACGCTGACACCGTGTGAATGTGACAGACCTGGTCTCCTCTGCGCTTGCTTCCTTCACTTCTCTGCACTCTCTCTCCTTTTGTATGACGTCACCTTAGAGATCCTGGACGTAAGTCCGCTTTTCGTGGCTTTCCACGAAAACCGGACAAAGGAGAATACAAACAAACCTCTAGGAGTTCTATCCATATGGTGTGCAGCCCTATGTATTTGGCGTCGTGTCATTTGGATGCTTCTGGCATTTATTTTATGCGTGTGGCATGCGTATGGTATGCTGCGGGCTGGTGAAGCTGATGGCTCACCGGTATGCCGTGGCTTTGTTGTGGCATTCGTTTTGATCTTGATCCCCAGCCGTGTGCGAAGTTCGTCACAACTGTGGCGCCATGCATTCCGGGCCCGTCTGGGGGCTCTCCATGCAATTTGTAAAGGATAGCGCTGGCTCGCAGTGATTTGCTGGCGCTTTTTCTAACATATCACCGAGCGGGGTACTCGCTTACTGTTTCCATACGTATTGCCTGCCTGCTTTTTCTATATTGCTCGAAGGCCTCTACTTGGATGGATGGAAAATGAGAGCCATCAACCTGACTGCCGCGCTTTGATTCTCGAACTCGATCGATTTGCTTTCATTTTACTGAAGTGATGCCTTGCGTTCTAAAGTCGGAAACTGATGAGCGTGCGTCTCTCGTTGGCTTTCGAAAGCGATGCGAGCCACAGTGGGGAAGTCATGTAGCAAGCTACTCCGCTTCCATGGCCATCATTTTTTTGACAGCTTTCCCCGGTGTTTTGGCAGCTTTCTTCGGTACTTTGGTAGCCTTCGCCGCTGCTTTCGGTTGCTTTGTGTTTTTTTTCATCGGGTTGCGCACTTTCGCCATTTTCTTCGTAGGGGCAGGCTTTTCCCCAGCGCTTTGCTCGTGCTAGCGCTTTTCATCGTCGTGGTAGGTAGCCTCGGGCGATTCGTTGTTCGCGAAGTTGGTTTGTTCTTGTTCTTTGCTTGCGTGCTTCTGCGTCGATGTTGGTATCGGAAGAAGAACCTGCCGGGAGTGGAAATGCGGCGGGGTATGAATGTGACGCATTCCCTTCAAGCTTTTCGGTTGCGTATGGGCTGGGGTAGCTTCTCACGCAAAGAGTTCGACACTTACGCTTACCAGCAGCAGCCGCTTGAGCTCGCTGGGAGCTCTGACGAAGAAGGCGCAGAGGGATCGGAAGTAGGCAAACCCGTGGGGTGCTGCGTAGGGGCTTGGGGTGGTTGGTACGCAGCAGCGCCAAGCTTTTCACTTTCATACTTCTCCAAAAAATCGCGGCGGAGCACGTCCGGCACCGTGAGCAAATCAGTATGGACTTGCGATTTATTTTCGCCCATACTGCGCATGAGTTTCAGCGCAGAGGCATCGCCACCCTTGTGGATGGTGGCTGGCGTCGCGCACTCCTTGGCGGGTGCTGCGGCTACCAACTGCGTCAGCAGATCATAGACCTGAAAGAGGGAGAGCCTTAGAGGGCTGGGCCATGGAGAAGCGTTGCGAGAGAGAAACACGACGCAGGGGCGCAGAGTGTAGACGAAAACTAACGAAGGCGCCGACTTTAGTTTTTTGATAAGATAGCAGAGATTTTTTTTCTGTTTCTTATGAAAAAAAAGGCAGAACTTAACGCCGTAGGCAGGGGCATGCGCATGCTAGACCATCAGCAGAGTAAACGTCTTGCGTCACTCTACGCCTTAGATGTAACGCCTAAAAAAGCAGAAAGGAGGCCAGTTGTTGACGAAGTGCTGACGGATCGAAAACAAAGAGAAAGTTAACAAAATGACGGTAATCAAATGTATCGACTCGCTTCTTCGTCTGCGTTCTTTGTCTACCTTCTTTGCCTCTCTCATCGTGTCAAGCATAAGAAAACCATCGTCGTGGGCCCGTCTTTCGTCCGTCTTCATGCTCAAAAAAAAGCCAGACTCTCGGGCAAGGAATGCAGAACTTCTCGAAACTCGCAATTCGATATAGCTTATACGAGATACTATTTAATGTTCTACTTGGAAGATCTAACAAAGAAGCTTGAATTTGTTCAACCACGAGCATAACTGGTAAATCTTCTGTAGTCTAACATATCAATCTTGAATTTATGGATATCAACTTCTGAAGAGCCCTACTCCCACTTACAATTATACGATCTATGCAATTAATATCGTATTTGAAGAGCCGTCTCCTTCTCCTATTCATTCAACGAAGCAACCAGTCACTACAATACAATTTATGACGTGTTGAAATCACGAGGATGGAAGGAGTGGGGTGCCCCAGCAAATGTTACCGCAATGGGAGCTGGAGGAGGTATAAGTGATCGATATTTTCAGATTTTGTTCTCTTTTCTATCCATCTAAGGACTCCTTACAACATGGTTAATACTTCCAGAGTACAAGGTCGTGAACGTGAGCGATCAACTAGTACTCCCACATGATCTATGCCAACATGCCATTCAATTCACAACTTGAACTTTAAGAAAACCCAAATATTCTACTATAAGGGTGCAGCGAACAACTACTAATATTCTCAGACAAGAAGTAGATTCTTCATCAATTCTTACATCATCCTCACAAGAGTCTTGCTCTTCTTGTTCTTCTCTCACTTTCAACATATCGATTCGCAACACCTTCAATATACTTACAAACAGGAGGAGGCGCCGCTTCCAGCACGACCGCGTCTACGAGAGGTCAACAGGGACAACAACAGCAGACGGATGTAGGAGAAATGGGGAACAACTCCTGTGCTGACAATGATGAACTACAGAATGCTACGACCGTAGCTTCACAGCAACAACATACATTAAGGAGCCTTTCTGGAATAATTCCTGCTATGTTGTAGAAGTAGTGCTCATGATGGATTCCTGCTATTATAATAAGGGTTCTTTCTGCATTCCAGGAACAATAGTTCCTGCTTTGTAGTAGTGCTGTGTAGGTTAACAATGCTAATAAGGCTACTATTAAGACAGTTGATAGCCTGTATTTAGTTCTACTTACCCTGAATATGCTGTTTGACGAGCAGCCAGAGAAGATAGATTGATTTTCTGGAAGAGATGAGCATGTCTCTAAAGTCAAGTGCGGTAACTAATTCCACGGCTGCGTCCGCGACAACAAGTGCTGGAACAGCCACTGCTTAAGGCTAGACTGTCCCATGCGAGCTACTGAGTATTTATCACTAGATCTGTCCCATGCTTGTCACGATCCCAGGTGAACTAGTAGGCTGAGTGGACTGGATTCAGTTTCAGTCCAGGAGAAACCAAAGGGAGTCAAGTCACTAGGGGGGACCAAGGGGAAACCAAAGGGAGTCAAATCACTCACGACGACTCAAGCAGGGACCATACATAGCTATCTTACGACTCAAGGATTGAGGGCGGATCATAGTGAAAAACTAGCATTAATAAGTTGCGCCTTTGTCTCGTGCCGATCGAGATGGGATGAAGCAGGATTGGCATATTTTCTGGGCTGACAAAGATTGGATCCACAGTGAGTTGGAAAAACTACATTTGGAACCACATCTTATGGTCTTGGGGAAAATTGTTGTATTATTACATTTGGAACCACTTTCTTGATCCTATAGTCTTGGGGAAAATCGTAATCGTTGTATTATTACATTGATTTGGAACCACATCTTATGTTGAGAGAAATACAAATTAATAGTTGTAAGTATATTATTGAGTGGAGCTGTAGGAAGGTGTCGTGTAGTTTCAGTCAATCACTTCCGTGTAGAAGTACATCGTCTCTCGTAGTCATCGTCGTTCATCCCTCGTCCTTCCCGATGAGCCTTACTTCATTCGTGCCTCATCTCCCTTCCTCATATCCCAGAAGGTGCTGAACCACAACGACGTATTAAGTTCCTCCTCTAAATACCCAAAAAAATGAACCACGGCTTCCGCAATCACTATGATTGCCTACATCAACTTCAAGAACATTGATCTCCTCCTCCTTCATACCCCAGAAAGTGAACAGCAACGATGTTTTTCCCCTTTCATACCCGAGAAAGTGAACCATTTCCGCAATCACTACGAGATCACGAGAAAAGACCTGCTATCGAAGAACGTGAAACGACACAAACGCATATGAAAGTGTACTCATACTCAACAACCGAGGCATTTTCAAACTACTCGAAAACTGAAAATAACCGAATTACTGACTGAAATAAGGGAGGTAGCTTTGACCGGGCTACTCTTGCTTCTCATCAGTATGATCTCGGTTATTCTCGTCTGTTACTCGCTTATTTCAGTTTGTCGAATAGGGGGCTGCCTCTTTGCCTGAGAATGAGCACGCTTTTTCCTGTCATAGCGAATGCTAGAGCGTGAAGGGCGTTGGGAAGAAGCTGCCAAATACAACGTTTTACCGGTGACATTCGTGCTGCCGCAAGAATACTCGATTTATGAGAGCTTTTTGGAATTATGGGGTAAATATGTAGGGCTACTAAAAAACTTTTGTATAAGGAATTTTGTGCTGCAACGAGGAAGTAATGTAACTAGTACAACCTGAAGCGTTACACGCTTTGTCTACCCGTATGGTGAACCTGGAAAACTCATCTAACTGGAGTTTGTAGAAGAATTCAGGCGGGTAGGCGGTGTCTGGATTATGAAACCAGTCGGACGAAGTCAAGGAACCGGGATTTTCATGGTCACGAAACTTTCACAGATACAACAGTGGAAACCGGCAGAAAGTACTTCTAAGTGCGACTGCCAAATGCAGTACCGCTCCCTCCATTGGCAATGCATATTTATAGCCATGATGAACTACTCGGAAGGGCTTGCCGATGTATACGCATAAACTATAAGTCTCGAAGAAGTTTGTCTTTGCTCTACGTCTAGTACGTGCAGTAAGATCACCTCAAAATCAGGTAGTGCGATTGGCGGAGGTTACGGCCGTGGCGCCGGAGGTGGACGAGGAAACAAAGATCATGGCGATGCGATGCTGCATGACGAAGAAGGGCCTGAGGCTTACATCGTCCAGAAATATATCGAGAAACCTTTGTTAATATTAAGGCTACCGTATAAGTGCATCTTACTTACTTGATCCCGACGTTTCTTAAGAGGTGGAAAAGGGCATGATCAGGATGCTCTTGCATATGGATAATTTCTCTTTGACAGACACCTACTTGTTTCCTCAGATAATTACCGTTTACTAATCGCATGTGCCTTTGTTGTACTTAGTTCTAATGATAGGCGGCCGGAAATTCGATTTACGTATCTATGCGCTGGTGACAGGGTATCAGCCGTTGACTGTCTGGCTATCGCGTGAGGGTTTTGCGCGTTTTTCGTTGACGAGGTATAGTTAAGGGTCAAAAGAATTCATTTTATTCACAAGCGTCATTTTTCGTTGTGTTAAGGCTCATAGCAATTCATCCTAGGAAGCATCTCTAACCCCCTGCTAAGGGGGAAGCACGCCAAAGATGCACTTAAAGATGAATATATGTGAGCTCTAACTAATTGTATCCTTCGTTCCTAGGATTCTAAGGCCAATGAAATTGTATCCTTCATCCTAGGATCGGGAAAAATGAACTAGAGATGAAGTGAAATGTTTTGAGCTCTAGTGTAGTGCAGACAGCGTCCGAGATCCTGCCAAACTTTCTTCCCATCTGACCAATGTTGCGGTACAAAAAAACCTGTTTTCGAAAGACAACACGTATCAGAGAACATTATGGTCCTTATTCTAGGAGAGTTGTAACTATTTCTGTAGACGTATGAGCCGCAGAACAAGTGCACTCACACTCAAAAAGTAGCTACTTCTCTACTTAAATCTTATTTCTGGAGTGTGAGAAGTGCACTCTTTCTCTCAACACGTAATATTATCAACGAAAGAAAAAGTAGAGCTGCTCACGGACTATACATTTTGTTGTAAAAATTTCTTTGGTGCATGATCCAAATCCACCTCTACTCCCTCGTCCTCCCTCGTCCCTCTTTTTCCTTCATCTCTCGGAGGCAAGTGGGAAATCCCCAGAATGAAGCAGTACCTCATCAACAAAATCGGCCGGGAACGCACCAAAGATTTGTTCCTGCAGTTTGAGGACATCATAATCTATTCCTTACTAGCAGTCCAGAAAGTCATCATAGCGGATCGACACTGTTAAGGGCTTAGATTAGGATTGAGTTAAGGGCTTCTTGGGCAAGGATTGAGTCAATATTTGAGACCTATGTGGTTGCATTTGAGAGCAGAAAATATAATTTGCGGCAGTCTGGTGCCCTGGATTCTGCTCTGTGCGAGATTGATTGTATATTGTATTGTATTGATCTATGCTGTTGTTATAGCCTTCACAACTACTAGAACTAGTATGCACACTTCTATCTATAACTACAGGATGAATATTAGGAGGTTCAGCACCATAGACAGGGATCATACGCAACATTTTTTAACTGTCTAACACGGTTTCGAGATGTACGGCTTTGATATTATGATCGATGCCGATTATCGTGCCATTCTGTTAAGGCTTCCCCTATTCCATCTCTATGGACATCCCTCAGCAGTACTATGCATCCCAATAGTACAAGGGACATAGTACTATAAGGCGTATCCTGCTGCCTGCCCCTGCGTGCCGTAAGGCGCGGCAGTGGCGGCCATGATGAATGCTTCAGGCTTCTCGCGGGGAAGGCTATGCGAGAATTATAGTAGACCCAGGTAACAAATTGCGGAAGCTCTAACTTTGATCGAGGTGAATGCTTCGCCATCACTTACGGCGAATACCAAAGCAGACTACGACATGAAGTTCGGAACCTTAGACGATTTGCTGACCATCTTGGACTTCGAAAAGTACCTATCTGGCAGTGAGACCAGAGTTATGGCTGAAAGAACCTATTTTTATGAAATAGGTACAAGCTGCTAGACCTCATTATATCCTAGGTCTATCCCACCAAACACCATATATTATGTACTAGCTTGAAACCGATTTCCGTAACGTTTTTCTGGCCCTCAACATCTTGAGTCTAGTAGTAGATGGAGTGGGGCTGAGAGCTGCTCTAAAATAATGGGTGGTTTTGACCTGATCTACAAGGGTGGCCCAGTGCCGGGGCATACAGAGTCGATGTTGGGAACCCGCAACGACAGGCAAGAGAGCCTGAAAAAACTAGCTCAAGAAGTACAACTACGAGCTTTAGTTGGGGTGAATGGGAAGGCAGAAGGAGGGTGATTTTTTTATTCGTGATGAGTGTGTGACTGAGTGACACACTTAGTCATGATGCACATACTTTATATTTGTAAATTTTTGAAGATGCACATACTTTATTTCCTTGCTAAATAGAAGTGGATAGACTGAATACTCCAAACAAACTAACAAGTACTAATCCTTCGTAATCTCCTCCGCTTCTTATCCATTTACTTTTGCATTCGAAGTGATCCCTAAACGAAAGTTAAAAGACTTGAAGTGGTCCTCAACTAGTGCATTCTTTTTATACTGCTATAGTGATGATGAAACTGAAAGTGAGACAAGTAGTGCAAGAAAAAGTGAGTCGTGTATTGGAAACATTGAACGAAGAGCGCATGAAGAGAACAACTTTGAGATGCAAAACTTTTGCAACATATAGTAGGCGCATCAATTTTGCAGGACTGAGTATTCTAGATGAAGGGACCTTTCACCACCTGCATCATGTGGTCCAACGCGAGGACAGCAATGCCATGGACGAACCTCCTTCGCGTTTGCCGCGTACTCCTTGTCCGTCTTGCGCGAACAATCTAATCCAAAATTTTCTCCTAGACGAATCTTCAAAATTGTGCGAAAATGAGACACAACCTGGGACATCGAATGCAAAACGAGACACACCTCAGCAAAACGAGACACCACTTGGGACATCAAATGAAAATCCGTTTTCCATATCACGGAGTATAATTTGATGCTCCGGCGGTAAAATGATAAGCAAGACAGAAGAAGAAAAGTGAGGACCACTTTCTCGTCGCACGAAACAAATATCATGATGACGTCCTCACGACTAGTGCAACTCGCGACATGTGCACTGTTGTGGTGGGTGCCGTTCCTGGAAGTCCATGTGAGCTTCTACCTTTCCCTGCTTGCACATGTAGTTACTATTCCCCGAGCGGTTCGTGCCTCGAGCAGCTCGACGACCCAAAAGAGTTCAACAGCAGCTGCAAACGAGCCCCCAGCACTACCTCTGCACATTTTCGCGCTTGGCGAATACGAACAGAGAGGCCCCAATCGGATAGACCTCAAGAGTTACATGAGGCTTAACATCGAGACGTGGAAAAAGCACCTGACGGTTGCAGATGCGAAGAGCGGCAGGATTTATGTTGAACCGAAGATTCACTTGCTGAATGACCGGAACATGCGAAAATTCATACCGGATTTTATGCTTGAAAGAAGAAGAACAATACGAGTACTGCATAGGTAGCAGTAGAAGTAGAAGTAGTACAATTCAGGTTCAAGCATCCACCATGATCTGTCTCCCTCTAACATCCTACCCGAAGAATATTTCCGTCTTCCCTATTCGGCCGCCAAGAGTGACGCAATGCGCTATGCCGTGCTCTATTGGCTAGGCGGCATCTACATGGACACAGATATCCTACTGCAGAAGCCTATCCATCCAAAACTAGTCTTTAAGGCTTCCAGCACTAATTGTTCGTCAGAAATGCACATTTGCTTCTATGTGTCTTCGTTTTCAAGGGAATAAGACGGCGCGTAAGCGTATGCCTTTATTCAAGAAGACGAATATTTAGGTGTAAGCTCTAAAGTCGTCGCACTCTTGTTGCCACCAACGGTACCTAGTGAGCGAGAGGAGTGGAGACACCGGTTTGCAACGTTGAATATGGAAAACAATCAGTTGTTTCGTATGGAGGAGGATGAAAGAATGAGGAACAAGAAGATGCTGAACAAAGGTACTACTAGTACTACATCAACTCAGGCAAGTGGAAGTGGAAGCAAAAAGGAAGACGAGCAAGTGGCTTCATCTGGTGCAGTGCTAGAAGAAGTTGGCCAGTGGGATGGAAAGAAGCATACGAAACAGAAGAAATACGGTATTCGTCGTCCAATAGACCCTGACTCTTTGCCGTCTTACAAGGATGTTTTGGCGTATTATAGCGATTTTGTGAAGAGGAGTGGCAGTGGGAGGACGAGTCAAATAAGGAATAGTAGTACCAGTCAAATAAGGGATACTGGTAGTACCAGTCTAGTCGAAGAACAAGAACAGCAAGGTGGTCAACATCAAGAACAAGAACACCACACTGTTGACCACGACCTACGTCCAATCGAACTCTTCTCCTATGAAGCCGACGGCCAAGACTGCAAAAAGGCAGATTATTCGAGCAATTTCGTTGCAGCATCAAGAGGGTCCATGTACATGAAGCGAGTATGGGAAAGACAGAAGATATGATCATGTTATTCGAAAACTCAAAATAACCGAGTTACTGACTGAAATATGGGAGGCAGCTTACTATCGAGGCTACCCTTCCTTCTCATCAGTATCTCGGTTATTCTGATCAGTTACTTGCTTATTTCAGTTTTTCGAATAGGTAAATGAATGAATGACATGTGGTACTAGTGCTGGTGGTTCATTTTCGACTTTGGGATCATGTCTCAACACTCAGCTCCTCTTGTTGTTATCACGGTTATCAGCATAAGATCTTAGAATTTTACTACTTAGGATTCACAGGAGTGGGTCACTGCTGTCTTCGTTCATAGCAGTGAGCAGTTGGAATAATGAGTCCTCATCTCATCATGAAGCTAAGGGATTTTTCTAACCTTTGCTCAAATGACCCAGCATTGCGGTTCCCAGCAGGAAATGAAGTTGGAATCCAAGGTCTGCTGTCTAGACGATCCAAGTACGCAATGCCACGTACCCTGGTCAGCACTTGGAGAACGTACTTCACACCTAGTTGGGTTTGGGAATGTGCAGATGAACTTTGTCAAGTCTCCTCGTCCTCAAGAAGGAGCTTCATCTTCGTCCTCCAAGACGAACGAGGAGGTACTAAAAAAGAGACAACATGTTGATCCTATAGCACATTTAGAACTGAACAAAACAAAAGGTAGTGGTAGTGGTGGTGGTGCAAAGCAAAACTATCAACATCAAGAAGGACTACATCAGAGTAGTAGCACGGACCCTACACTACATGATAAAGAAGCTTTGGAAGTTTATCCACCAGAAAAGATGACACAGTTTTTCGCGAGAGTACCAGAAGATGGGCATCTTTCATCTGGTAAAACAGTAGTTTTTCCACCATTTATGTCCCCAAAGGACCTAGAAGTCCAAAAGCAGGCACAGTTCTCCTTGTTGGATGCAGATGAAGAAGATACGTATTCAAACAGCCGTCTTCTGTTGCAAAGAGAAGAAAAAGCTGTTGTTCCTTCTGCTGCTAAATCGACACCATGGAACAACGAGAATAACAGAAATTCCGAAGACCTCGTCAACGGAGCGCCAGAAGATTCAACTTCCATCGTCGTCTGTTACCCAAACGAGGAGAATTTCGTGCCTATTCCCTACGAGAGTTTTTACCTCCCATTAGCACAACTGAACGAAACGACACGACTCTCGCATCCGAACCCCTTGACGCGAACGGGGTATCACCTGTTCAATTCCATAGTCAATCATGGAAAGCGGCCCTGTGAGCAGTTGTTGGTATGGCGATTAGGTTGATACCTTTGATTCGTTATTTAACAGTATAAGATACAACAACTCCTTGGCTTATCCTTTCTTTCAGACAGGAAGTGGTAATTTTCACATGACACCAAGATCTCGATCAGTTCCACTTTCGTGTCTTTCCTATCCCTGCTTACGACCAAACCCACCACTATCCCCAATAAAGCGCAACACTCTAACCCCCAACGCCACCCTTCTCACTGGCTTGCTCTACCACCAATCGCTTTCGTTGACGGGGCCAAAAAAGTATAGCAAAGACGAGCTGTGGTCCATCTGTCGTGGAGATTTTGCCAAGAGGGTCATGAGAACCGACCCTGCAACAGGAGGAAAAATTTTGTTAGAGATCTTGGGGTGAGGAGCATCATCATGGGAGATTTTGGAGGAGATATTGGTTTTTTTATTGGGAATCTAGGATTTTCATTTTGTGTCCTGAATTTTGCATAGGCGTCTGCGAAACACAAAGATGAGTGGTCTCTGACACAATTATTTATCCTGTCAACTCACGACCTTTCCAAGAAAACACAAAATATGATGCTGAGTAATGGTCAGACCCAGAGTTAAGTACACAAACATGAGCAGTCAGGAACAGGATGTCTTGGTCATGTGGAAGCGGTGTTTCTAATGGAAGCGGTGTTTAAATGGGTTCGACAACTACAGAGTAATAGAGAGGAGATATCATTTTAATCATGTCGTACCCGTCCTCTAGACGAGGTGAGAGAAAAAAGAGAAACACGAGGACGCAAAAGTGTAGGTTCGTGAGAGGAAAATTTGGTGCTGGGAACGATGTTAGGGCATGTGATGTCGGGAGATGAGAAATGACCTACATTCTGTAGCTCTCATGCTCATTTTTGTCGTTTCGTTTATAACCATGATGTTCGGGTGACGTAGTACGCCTTCAACATTCAAAAAAGGGATGCTTACTAGGTCTTCTTAGTGGTCTTCACTTCGTCTTAGTCTTCACTTCGTCTTAGTCTTCACTTCGTCTTAGTCTTCACTTCGTCTTAGTCTTTACTTCGTCTACAGGTGCGTAGAACAACAAGAAGACACCACAGGATGGCATTTTTCCCCTCTCCTGGGGACCAGCATACCGCCACTAGGGGCAGGTCGATGACCTGGATGCTGCATCTCAGTCTGATGACGGGCATCATTTGGGCCACTGTCTTTGTCTCCTCTCGTGGCAACATCAATCATGGAGGTGCCTCCAAGGCTTTCCACACAACTGTACTGGTGGCGGAAGGTGCTTTAGGCAGTTCCGCATCGTCACCAGTACCAGAACTGCTGCAAGTAAGTGGGGAGAACAAGGTGAACCATGTGGGACATGGCTCGAGCAATGGACAATACCTCGTTAGTGCAGAGAATTCTACAGGTCGTGTTGCGTCGTCTACATTCTCAGCTTCGTCTGGTGCCTTAGAAGTTGCTACGACACCTCAAGGTTCTACTTCTACCAGTAGTAGTCAAAGCACCTCATCCTCTGCCTCTGGAGACTCCACCACTTCCTCTTCCTCTGGAGACTCCAGCAAGTTTCCCCCTCCCCTTGCACTTCGCGTCTTCTGCCTCGGAGAATATCAAGTGACAGCACCAGGACATGTTGAATTGAAGCCGTATATGAGGTTGAACGTGGAGACGTGGAAGAAACATCTCACTGTGAGAGATCCGGTGACTGGAAGGGTGTATGTTTATGAAGAAGGATCTGATGTTGAAAATGATTGGTTTCTTGTTGTAAGTAGTCAATTTATTGTCGAATAGAAATGTTGAGCAGAAGTTAGTAGTAGATTCCGCTCCTTAATTGTATTTGTAACACCATCCATCTTTCATTTCATCCATAAAGCTGTACCAATTGTACCAAAACCATACCAAAACAAGTGTGAGCGTCCCGACAACATCTAATATTTCGAACCGAAGATCCATATGTTGAACGACAAGAACTTGCGCAAGTACATCCCTGACGTCCCTGAGGAGTACTTCCGACTGCCGTATTCAGCAGCAAAAAGTGACGCAGTACGTTATGCAGTGCTCTACTGGATGGGAGGAATCTATTTGGACACGGACATTCTGATTCAGAGACAGGTAGTTTCTTTTTTGTCTCTGACTTCGTTGATCGTAGTTGTTAAGGAGATTAAGAACTCCCCCCTACGCCGGTATCCACGCGGAAAATACGCAGGTAGGTTTTGACTTATCGGAACTCGCTTGCAAAATACGCAGGTAGGTTTTGACTTATCGGAACTCGCTCACGATACAAAAAAAAAAAAAGATTGTATTGTATTGTATTGTATTGTATTGTATTTGTATCTGACTTCCTTGCATTGGTCGGGATCCTTGGCAGCTGTGACTACTTGATGAATTCATCAAGTTCAACGAGTCCTGATCTATCTTGCATTACATCAACATCATGACAACGAGTGTTGAAAAAACAGCACTCGTGACTTTTGATCGAAGTAAGTACCTTTTTTTATTCTCTCGAAGTCGAATCAAAATCATCTCTCAATCTTCACCCAGGTCCATCCCAAGATCGTTTTTTCCCTTCTCTTGCCGCCGAGCACCAAGGCCGACTACGAAGAGTGGCAGCATCGTTTCACCACACTCAACACGGCGAACCAAATCCTAGCTGGCGAGGAGCAAGAGCATGAGAATGCCACTGGAGAAAAAAAAGCAGAACTCGACAAGAAGAACAGCTATGTCGGTGCCAGAGATGGGAAAACCTATGTCCACCATAAGCGCCATGGTGTCAAGAAGCCGTTTGACATCAGCAAGCTTCCGCAAAGACACGATGTCTTGGATTACTACAAGGAGTTCATGAAGAACTACAAGGAGGTGGAACCAAGTACGGCATCAGAGGACAATACAGTTATGGAGCGAACAGGACAATCACAATTTAGATGTAGATTGTTACTGTGTACTTGTAGTTGGAGGTTTTGGTTTTCACATTCACTTATACTGTTACTGTTCACTACTTATTGACGTTGAACTTGAGAGAAACTCAATAAACTTGTGACACTTCTGACTGTAGTTGTTACCTCTAGCTCTAAGGATTCCGACGCGCACCCAGGAGCACACTCTGGTGTCCGAAAAATTGGAGGCGCTCGCGTGAAGCACAACGTAGTCCTCGCTGAGAAGAACAAGGACGTCTCCTCCTCCTCATCACTGTTAAGCGCTCCACTTCTGCAAAAGATACAAGATAGTTTTCTAACTTTTAGGGAGAACAATTCTAAGGCCAGCAATGAGAATGTTCTAATGAAGAACAATGTTAATGTACAAATACGGCAACCTCTAACACTGTATCCGATTGAGCTGCTCTCCTATGAAGGAGATGGCCAGGTGTGCTATCGCGGTAGCTACTCCAGTAACTTTTTAGGTGGCTCCCGAGGCAGCTGGCACATGCGCAATGTGTGGGAGAGACAGAAAACGGCGATGACAAATCACTGCTTGACTTATGAAGGAAGCTGTTAAGTAGTTTTTTGGGCTTTTGACATACTTACACATATTACTTAGGTAGTGCATGCCTCGGCATCAGAAGAAGAAGGTGTGTTGAAGTTTACTACGGCTCCACCTCCAAACTCTATTTTTGTCGCAATTCGTTCCACGCATGCCCAGAAGTTTCATTATCGTCCCCTAGTACCCTTTCTCACTCTAACATGCCCACGCCGAGTACAAGAGCGAGAAGATTTGCTGCATGGACAATCCCAACGTGAAATGTCATATCCCATGGACCCAGTTAGGCGAAGGAATTTCCCATCGAGTCGGATTCCAGGAAGCAAAGAGGTCAGGAATTATGGCTCGGTGATTTGAGGTTTCTTTTGTAGAGCTAGAGGATAGAAAGGTACTTGTTCTTGGTTGTAAAGGACTTGTGGTGTTGTATACTCGAAAACTGAAATAAATGACCGAGTTACTGACTGAAGTAAGGGAGGTAGCTTTGACAGGGCTACTCTTCCTTGTTCAATATCTCGCATATTTTAAGTAGTTTTACTCGCTTATTTCAGTTTATCGAATACGCTTATAACCTTAATATCGCAATTGTGACGTGTTCAAGTGCCTTTTTCTCGTGCACGTTCTTTCTTTCGTGGCACTTCTACTTCTAATCCCTGTGCTCTCGTGCAGATGAGCGCATCGACTTCGGGTAGTGGCTCTTTTCGCCGCACCTCTAGGGGTCCTGCACATGGCACATACCTGTTAGAGCTCACTGCGAAGGCTGGAAGTGGATTAACATTAGGGCTACCGTAACGCTAATGGTAAAAATTCATCGTGACTAGCATGATTCTTTAATCGTGCATGTCGTGATCTTTTTCATTTCTCAGCCGAAAAACGGCAATGAATTATATAAGGTTGTTCTTAAGACAAGTAATTGACATACTGCTGGAACTGTTTTGTCCTGCCTATAGGCTTGTAGTACTATATGGGACACGGTGATGATGATGAATTTGGCTAAGCTCTAAAAATAACATCAAGCAAGAAGCGAAGCGACGACGATGATGAGGTTTTAGAAGGTGCCTCTGGCTCTGAAGCATCCATGGATGTCTCGAGCGCTACAGCAATCAAGGAGCTTTAAGGCTTCCTCTCTTGGTCCATCCTCAGTAGCTAGAGACATGATCCATCCTAAAAGGAGTTTATTTCGAGGGAAAAAGAGGTTAGTACTGCAGGACGGTGCATTATCTTCAGATGATGGATCATTACGGATATTACGGCGAGCTCTAAGAGTTGAACAAGGGACTCCCTAGTTTTCCTGCCGCTCGTATGTCGCAGTTTTACGCCAAAGCGGCTTCGTCTTCGCTTGGTGCACCAGGAGGTACTGCGTTGCTACGAACAGAGCAGAAGGAGATGAGTGCAATGCAGACATGGCAGCAATACGGAGATGGAACAGGAGTGATCTTGTGCTATCCGAAGTTATGTTTGTTCTTGGACGTGAACGTGATTCTCAGTATTCTTTCATGGGTGTGTGTGTGACTTCTGAAGGTGCTATCACTCAGGCAACATGATAATCACTTGACATCAATCGTGAAACTAAAATCTGACTGATCATCAAGAAGATGATGAAAGTTCTTCTCCTCTTCTTATCCCCTGTCTCTAACACCTGAAGACAACTTCGTAGCAATTCCTCCAGAGAGTTTCTACCTCCCAGTCACCGAGCTCGAAGCCAAGGGCAGACTACATAGTCCAAATCCGACCACGCGAACGGGCTATCACCTCTTCAACAGTATCGCGAACCACGCTAGCAAACCATGTAGCACATTGCTGGATGAAAATTATGAAATGAATGGTTTTGGCTTTCGATTTTGTATTAGTTACACTTCCAGCTTAGCTCCATCGACTCTCCAAGCAGATAAGTAAAACAATCGGCTAGCTTTCCCTCTACTCATAGACATATCCCATCAAGCAATGCATTAGTTACACTTCTAGGACTACGACTAAGAGCACACTACTTTATTTTTCGATTTTGTATTCCTCACACTTCTAGGACTACGACTAAAAGCAACAACTCAAACTGAGAGTCAGAGTCAGAGTTGTATCCTCAAGGAGTTTATGAGTCATCTCCTCTAACCCGAACTCCTAACCGGTCTCCTCTACCGACAGGCCCTGGAGGGTGTGGCGAACGTCAAGGAAATCTGCCTGAAGGGGAACAAGAGGGTGGTGCGCACGGATCCAAGGAGCGGAGGAAGGATCTTGTTGGAGATCTTGTAGAGTGGTATAGGAGAAGTAGGTTACTACTTTTAAGACTTACTTTTATTCATCTTAAGAGGCATCTTTCTTGATCCCTTTTTCAAGAGGGAACTGCGTCAAAGATGCTTTCCAAGATGAATAAATGTAAGGTCTAATTATACTTCTTGTAGGTGGTTGTATCTATAGCTATAGGAGTAGATATTGATATTGTAGTACTAGTAGTTAGAATTCTGACGGTGGTGTTGGTGAAAGTTAAGAGAATTTTCTGGGGGCTAGAGTCGGAAAACAGAGGACATGGGAAGGGAGAGGAAGTAAAGTTTACTTTACGCGCAAGGGGAGGGCATAGTTCGTATGCTAAGATCATCAGACAAGGGACAACTATTGTATACCTAGACCCATAGAATGCAGTAGAAGATGAAAAGATTGAAACCATTTTATGACGCTGTTTACTCTTGGTATTTGCGACTTGTTTCACCACTATCTCTATCATGTATCTTGTACCGCCTAGTAGTCTAGATGGGAAGATCCAACTTGTTTCTGAGACTAACACCTAGTGAAAATGACTAGTAACAGCAAAGATCGATGACACGTTGGAAGACTTGAATTTTCTTCAGTTAAGTAATCCACTCGCACGCTTACGAAATGACAGCAGAAAAGACTGACTACACGACTGAAAATTAAAAGGGAAATGACAATGACAAAGCGCATATGCACAAAGATGAAAGAAGAACACCAACGCATAGATTGACATTGACTTATCGCAGCACTCGAATGTCACTCTCACCACGGGAACTTCATTGACTCTCATTTCGTAACTCACAGGACACCTCCTCTCCAAGAGGCAATCGCATCTACCACTGTCAGAATCATGTAAAATAGCATTGGGCTTGTAGCGCTCTGCCGATCGTGTTGGAGACGGAGCCGTTCTTGAAACGAAGGCGCACATCGACGAGAGGGCTATTCGGTGCCTCATCAATGCGTAGAAAAACGGAGAAGGAGGACGAAAGCCTTCACTGAAAACAGTAATTAGAAGATCGCCTGGAGTGCTTGTCTGTGATATTACTGATAGTGCAGCTCACGACAAACAGAAACACAGATCATAGAACGTAGATTCTCCATCCACTTATCGAGAAATAAAATGAGCAATGCGCATTTCGGTCGTGTAGTGCCTGTTAGCCTACGAAAGTTTAGCCGAATCGAATGCTCCGTATTTAGCGAAAACCGCAGAGCAAGTGGAGTTTTGGTCCCATTGCAGAGGATAGCGGAGAATCTGCGAAGTCGGCTTCCCTTTCGCGGCGCGGCTGAGGGTGATCCGTCTAGTACCGCAGATGATATTGCGTCTTCTTCTACATTCTCATCTACACCAGTATCGTCCGCATCCGCAGCATCGCTATCATCATCTGGATCAACAACATCCTCTTCGTCTTCTTCGTCGCTATTTTCGGCAACAACTACCTCTAGTACCAAAAAATACGAGTTACCACGTGACTTGCCAGCGGGCGTTCATTTAGTCGTTTTTCTTACGCGTCTGAAGCATGTTTACCACCTAGACACATGGATCAGTCTGAGGCATGGCTTAGACATCTTGGTGAAAAGAAGGGGAGAAGAGTTGAGAAGAAAGCTAGGTGGTGGTGGTGGTGGTGGGGCGCGAGGTGATCGAGGGCCTGAAACTGACGAAGAGCATGCCGCGTCACCCTCAGTTAGCGAGCAAGATGATAGCATCGCGAGCAGCTCAACAAAGAATTATACGAACGAGAAAGAACCAGCGTCGTCCCCAGAAACTATGACCACATCATCCTCAAATACAAAACCTAGTACCAACCTTCCGGTCAATACTCTAAGTTCTTCAACGTCTTCAAGCCAGAATAGCAATAGGATAGCAATAGGATCTCCTGTCATCGCCAATCCTTATCCGACAGATCTCAGCGCAGAAGGAAAGAACGAGATGGGTATGTACATAATTTGCATGCTACCGATTTTTCCACCTTTGCGTTTGCTGTGGAGGTTTTGCATCCATCGTTGGCGGAAGAAGATGGAAAACTTTTTTCGGGATAATACTGGTGTCATAGTATGGATGATGTTTTTTCTCCCATTCCCATCTTTAACGGGTCGTCCTGGCACTCAGTTCAAGGGGATGAACGAAAGAGTGCCCCGATGGTCTGCCTCTAGAGGGGAGAAAAAACGCCATTTATACAGAGAGGACGATATGGATAATTCGTGGTATAGACAGCTACAGATGAAGAGAGCCGGTGCTGATGCTGAAACCATCCAACAGAACGTGGTTAAATCCACTTTTCTCACTTCTTTAACGTGGAAATCAGCCTACTTTCAACGCATGCACTTACACGAAGACGGCAGAGCTTGGGGATTCTTGGTCAAGAACGATGGAGAAATTCTATGGGCATCGGATGAGACGTTTGAGGATGAAGCAAAGTTTGGTGCGCAAGGACGAAGGGCACAAGAGGCGATGATCCGCAGAGCAGTGGATGAGGAATTCACCTTCCGCGAGACGCGATGGAGCAGACTGCTGGAGGCAGGGTCGCGAGCAGGGGAGACGAAACTACTTGGAAATGGAAATAAGACAGACTGATTCTGATGAGACCGGTTCTTTTATAGGCAGATTTCCAGGATGAATATGATTGCGCGCCAGTGGTCCTATCTTTGCTGCATCACACTATTAGAAAAGAAACTTCTTGCTCGTTCATTGTGAAGAGGTGGCAGGTACCCTAATATTGTAATACGGTGTTCTACTAAGATGTAACACGACAAGTCTCGAGAAAATGTACTAAGCAGCAGCATTTGAGAGATAGATCTGGTATTTAAAACGAGACATTCCTACTTACTTATGCTTCTACTCCTAGTAATCCTACTTCCTTTCCGATCTAGATGTCGTTTGAGATGCAAGTCCAAAATGCAGCGTTCCACTGCCCAAAATTGGAGAGAGTGGTTTGCCCACTCCTCGTCCAAAGAGTCAAAACCGAACTTGACATCTGGTGGTAGCAGTAGCAGTACTGCGAACAGGCGAGAAGGAGGACGACTCCTGGGAAAAGCAGGAAGTTGTACAACTGCTGCTGTAGATACGAACAACGCCAATGGAGGTGCAAGAACAACTTCTAAGAACATCAACAACAACATTCTTCCTAAGAAGCCTGCTCTCAGCTCAAGAGAAGCCAAGCTGCAGCAGCAACAGGAGAAAGCTAGAAGAAAATATGTGGATCAGCTATTGGATTTCCCGGCAAAGGATCAAGTGGAGATTTTGACTACTTTTTTCGGCCAATGTGATCCTGAGATCTTGAGACATGTCATGCTTGACGATCGGGTGCGAGAACGATGGCCTGGATCGGGAAATTTCCCTAGTCGTGGTGGGAATGCTGCAAATGATCATGATTTAGCGGATTTTTACTTGCGGAAGCGGAACGAGAACGTGTCGCTTAATCACGACATTGACGAAGTGAAGAGTATCCAAGTAGAAACAGGAAGTGTCATAGAAGGAGTACTGCCACGGGATTATAGTGAGCGAAATACGCCAACTAACACTGCAGCCGCTGTCCCCCTACCACTAGAAATCGAGGACGTCGAAGCCGCTTTAATCCATCAAACTTCGGGAGCAGAATCCTCAGATCCGAGTGCGCCTGGAGGACGCTTAGGTAGTAGCTCTGGACATAGGGGAGGTGGTAGGAAAAGACTAAACGGACTACATGTTGGACATCAGCACCCCCTTCATCCACCTCGGAATCTGAAGCAGCGATTATTGCAGTCTTTGCGTTTTCGCCCACAGCCTAGAGTGTTTCTGAGAAACAATGCAGCAGAAGGAACGCCGAAAGGAGCAGGATCTTCTGCATTACAAGTTTCAACAGCATCAAATTCAGGTGTAACTACAGCGCATAATTTGTCCACGAACAAGAACGGCCTCGGCCTCCTCCAGGCAACACGTCGTGCGTCATCTTCATCAAGTTCTTCCACTGCTGAACGTCTTTACCGAAAGTTGTTGCAGGATCGTTCATGGGTACTCGTGTTGTCTGAAGAAGAAGTTTTGGCCCTTGATGAGCCTGTTTTACCGCCAGAATCTGGGGAGAAGACGATGGCATGGGATAGATTTTTCTCACCCACTACAAGCACGTCGCAGAGTCTAGATTTTCAGACCGATCTTCGGCAGTTGGTGTATCAATACGGAGTTCCGAGCCAGTATCGAGACGTCATGTGGTGGTATTTTACGTCGTCAAGTAGTTCTCCGAAGAAACAACATGCTAGTACTGGACAGCAATTTTCACGAATGCAGTTGTTGTTGGATGAGGAAGAAGAGGCGGAAATTTCCAGAGATGCAACTACAGAAGACCCCAGCACGAGAGATGCGAATGCGCTTGCGCGAAAGAACGACCCATCTTCAAGCTGCATCATAGAAAAGTACTATGAACACCTCCTTCTCTTGGCCAGAGCATCTTCTTCTCCCATCCCGTCGCCTATCACACCTATTGCAGCCTACGAGATGAAACTCAACACGAGTCGTGAACAAGATCTTCGAGGACTGGAGGATGAGATACAAAACCTGATCGCGGAACACGGTGATATTAGAGATGATGGCGATAATGCACACCAAGCAACGCTTTTGTCAGCACTTGAAGAACAAGCAGAAAGTTCTTTGGTTACCACTCCAGTCGGCAGCCACAGTGAGGGCACCCCGCGGTCTCTGAGCGCGAGGTCTTTAGATGCGACGTCTATGCAAAACTGCGATGGGTCAGACGTTGCATTTGAGGAACAACAACATCAAGAACGAGGATTACCAGAGTACGTGCTGCGGCAAATTGAGGTGGATATACCGAGATTAGGGGTTTCCAAATTGCATCCTTCACTAACATCCCTGACTTGTTTGTTCGACGTTTTCCCTTTTAGTAATGTAGATAAAAATATGAAGTCTTCAGTGTTTTTCCTCTTTCTACTTTTAGGCTATCCCTTCATGCAATAATAAGAAGCCGCAGTGACAACTTAGTCACCGTGGTCACCGACCAGGGATGTCCTGAAGACGGCAATGTCGGAACCTCTAACCAGAACTCTCCCTAAAGCGCTCACGTCTGCTGATCAAAAAAATGCACTTCGTAACATCCTGCAGGCCTACTGTGTGCATAATCCAAAGGACGCTTATTGCCAGTCCATGAACGTGATTGCTGGACTTCTGGTGTTTCTCGGGTATGGAGGTTCGTCGGAGAGCTCTTCTTCTAGCTCGTCATTTTCAACCGTGACCGTGGTTGCACAATCAGAATCAGCAACGCCAATCGACGAGAGAACTTCAAAAGAAATCTCCTGTTCTGAACCTCATACTTTCATTCTCTTTCTCCGCATCCTCCGCCAACTCACTCCACTCTACCATACAACTAACCTCCGCGGCCTGCTTGTTGACCTCCAAGTGCTCGAGAAGTTGTTACAGGAATTGTGTCCTAAGTTCCTCACGAAGATACAAAGTGTTGGCCTAGACGTTTTGTTCTTCGCAGTTGACCCTTTCCTGTGCCTTTTTGGGCACACTCTGCCGATGCCTGCGCTGGTCCGCGTCTGGGATGTGATCTTGCTTGAGGGCGACGTCGGACTTTTCGGAGTTTTCATCGCCTGTTGCGCGTTGGTAACGGGGCAACATGAAGCTCCGTCGGGCGAACGTGAACAACTACTCGAACTGAGTAGTAAAAATCAAAATCTTTCTACCTGCTCGTCATCTTCATCTGGTGCTGGAAAAGCAAAAAACCCTGCATCTGGAGCAGGAACATCTTCTCAGTCTGCTCCTCAACAAAGTACTACGTCTCGGAGTACTTCTTCGATCTTCGCGAAGAGTTCTACAACTAGCAGTCGTAGTCGAAAAAATGAGACAGAACACGAGAAAAAACCAACGAGGATAAACCCAGCTGCGCCAGAGGTTATCATCAATAAGTGGACACGCGACGTCCGTGAGCTAGCTTCCGTAGACATAGATGCTATCCTAGTCAAAACCCGTGCATACCTTGAAACTGGCGCAATAACAAGGGAAAAACTCGCGTTATTGAGAAGACAAGACCCTAGTTATGACAACGAACTTCGTTTTACAGTACACTAGAGATGATGAGAAATCCTTACGTGCTTCTGCTGGCACCACAAGTTTGGTGGGAAAAATTCATCGTGTTCATGACGCTTTTTCCGTTCTGCTTGGAGCGAAAAGAAAAACGGTTGAGACCGCGTAGTGATGTCTGTGTCGGTGTCTAGAGCAGGAACAAGGGTCTTCAAGAGAACGAGAGTCACGGATCTACTGAGAGACTACTGCTGGACGCTACTGTTGTAGTTTCTTGTAAGTGTCTGGTTGCAGACAAAGCGAGAGGAACGAGGTTGATGAGTTGTGAGTTTAGTTCTTCTGGCTTCACATAACCTCTACCAAAAGGAGTTTTCCACAGCCTCCTCTACCAAAGGAGTTTCCCACAACTACAAGTTCCCACGACGCGAACTACGAGAATCTAATACCCACTTCATTTTTCTACTCCTCATCTAACTATTAAACTCTACGACTAAGTAAGTAGAAGGAATCAATAAAAAACAATCACGAACAATTCTTGCGAACACAATGACAGCCGCGACTGTTCTCCTAGCCACCGAGAAGCCGTTCGCGGCTGGGGCCGTGACAGAGATTGAAAAGGTCTTAGCTTCTGCAGGATACTCTATGGAAAAATTGGAAAACTACACAGAAACCTCCGAACTAACTACTGCCCTGGCGAAGGCAGATGCCGTGATTGTCCGCAGTGATAAGATCAATGGTAACTCTATGCGGACGTAGAAGTGCAACATTCTTATCTATCATCTCTCGTCATGAGGAAGATGTTTGTAGGTACGATCATGATTTGATGTTCCGAATCCGATTTCTCACGTCAAAAAGGTGAAATCCTGGATTCTGCGAAGGGTAAATTGAAATTGGTTGTGCGAGCTGGAGCCGGCGTTGACGCTATCGATTTGAAGGCTGCGAGTGAGCGAGATGTTGTGGTGATGAACACTCCGGGACAGAACAGCAATGCAGTCGCGGAACTTGCTTTTGGTTATGCAGCTGGACTCTCTTGTAATTTAGTTTTGTGAGAAGTTTGCTGCTTGTGTCGTGTTGGAAGATTTCGATAGCTACACATGATAGGCATAGTCATGTCAGAGCACGTGCTCATAAGACATTAAAGCCGTTTGTCAGAAACTAGTTCTTGAATACGTAAGTTTTTAATGTTCGACGGTTGTTCCTAGTCCTACAAAAAGATGAATCTCGCCCTCTTTGGTATCTCCTTATGATCGTACTGACTTAGTATTTGGACGACAGCTCTAACTTGCGATGATGATTACGCAGATGAGGAACCAGTATGACGGAAGCAGTGGGACAGAGCTTAAGGTACTATTTTTAAAGACAATTTTTGAAGCGGGGGTCGCTCGGATTGGCGTCGCCTGCGTTCTTTTGCTAAGAGTTAGCACCGGCACGAAAGCGAGCGTGGGCGGTGGAATCCTTCTGCGGGCACGGTGCCTGCTAATGGCGCTAAAATGCACGCGACGAGCGTGCTCACGGGTAAGGGGCGCGCGGCGTGGTGCGATCGGCGAGGCGAACAGAGTCGGCAGAGTCATATAGCTGGGCCAACGATGCCACTTTTCGCGCTTACTACTCGCGCGGGCCGAAGGTGCCGCGTCCGTTGTTTGTGTGCTCCACTGTGCTTCACGCGGGCAGCGCAGCTTTTTTCTTTGGTGAAAAACTGAAGGGGCAAGGGTGACGCCGCGGCCTCGGCCCTCCCTCGTGCTACGGAGTCGGGCCAGCCGCTGCGGGATGATGTGATCCGCAGGCGGCGGCGACGCCGACGGTCTGACCCGTGCGCGCCCGCTGCTTGTTAGACGCGCGCGCGCGCGTTGCTCCTTAAGTTGTGGGCGCCGCGACCCGCTAAGACTAAGAGTAAAGACAGCAGTGACTGACGCCACGGCTCTTGCTGTCTTCTTCGGCGGTGGGCCTTCCGTGCGTAGCATTTCTGCGCGCCCCCCTTTTTTTGAGTGGGTGAGGGCCACCGGCGGAACATGTGGACGGAAGTGGAGCGCGGCGCGCTTCGTGTGCTGGTGTGGGTGTCTGTTCGGTAAATAAGCTAAAAGGCCCCGGGGGTGTTGGCGTGTTGGCCTTTAATAAATGGCGCGCCTTGTTTGATCGGAGACCTTGCTTCAGGTACCAGCTTGGCTCTTGGCTGGGGCAGTCCAGTACCCTGGCAATTGTATTAGTCTACCCTTTTTTGCCGAAGCCAGTATGATCCTTCGCGTTTGCCCCCGGGGCTGTCGGGCACTTCTGGCGCCTGAAACTATCTCGTCGGATACTGGGGCAGCTTATGCTTTCTCTTATGCGGCGACGCGGTGCGCCACTTATCAACCACTGGGAGCACGGCTTCTACGTCGACAACATCCCGAAGACCAACTTGACGATAGAGCAAATTCCGGACGCCGCAGAGTAGTGGCTGGAGTGCCGTGGCGGGTCGGGCGTGTCGTTTGCTTTGGTATGTATGTAGAGAAGCACGCCGGCGCTGGCCGCTGATTCTCCTGCGCGCCGTGGATGAAGTGGAGGAGCATGGAGACGCTTCGCGCTTCCTCGCGCGGTTTGTTGGGGCAGACGCCTGGCGCAGCAGTTTGGCCGTTGCGGTCCACGGCAGTGATTGCAGTCCCCTGCCATCCTTGTCGGCGTTGGCATTGCATAGATACCACGAGGAGGAGCGCAATTCAGCAGAGCAGGGGCGGGGCGGGATCTGGTGAAGACGCTAGACGCGTGGGCCTTCTTCGCTGAGGCATTGAGCGGCGGAGTGGTGCGCGGGGGGACAAATCTAGCAACCGCCTCACGGAGGTGAACTGCAGCGCTCAGCCAGCTGCCACACTTTCGCACGCGCTGCGTTGCGTGATGAAGACAGCGGGGAGCTGGATGGCAGGCGCGCGCTTAAATGTCGCAAGCGTGCGGAGCACGCTAGAGGTGCGCGCGGCTGTGGCCGGGGGATGGCTACGATTTTGGTCGCCTCACTCTATTGACGGAAGAAGCTCGAGGGGAGCGGCTCTTGATAGTGCACGCCAGACAAGAAAAGACGGCCGCGCCTGTCATGGTTTCTGGGAAAAGTGAAGAAGAACAGGGCAAAAGAAACCACTAGAACAAGGAGAGAACAAGAAAAGCAGGCGCAAAAAACTAGAAGAAGACCAAGAAGCAAGGGCGCCCCGCTCGATGATCTCGCGACGCAGCAAAGGGGCGCGCTTCTAGCGGAGGCCATTCATTGGCGCACTTCACTGGCGAAGCTAGTACTTAGCGCGGGCGTGTCTGAGGAAATCATTGCGCAAAGAGGGGGCGCGCGAACGCAGCGGAGGGGGCCGCAAAGGGATAGCGTAGCGCGCCAGGTGCGTGGGGGTAGTGATTGGCTGAGGTGCAGCCGCCCGGGGGCCCCCGCCCCGGAAATCTGCGGCAGCGCCGGGCCGCAGGAGGGAAAGGCAGCTGAGTCAGACGCTGTGGGGGGCTTGCTGAAGATGAAGAGAGCCCCTGGCGCTGTGTGCTAGCTTTGTTTTTTGTGTCTTTCTTCATCGATGGATCTGCCGCCTCCGTGTTCTCGCTCGGGCACTGGGGACACCCCTGTCCACAAACCACCAAGGACAAGTATTACCCACCAGAAGACCTTCGTGCACTAGCACTGGCTCACGTAAATTATCAAAATTCCAGGGCAAAACTCTGGCGCTGCATGGCTTCGGGCAAGTTGCTCGCAATATGCACAGACTTGCTAAGGGATTTGAAATGAAAGTCATAGCCTACGACCCTTTTCTGAAAAAGGAAGACATCGAAGCCACCGGCGCAGTGGCGGCATCGTCGGTATTGCGTACTTACTAGTTTTTAGTTTGCTGCCCGCGAAACTATGTATCATGTATGAATATAATATTGTCGTCGGTCTACTGTAACATTGAAAATATGAGGTAGTTACGAGAAAATCACCTAACGAGAACCACTACATCATCATGATAATAATAGCGACTTCTCTCTTCACACAGACTTCTCTCTTCACACATCCTCATCCAACACTTCTCCAACACTCGCTCGCGCTATCATATATTTGCGGCCTTGATTATTGTCGCCCATCCTTTGGAAACTGTCGGGTCCGTGGCTAATGGGGTCCGAGCAGTTTGGGCGATATTTTTCTGCCGGACTTTATCACGCTGTACCTGTAGCAGGGAGGCTCCTCGCAAATGTATCAGATTTGGGCGCTTCACGATCTGAACCTGAAGCGCCCAAATCTGATACATTCGGGCTCTGGGATGTGGATTTGGTTTGCGTGATTGGTTGGCGAAGCTTGTGGTGTCCGTTTTCAGTAGTCTCTGGGCTTCAGTGGTCCTTGGGTTTGTTCGTGCGCATAAAGGTGTGCACATTAGGTCGCTTATTGGTCTGCATATTAGGTCGCACTTTAGGTGTCATAGAATTAGGCCGCATATAATGCGGCTTTTTTTAGGCTCAGCGTCAGTGACTATGTTGAAAAGTTGAGCTTTAAACTTAACAAGCAGAACACATCCAACACTTCTCCAACACTTCAACACATGATCATCTCTCCAACTCCGACTCCAACTCCAACTCCAGCTCCACTAAAACATGAAGGTCGCTGAGTTATTTGATGCAAATTTTGTGAGCTTGCATATTCCTTGCACACCGGAAACTCGGGAAAGTATTGGCAAGGAATTCCTCCTCAAAATGCCGAAGAAGGGTGTTTTGGTTAACACAGCACGTGCTGAGGTCATCAACGAACCCGAAATGGTCGAGGCATTCAAAGAAAGTATTCTCATCTTGTATTCTGAGGCCTTTTATTCGTTCTCATATCATTGCTAGTACTTGTACTTATTCTACTAATCTATCATGATTTCTCTCCAGGTTCCGATACTGCTCTCAATTCAAATAAAGAACATTACCAATACCTATCCTGATCCTCACTTCAGGTTCCGATACTGCTCTCAATCCAAATAAAGAACATTACCAATACCTATGCATCTAATTAAAGGACGTCCAAACACCTCTTGCTAGGCACATTCATTCATTCATTCATTCATTCATTCATTCACACCAACTACACAGGATCCGACCTTGCTTACGTTACTGATGTAAAGCCGGAGAAGTGTTTGGATGAGCTGGCGCCTCGCACCTTTATGACGAAGAAGAAGATGGGCGCGCAAACCTCCGAGGCCAACAACAATTATGGCTTCTCGTCCTAATTATACATCGGATGAAGCATCCTGGCGAGGCTTTTCAAAGTGAAAAGGGGTCCAGGATGATCCTGTTTAAGATGAAGATTTTCATATGTCATATGTCAACATTCTGGCCTACTTCTTGTACTACACTCATCAACTAGCTCTAAAATAACGCGGGTATTGCGGCTGCGCAACAGATCGTTGCGTTCTTCGAGAAGGGTGACGTGCGCTTCCAGGTCAACAAACCTGGACAGACTTTTTAAACGTGAGCATACTTGACGTGACGCCTCAGAGTTGTGTTTGAACAATCTTTTACGAGATAGGAATACATGATTTTTTTACAACATACTTCTAGTTCTAACTACTATGAATGTATCTTCCTCTTGTCCTGCACGAACAAGGTGTGAGGTAGTTGTCGTTCTTGTTGACAGCTCTAGTATCTTGTCGAGGACGCAGTTGATGTTCATGTTGTAGTTTCTACAACGTGAACACGTGTAAAATTTGTCTAATCATCAAGATCAGAACTAAGCTTCATTGCCAGTAGCAGGCTCATTCATCTTGTCTCTAACTGATTTATTGTGGGCGTCTACACGCAACAGCCCATTTCGATATCTGTTTTAGCGAATAAGATGTCATATGTCAACATTCTGGCCTACTTCTTGTACTACACTCATCAACTAGCTCTAAGTGTCCATCTCATTCTTTTTTTTCTTCTTGTCTCATCTTGTTGATACTAAAAACTATGTTGATACGCAAACGCATGCGTAGTCGTTTTACTTGGGAACTTAAATATCAGGGAATTCTTAACTTAGTTAGCAGGAGCAAAAACAGGATTGAAGATCCAAGGAGATCACTAACAACAAAGAGGCTGGCCTCCTTGTAGTTGTGGGGCTTCGTCTAGTGCTCTGTGGTGAATAGTCAACATACTAGATAATTGAGATGAATTGGAGGACGAGTGGGCCATCTGACATGTCCCTCTACTTCCTCTAGTCAGTGTCAATTCACTATCGTATTTGTGCAGAAAATTTGTGTTCGTATAATTGGAGAGTCACTTGACGAGTTGTTCTTGGAGCTGTTTGCTGAAGTTTCTTAGGACTCACTTTCATTATCTACACTCTAGAAGGTCGTCTTCTACGCTCCACCATGAAAGGTCGACAGGAGCGCACCTGAGATCCCACTCGGGGCCTGAAGTTAGATAGATACATTGATTCTCCCATATTATGAGTTCACGACCCTTTAATAGAATATTATGGTGGGACGACCTGTCCCTCTACGGCTACGTAAATCCGCCCGAGAGAGCAGGTAAAACTGCGGACGGCGGACTTCATCCTATCCTATCCTGTCCGTTCATCATAGCTTTACCTAGTGCTCCTTATAATCAACATAGCTTCAACCCTTCATCATCTGTTCAAATTATAAGACAAACTCGTGTGTTGATTTTCCATACTACAATCGTTACATCTTCCTAGTAATCATCCGTGACTTTAGATACAGCTACATCCTTGTTAGTAATAGAACACCAAGCAGACAACCAAAATGGGGGACAGCACTTCTTTGACGTCTAGTGGCTTGCTGTCTGCTGGGAGCGGGTCTCGGAATAAAGAGCCGCTACTACAGGCAGAGAGCAGCTCTTCTCCCTACGATGCTCATTACAGCGGAATGCCCTCTAGTGTGATGCAACATTATGACGTCGATTTAATATTGATTGCTATCGATGCTAGATGGAATCCTTCGTCTAATTTACGCCAGGAGGCTCATTGACTACTAGCGGTAGCAGAGGCCGAGGCATATCTATATTCAGTAGTATAATTACCATGCTAGGTCTGTAGTGTTGGTTTTTGCTCTTTCCGGCTTAGTGCGTTACTGTATGCTCAATGGATTCATTTCCTCTGGGCCTGGTCTCAAAACTGATTTGGTAGATCAGGTTGGAGACACATGATGACATGACAGTGTTAATGAATTTGAGACTGTGGAATCCTTTTTCTAATTCACACGCATGGATGCAACACCCGGAGGCTCATTAACTACTAGCGGTAGCAGAGGCCGAGGCATATCTAGCGGATCAGGGGCTCGAGCTGCGTACTACAACATACAGCAAGACCCGTCAGGAGCTGTGTCTGGTGGAATCACAGGAGCTGGAGGAAGCTACATTCAAGGTGGAGCAGTCTCATCTTCTACATCAACATCTACTTCTGTTTCAGAGAGAGCTTTATCTGCAGCAGCGTTTGCAAGGGAAGTTGAGAGGACAGAACTACTGGCGCCAGACAGCGAGATAACGGCAGAGATGACGGCTTTGCAGAGGGCGAAAGTTATATCGAGGTACTTATCTTCATCTTCGACCTCCTCGACAACGATCAATCTTCTGATACAATCTGTATCACGACCTTGTTGTTCCTTCTATTGTCGTTTTCGACTGGTGACTTCCCGTTTTCCCACATAGAAAACGAACTCAGCAGGTCTCTCCTCCTCAACTTATGCCGATGTCGATGGCCCACGACCGACATGAGTAAGTGGCGAAACGCGAACCACCAGTATCAAAGGGCGCCACCCAACACAACATTACAAGAATTCTTAGACATGTCAAATCGGGAAAGCGATGCCGAAACGACTGTCACGGTCCTGCAAGCGCCCGCATCAGATACCATGAGCGGTGGAGCAGGGAGCAGACTGACGAAACAGTATAGAATAGTTTGATTGAATTATATAGTTTACGTATAATAGGTAAAGGTATACTATTCTGCTTGGATGAGAATTTTGTTTCGAGATCATTTGTAGTCCTCTGACTATTTGGCAGATAGAGGAATGTTCCTAAACACCGTTCCACCGATTGGTCATTGTTTTTCACCTCCTCTACAACGAACTACTTATTTCTACCAAGTAACATCAAGAAGTAACATCAAGTAACATCAAGTAAGAACATCAAACTTCTCACAAGAACTTCCAAGTGGAACACCAACAGCGCTCTCTTCTCCGACGAGCCTGCTAGTGCGGTGCAAACAGAGTTAGAGAACGGAGACGACAGCTATTTCCACCAAGACGACGAAGAAGTGATAGCTCAGAAAGCTGTGGAAGACGTTGACGGGGATGATAAGCCATTGAATAAGACATGAGGATCGCAGATTTGATGATCTCATGCGGCCGAGTGCTCTATCTGTATCCCCGGATCAACATCACAGTATACAGGATTATCGGAGTACCGACGGCGCACTTGTCCCGCGCACTGCTGGCACACACGCAAGATCGATTCAATCTTTGTAATCTTGCTGAATGAATCTTCGCGACTATGTCATCATTTTGTACATTAGGAAGCACCACGACACCGCGGCATCAGTAAGATGAGTAGTTGACAACGGCGGGAGACGGCATTTTCCGCACTGAAAGCTGTTCGCGCAAAATTCACATAGCCATGTGATTTACTACACTGTAGATGTTGCGCCTTCGAAGAAGATATACACATGATTCGCATTGAAAGTCCATGAATCCCACATAACTCTAGGTCGTGGACATGTTGAACCGTGTGTGTGTAAATCTAACGACCTCGTCCTTTCTGTACAATGAATTAAGTATACTCCCATTCCAAAACAGCAGCCATGACATCAAACTGAAAAAAGAAAGATCAATTACGATTCTGTGTAGCATGTCCACGTGTGTGGCGCTGCCTTTCTTCTTGTTGCTGTGCTCTCGTCATACGAAGATGCTGCGGTGAAAGAACATTGACTGAGAATAGATTTCACCACTAGAGAACTGTGGAAAGCAGATTGCGTGCGTCCTAAGCCTAAGCAATCGGTTTCGGTCGTAGCCAAATGGTGCACTGAAACAACAAGTAAAGACCCTTTGCTGGGTACATCGTCATCTTTAACGTCTTCATGGTAGACGAGTATGAGAGAGTAGTACAACGTTTCTTGTAGCATTTATTTGGCTCAAGGAGCAGAGACTGGTCGAAATCTGAACTTCTTGTCCGTTCAGGAAGCTTAGTAACAAACAAACATACTAAAAAACGTAGAGCTTGTTTTCTTAATCTCCACTTTTGTGCTGAAGAATCTCGAACAGTAAGGCCATAATCGTCTGGAGGTTTGATTTTTTTATCAACTACTCACTATTTATCTTCAATCTCCCCAACATGGAGGACATCGTTTTTGTATCATCGTCATAGATTTAGATACATTAAGATTAAAGTTCAACGATTATACGTATACCCTTACCCACTACCAAGTTTAAGAACTACCATAAGGACATACAAGATACCCACTATTACATTATAAGCTTGAGAACCATCAAGAAGATTAATCACAAGCTGCTAGATTTTCAGAGAAACAAGATGTTGACCATGATGAAGAGAAACGGAGCAGGATTACTGGGAGCAGGTAGATGGGTTCGCGGTGCTCTCTTTTGCTGCGCTTCTTTGGCCTTTCTCTTTGCCCAGGAAGTGGTTGGTGTGCAGCTTCAAGCTGCGGGACCGGCGACCGGCCAGGTGACGTTGAAGTGCTATTTTGGCTTGCAGGGCGACGAGAAGAATGTGGTGCCTGTGACGGTCGATCTTTCCAAGATCAAAAAAGTGACTAATAAACTACAAGAACATGTAGTACATTACAATGACTTCGAGGATACACCGGGAGATGCGCCTCCAGAAGATCTTCTTGCGAATCATGCTTCATCAAGAAGTTCTTCATCTACGGATCCTCTTCCAGCGGGGTTTTTGCCAAGAATACTCGGTCATGAAACAGTAGGTGGAGACCCTCGTGGTCCAAAGGTAGCGGAACCGGAGATTCATCTAAGTCGAGACGACACGGTTGGAGATCTTGTGAAGCACGTGATTAAGGAGTTAAAGGCTCCAGGCAACGAATCAGACTTGGATTGGGAGGCGAGGTACTTCGATTTGCAACCGGAACACATCGAATTGGTCGTAAATGCCAGCAAAGTTGCGCTTTCAGAGCATGAGGAGCTTGGCTCTGCACTCGAGAAAGAACATGAAGCAGCTGCGGCGGAAGGCAGGAAAGAACTGCAATGCCATCTCGTGCCGCAATCGCCGCTGGAAGGAGGTCGTCCTTATGGCAAAGCGGACCTGTTGGCGTACCTGCGAAAAACGCCTGTCTTTTTGAAAAATTGCAGTAACAAGGTTAAATGTAACAAAGAGATCGTGCTTGCAACTGTGAAGAAGTTGGGGACTGCGCTGCGCTTCGCTTGTCCGGAGTTGCAAAATGAGACCGAAGTCGTTTTAGCTGCTATCGAGCAAAGTGGCGGAACAGCGCTTCAGTACGCGTCACTGCAGATGCAAAACAACAGAGACATTGTTCTGGCTGCCATTGCTGCATGTAGTAAAGGAGATCGGGACTCGGACATCAACATAGTGGATTCTATTGGCGTGGACTTGCTCGACGACAGGGAAGTGGTTCTGGCAGCTTTTAAACAGTGGCCGGATCGTGCGGAGCCACCAATGCGTTCTACTCGTCTTCAAAGGTTTTTCGTTTTGGACACGAGTCGGCTCCCCAAGGCCCAACTTCGGGTGGAAGAAAACATGAGCAACCTAAGGAATGACCGCGACTTTGTTTCGGCAGCGATAGAGCTCAATGGTGAGCACCTTTTCTATGGGTCCGAAGACCTGCGAAAGGATCGGAGTCTTGTTCTGCAGGCTGTTCGTAAAAATGGCCTCGCCCTTAAGTGGGCCTCTCCGGAAAGGCGAGGTGACAAGGATATTGTTCTGGCGGCTGTTAAAGAAGATGGAAAAGCGCTAGAATTCGCGTCGGAGGACCTCCAAGACGATCCCGAAGTTGTGGTTGTCGCTATCGAAAACAGTTCTTCCGGCTATTCTCTGGATTTGGGGAACGATTTGGAGGATGTGCGGGAATGGATTGGAGGCAGAGCTCGGGCTGACAAAAGAGTTGTTTTGACAATTTTCAAAAGAAGATGGCCTCGAGACGACCAGACTATTAACGGGAGCAGTCAATTAACAAGAGGACGCTTCTCTAAGCCGAAAACGTTGGAAGAAATGTCCAACAACAAGGAGCTACAAGACGACCGGGAGTTCATTTTCGACATGTTGAAGCTCGACCCGACCCATATTCGCTATGCTTCGGAAGATCTGCAGCGCAAGAACAGAGATCTCGTTCTGCGCGCCGTAAAGATGAACGGGAATGCGCTTAAGTACGCCTGCGACGAATTGAGAGGCGACCGGGGGATCGTCATAGCCGCTGTTGAGGCGGATCCTGAGGGATTCCGCTTCGCTTCCGAGGAGCTGCAGAACGACAGGGAAATTGTGGGCATTGCTATCGAAAAGAAGTGGCAAGTCTTTGCATTTGCCTCGGAGAAAATGAAAAAGGAATGCGCTGCTCTGGCGGCAGAAAAGGCTGCCCACGATGACAATGCTCTCTTTTACCTGCAAGCGGGCACTGACTCTCCCGGTCGGAATTGTCCGATGCAACGACTTCTGGTTGCAGACCGCGACTTTTTTTTGGAGCTCGTGAAGGAGAAGCCAGAGGCCCTTTGGTTCGCCGACGATTCCCTCAAAAACGATCCAGAACTTATTCTAAAGTATTGCTTTACTATTGGAGCTCGACGGCGACGAGCTGCTGCTGCTGCTGCTGTAGGAGGGAAAAACGATCCAGTTCCAGAAATTGTCTAGGAGTGGTCTTTCTACATCATTAAGTCTAAATTGAGATAGTAATGATAAGAGCTTCTTGCTGGAAAATTTGTTTTCGACATCATGGTCATGTTGTGACTAAAGAAATTTATTTCTTGAGCAAGTTGTGACCCATGAATTCCTCAGCTCGAGGATGGTTTAGTTGGTTTGAGTTTGAGAAGTTTTGATTGATCGAGTTTCTCTTGCTAATTAACTTTTGGGTGGTGGTAACCCCACTACAGGAGCGGGCCGCAGCTTTTGTTTCGCATCAAACTTCCTCACAGGTGCGCGGAGGTCGCGGAACTCGTCGCTAAAGGGAGAAGGTCACCAGAAAAGGAAAAGAAGCAGGAGCCCCGGGGACGAAGGTGAAGAAGGGGGCAAAGAGGAAGGGAAGAAGAAGAAGAAAAGGGCCACTTTTAGCAACCAAGTCAAGCTCGTTCTACCTTCTTGAAAGTAGGGAGAGAGATTCCCGTCGCTGTTTAGATCTATTTCTGCGCCTCTGTGGAAGATTTTCAGTATTAGTTTCGTCCTAATTTGACCCCATAAAATCGAAACGCTTTCAACTATTTACAGGCTAAACCATATCAGCATGCTACCACTGAACTACTTGAACTCAACGCCATGAATTTACCGAATTTCATGCGGTTTCGAACTAAACGACTCCAGACAGGTGAACCAGTCAAAAACCTTCACAATTTTGAACCAGGACGGTACCACACAAACTACTAGAGGAACTCACTAAATTTTTGAACTAAAGGCAGTCTCAAGCTGATTCAAATCGCAGCTATTAAGGTTACATAAAGCCAGCCCGATACCGTTATCTTACTTGTAATCGTAGCCAACAAAAACAGCAGCAAGCTGACTCGATGAATTTCACTTCAACTTCCGAACCCATGAGGAGCATATCGGGGGGAGAATGTGACCCAGTGCGAACCGTGACCCTATCCCCATGAAGGTCCGGACTACTACATCAATCTAGTAGTATAACTTCATCTGAACAAAAGATGCTGAACTACAGCAAGGACATCGAGAAACAGAGCTGCTCCACAACAGAAAACTTCAGGAGATGAACTACACATACAAGTAGATGTAGAGGAGAGCTACAGAATGCAAGTAGATGCGTCGCCAGGGAAATCTTAGGCAGATTGCCGAATAGATTCGCCTGGTCGTCAGATTTTGCGCATTTATCGTAGGTCTCGTCGTTTTCATAGCAACGAAGTTTTCGCTTCATCTCTCCTGTGCAATAGTTTTTTTGACTATCTAGCAGGGCGTTGCTTCAATTTTTTTCGTTACAACTAGTACTTCCTCTAAGAAAGCGAGAAGCAGCAGCGCAAGCACTTCCAGCACATCGAATCTGGCTAGTTTCACCAACCTCAAACAAATGGACTAATTCTGTTTTGTTCCTCTATCAATAGGCTAAGAATAGATAGAACTGTATACAAATGTGGGACATCATGATGAAGGGGAAATAGAGCTAGATGAATATGGACGAGAGACACGGACACCATGACAATGATGATGATGCTGGAAAGATCATTTTTTGTGTGCCTTTTTGCTGTGCATGTCCTGTTAGAGAAACTGTTTTGATGGGTGACGAGAGCGAGACATGTCTGTAGTTGGCAAGAGTTTGTACAACTAGCTAAGTACGCGGCCTACGCTGAGAAAGCATTGAGATGAATCGAAACTATGAGCTAAATGTTCTTGGATTTCTGGTTGTTCTGTATTTGATCGATGTTGATATTTGATATTTCGGACGATGATTCGGATTCGAAATTTGATATTTCGGATAATTCGAATGCGGAAGAGATGTCAAGCTCAAGACCACTCAAAAATTTCAATGACTATGACTGTAGCGCAAACAAGTGCTCTGTTCTTCTGTGAATGAAAGGCGAATATCAAATACACTACTTACAAGGACTGCTCGTTTTGCTTCTAGCTCTTGGTCTACTTGTTGAGCACAGGAGACTGACAAGTTGGAAAAAAATACACCCAGCAGCCCCTCGTGCTCATCTGCAGGACGACACAAGCAGTATAATTTCTCGTGTTAAATCTTTGCAGCATTTTCCTCAATGTACGCTTCAGCTTCTAAAGCAAGATGAATGTCCGATTCCTGATGTTGTATCGAATGAACAATTGTCATCCTGACGAAGTACTAGCCTAGTTCTACTCAATTCTATCACGAACAAGAATGATGAAAAATGTTGATCAACCGACTAGAATACAACATGTGAAGAGAGGAAAGCACACTGAGGGACACAGAACTTCTACTGACAAGAATTATGTTTTTTTATGACTCAACACGTCGAACCTTTTTAACCTGTCGAACCTTTGTAATTTTGTTTCCTCAATAGACGTGCTCCACCGGTCTTACAATATACTATTGTCGATCCTGTTAATGTTACCCTCCCCTTTCTACTCATTGCAACAGTGTATAGAAATTGTGAAGAAGATCATAGGCTAGCCAAAGAGCTTTCTGATTCCATCGTTTCTCTCCTGCTACCTTCCCTTATATTAATGATTAACCTTTCTCTCCTGTCCTCAGCTTCACTCTTTCAAACTTACTACCTACCACGACACGTCGCCTCCACAGCTTCACTCTTTCAAACTTAGTACCTACCACGACACGTCGTCGTGGAGGTCAACATCTAGAAGAGAGGACAATAATGTCGTTTTGTTTTTTCTGCTGGGATCCTAGCCGCACAGCGGACGACTTGGCTCATAAAGGCGAAGATCGCGAATTGGACGAACAGGATGCCAAGATCCTCTACTACTCGCCTTCTTACGCAGCTCAGGAGGAGATCCGGATGCAGGTGGCTATGGTTCAGGGGATAAAGGACTTCACAAAACAATTCGACATAGAGGAGGATTTGGCAGCAGCGTTTGGAGGTGCTGGTGGATCAGGCATTTTTAGTACTACAGCAGGTCCAGCAGGGGATCATCTACTTCCTGGAGGAGGTGGCAGTTGTGCCTCCAGTAGTGCGTTAAACGAGCAAATAGGAGGTAGTAGATCGTCGACATCTTCTTCTCTCAAGAAAAATACAGGTCTCAAGAGTATAAAAACGAAAGAACATTGCATGTGTTTTGAGGAGGTGGAGCCAGATATTTTCTTCGCTCTCAGCGTTAGGCATCCTGTGCAGACGAAGGTACTTAATTACCTAGTCGATGTGATGGACGCTGATTTACTTTTCTTGACGTACCTTGATACAATAATTATAGAAATTATACTACTTATCGACGTGGTGCTGGTGATGTTGATTCCTTGGCGACTGAGATCTGATGTTATCACCATTTCATTAAATAAGTACACCAACCATGACCCCATCAACCACAGGCCGACGGAACCGACGAGTACCTCGAAACTGTTACTCAAGAGTCGACACTCAGTGCAGTGTTGAAGAACTTGTATCAAGTGTTTAGGCTTTTGCATGGTCCTGTGCGAAGCTATGTGTCTTCTAGTGGACGTAAAGCTGGGTCTTCAACAGCCTCAACAAGTGCTGGTATTAAGCAGAACATCAAGGGCAAAACAAAAGCAAATTCGCAGAACAACAAGAACAAGGACGTCAATCTCCTCCGTGACTTATTTGAAGACCTGTTACCAGCATTTTTGGAAACCGTGTCGTGCCACCTCCTCGATTCGCACCACGGGAATGGGATTTTTTACCACCTAGACGGCTTCCAATATGGACCGGTAGAGCGGAACACTTACCTCACGATCTCCAGCTACATCGCCAAACTAAAAGAGAATGTGCCTTTCAGCAAAGCCGCTCTGTTCTACAAGGCGCACTTGATTCATAGTGGCATCGCCAGATCGGATATGAAGGTGCTGTATAGTTACCTTGTGAACCTGTTTGACGGCAGCGTTTCCAATGCGAAATTGAACCGACCACCTTATGCGCGTATCCCCACAGCGGCTGCGGGTCATCATACACACTCATCCCCCTTTGGGAGGTCGCATTTAGTCGCAGGGGAAGACGCCACAGGAACAAGTACAAGTGCAGGACTGCTTGGAGGTGGCGTATCAGCGTCAGCCAGTACAGGTACAAGTGGTGCTCGTGGCAGAAACTTGTTTGGTTCTTCTGGAGGTGGTAGAGGAGGTGCCTCCGCTTCTGGAGGGCCTAGTGGCTCTTTTTTACTTGGTGCTGATACGACTTCCTCAACGAATGCCGGGTCATCCTCGTTAGGCGGTGGAGGAGGTGCCTCTTCCGCCTCTAGTAAGAACAATGCCTCTAGTAGCAATGCTGGTCTCTTCGTTCCGCGTATTTTCCTCGAGGATGGCAGTGAAGGCCAACTTGTAGCGCTTTGTTATCGGGGATTATTGCAGGTGTTAATTTTCGACGCAAACACAGTCAACGTGGACGCTCGGTTGTTGGAGTCTGTGCGGTATTTCTCAACCGCAGAAGCGGTCATGGAGAACTTGAGTACGCTGATCGATATCATCGATAAACAATTTTCTCTCGTGATGTCTCCAGAAGATGATTATAAATTTCTCTACTTCAACCACGGAAACCAAGCCCTACGGGTCAGCAGCCATTATAACGCGGTCCACAAAGCAAATCAAAGTGGTGCGGCGGGGAGTGCCTCAGCTATGGCTGTTATGAGATGGAGGATGAACCTTTTTTCATTTTTCGTTCATGCCGGAAAGAAGCTAAATAAAGTAGTACAACAGCCGGCTAGTTTTCACCTCGACACTATTAGACTTATCCCGTGCAACAAGCTAAATAAAGTAGTAGTACAACGAACATGATACAACTTGTCGCCATACTCATACATTCGTAGATCATAATTCTTCTCCATCGTCATCCTCTAATATACCCAGTGCTGCCGCGAAATTGAACATGAAGGGCCAGGGCACTCGGGCAAGGCCAGGCGAAGATCCGGGCATGTACCCGCGAGGAAATGCGAGTAAAGAGCAGCCTCAGGCAGTAGGAACAAGAGTCTACAACCTAGTTTCTGGCGCCGTCGCAAGCGTTATATCCTCAGGGTCGGAGCAACCAGTGAGTGGTGGACAGGAAAATGAGGATATGGGTACTATGCGCCGCAAAACTAAAGCATCAGGATATTAAAGATTGATGAAAATATAAATCCTGTTATAAGTACCTGACTCTGTCTGAAAAACCATATAATAAATTAGAACTTCTTGAATATATCTCCAATCAGATCTCACCTCTTGAATCCAAAATCAAAATCACCGCCACCTCACCACCACCCCCAACAAAGCTCAACGTCACAGATTCCAACCTTCGCGGTCCTCGTGTCACGTTGTCCCAGTTGTCGAACCAGTCCACAGCTGAGTACCTTGCCAGAGGCGAAAAAGAACTCTTCCTGACGCAGAATCTTCACGAAACCATCGGACAGGAAAGTGAGTCCGGCTACCGAGAAGTCTGCCTCAAGGAAGCCGGACGTGGATGGATTTGCGCAAAGAGGTCCTTGGAGAGGGAGTTCTTCCTGATGCTGTCGGATCCAAATATGATGCTCAGCAAATGTCAGGAGGAAAACGCGAGGTTCTCCAACATCCATTTTCAGAACATCTACATGATGTAACTGGTGGTGCCGTGGTGCCGTGCTGCCGTGACTGGTCCTGCCTCCACGCTACGATTCTGATGTAACTAGTGGTGCCGTGACTGGTGGTGCCTCCACGCTACGAAGATTCTCCAAGAGACTGAGACGACACGTTGGTGGACGATCAAGAAGCCTCAAACTAGCATTTCACGAAATGATCGCTGCTCCTCGTCGTTAAAAAGCGACAAAAACATCGACCACAACACTCACTATGCCCCACTACTCAAAATGCAAATAACTAATGCGGGGAGTTCGACAAGGGGTGTTCCACTAAGTAGGGTCGTCTTGGAGCTTTGTTAGATCTGCAACCATTACCTGTTCCCATATTATAAGTCTATGAATATGTATGGCATAAGTCTAGTGATTTAAGAACGATGGACATCAAGAATTATACCAGGTGGAGCAATAGGTTCATCGGGCAGTTTGATGTAACTAACGGATGGTGATGGTCTGTAGTTTTTCGTCGAACTTCAGCCTAGGTTGGCGTATTTGATTCGTTGTAAAATCGTCACGAAATAGAGAGGTCAGATAAAAATGGGTTCTCGTAGCAAGGCCGCTTCCGCAGCTGCGATGAAGAAGGCTCCGCCCGCCAAAGCTCCACCCAAAGCTGCGGGAGCGAAAGCGAAGGCGAACGCCAACCAGCACGCTTCGAGTGGTGCGAGCTCCTCTGCTACTGCTGCGAGTAAAGCTAAACGAGCACCCTCAACTGCTAGAAGTAGACCGCCACCAAAAAATGCAGGAATAGGAGGGAGTAAAAGTAGCAATGCAGGAGCTTCGTCCTCTGCAAATAGCAAAATAAGTGATAAGGGTGAGGCTTCAAATCCAACGCCAGTCGTATTAACCGATCATTCAGCCTCACCGGCGTCATCAAAAGGAGGCAGCAAAAACAATAAAGCGAATGCGAAAGAGTCCAAGGTCGCTCCGAAGGTAGCTAAAGCTGGCGCTACAGTTGCCGCTCCTCACGCTCCCTCAGTTGTAGCAACTAAGACCACAGCATCAAACGCTGGCACGACGAGTAATAAGCGTGCGCCATCTCGTGCGCCATCTCGGTCACGGGGAGGTGCTGGCGGTGCGTCGAGTGCTTCTAGTAGAGCGGCAAAGAAACAGAAACAGAGCGAACAAGAAGACGAAAGGAAAACTGAATTTGATACTACGTCAAAGAACAAACAGAAGCACAAGCACGCGGAAGAAGATGAAAAGAAGGCAGAAGCTGACGTCGATAGTGAGAAGGCGAAAACTGACGTCGACAGTAAGAAGGCAAAAACTGATACTAATAGTAAGAAGACTGCATCTGTATATGCAATGGAGATGGAGAAGGCAAAAACTGACGTCGATAGCAAGAAGACTGCATCTGTATATGCAATGGATAAGGTATTGGAGGATGCTAGAGCCCTTGAAGTGAAGGTCCTTGCAGCTGAAGAAAAGGACAAGGTAAGCGTCACTTCTGAGGTGGTGAAGGCCGAAGATATTGCGCTGATCGCTTTTGAGAAACAAGCTGCTGGTGCTGACACGACGAGCACAAAACAAAAAGTTCTTGACATCGGCGCCGACAAGGGGAACAAGAGTAAGCTAGATGAGGAGGACCAAGACCTTAAGGTTGCAATTTCTGGCGAACATCAAGAAAAGCTGTTTCCACCTGAGGCAGAAGAAGCCGATGATATTGAAGAGATCAAGGTCCCTACAACAACTGACGTTTTCAATCATGATGTTGAGCTGCATCAAACAAGAATCGATGTGGAGAGGCAGAACAAAAGACGAGAAGATCGCGGAGGTGTTGGTAGTATCGATGTCGAGGTAGAGGTGGAAGCAATTGAATCTCTGACGAAAGGCGTAAGTGCATCGGCAGCTTCCTCCTCTTCCCCTGCGACTTCATTTCCAGCAACAGGAGCACGACCAATCCCCCGGACGACGACCACTACAACGACCGCACAAAAACAACCCAGCACTGGAGAAGTCCCCACGACCACAACTGGTCTTACTGAAGTCCCCGAGACCTTGCGGGAGGATATTTCAGAACTCGTGTTAAGGCTTCCCCTAATCCATCTCCGGAAGCATCTTGGAGACGTTTCTTTTCCTCAAGGGGAAAACGGACCCAGGATGCTCCTCGGGATGGATAAGGGTGAGTTCTAACCGTGCGCATGTTTGATTACTCCTGTAGGCGATTGGAGGAGGAGAAATCCGTAACATTGTCGAAGGAAAATATTGCGCGTGCGGCTGATATCATCCAGCAGTTGCAGAACTATTCTGTTACGGAATAATGTTAAAGAGTACTATCAATAAGGGTACTCTGTAATGACGATTTCAAATAGTACTATCATTATCAAATCTATGAGAAATAGAAATAGAGCAGTCAGTAACAGAAAGAGTATGACTCCTCTGGTTATAATTACTTTTTTGTTTCTTAAAAACCAAGGTAGTTGTTCCATCACTTACAGACGGTCTAAAACATACCGATTGTTTCCTAACTACGACTAGAAACGATAACTACGAAGAACTTCAACCTTCCACTCCCTCTTCTAACTCCCAAGACTCCGCCAAAGGTGCTGTGATGCCAGAAGCTGCTCTGAGGGTTTTTCAGAAAATGAAGAGTCTCAATTTTTTTTGGTCTGCCGCGAGGAACGCCTTACACCATGAAGAGAAGGTGCAAAACCGCAATGGGTTTGCCCATCATGAATTTTTAGAGATCTTTCAGGGGAAGAAGAAACCATGATCGTGATGAATGCTGGCATATTTCATGATGGTGAACCATGAAGATGAAGGTTGATATTTATAAGTAATTCATTGAATAAAGACCTTCAATATTTATACCATGATGGTGAACCATGATGAACAATACTGACATTTTTCACCTTGAATGTAGAAGGACCGTGATGACCTTGATACAATGTTGGTCCTCGCGGTGTCTTAAAAACGTCTCCATTCCTGTTAAACAAAGATCCTTTCCAAAGACACTGGAGGTGTTTTACTTGATCATTTCTAAGTAGATCATTTCTATCTTCCACGTTGTTCCGTGGAGTGTGTTCCTTGTTCGTCAGAAATGCGACACTACAACTGCTGTTGGCTGTGCTCGTAGTTCAAAACATTTTTTTACTAGGAGAAAACATGAGGATGAATGCAGATCTCCAAAATCCATCTTTGAAGAGCAAGAAAAGCACTTGAGCGAAGAGCAAAACCAAAAGAAATGACCACAAAAGGCAAAGATCCGATACTAGATAATCAGAAACGAAATGATAGAGCAGATCAAAATGCCCGCCAATGCCTTAGCAATGCTCTACATGATACCAGTACCAGAGATCCCAAAAAAATGATACTAGACCACCTACAAACGAAAACGCGCTTTTGTATGAGATGAAAATATATTAGATCTGCATGCTGTACTGCACTCTTCACTCTTCCATGTCTAGATGATACTGGTTGTGAAATGTAAGCCACGTTCAAGAACTTCAAAAAACTCTACAATCTTTTCCAGCGACCTCATGTTTGTGAATTTTTTTAGATAGTTTTTGTTCCTGTCGATTTCCTTTCTCCTAACGACAAGGACAAGGACAAAGCTCTTTCCTTATTTTGCGACTGCGAAACTGTTAGTTATAAGTCTTCGTTTTTAACGAACAAGTTGTAATACAGAGCGAGAGCGACGTTGCTGACTCAAATTCTTCAAGTAGTACTGGTGTTATAACTTTATTGGTAATTGAATTATCCTGCGTCTGTCTTACTTCCTTCACAGCAAGACCCCTTGATCTGACGACTAACGACAAGCATAAACGAACAACAAAGTGCACATAGGAAGCGCAGTGAGTTTGTCTATGCATTGCTAGTTCTTGTACGTATTGATCAGAAGTTTTTACGACTATGCGCAAATAAGATGAATTCTTGTGTCTGATTCGATTTCCTGGAGTGGTTCTTCTACCTCGCAAAGTTATTTCCTTTTTTTGAAATTTTTCTTCTGACGTATATCATGCCTTCTCTGTGGTCCTCTTTGACAACGTAGTTGTACAGTGAGTAGGACGAGAAGAAAGATCATGTGGGGTTCTTACGGCACATCGTCGAGCAGTTCCTCGTCTTCTGGACTTTCCGGGTCAACGACCACAAGAAAGCATTCTTCCGTGATCACCAAGGAGAAATTCAAAGCTTTGTTTGCTATTTTCCAGACCAGTCGGGATGTCCCACCACCAGTGAAGAAAGAAGTTGCGAAGATCCTGGCACAGTTGGATCTAGTCTCCCCACAGGGGTTTCGTGCCCATGTGGACGCAGTTGGCGCGGATGGGACAGCGTGGTTGCAGGAAAAGCAACAAGAGCTGCTAGCGGCGACATGGAAAAATGGGGGAGGAGGTCAAAGTGCGGGAGGGAAAAATGGAGGCGTCGCCGTCAATGCTCATATGGGAATGGGATCTACCCTTGCAGACTTGGCCGGAGCCATATTAGAGAAAAGTAGTTATAATACTTCATATTCAACATTGATGTTGTGGTTTATCAGCTCTTATAACTCATACATATTCAACAATCTATTTGATGTTTTTGTAGTGTCTGTAGGTGTAGGACGCTCACGCTCCTGAATTTTGTTCCACCTTTACCTTTCCACTTCTTTTCAATTTCACCCAAAAGACACTGTGAAGATAATAAGATATCCGTAGCAAAAATTGAAAAACCAACAAGCCAGCTTCTTCTGCATCAACATCAGGTCCACATGGTAATCGAGAGCAGATGCTTGAGGGGCTGCTTAAGGCAGCTAGAGGGAGTCTCACACCCTCACCGCAGAATGCTGGGCCAGGTTTTAACTCGTCCGTTGGCCACGCTGCTATGGGGCATCAAGCTGTTGGTATGGGTCACACGAGTTTCGGTGGGAGCAGTAGTTCGACGTCTTTCTTTCCAGGAGGATCATCCTGCCAAGGGAAACAGATGTCGCTACAACCTTCAGGGAAGCAGTTCTATGGTGGAGGTAACGTGCAGGTACATTCTTCCCCGAAAGGTCCTTTGCTGATGATGAATGCTCCGGCAGTTCCGGCTATCAGCACTGGGCCGCTTATCACTGCACCGCCAGGCGTGAATTATCCGAATCATCATCATGGTGGTGCTGCTCTGCAATTTGGCGCAAAACCGGGTATCACGATTCTGCAGCAACAAGTAAGTCAAGCAAGTGTAGTCCAGCCGCCTACATTGTTTGGAGGAGCGTCAATACAGCCTACGGGAGTGGGAAGTGTAATAGGACCTCCACCGAAGGGTTCCCCACATTTTCAACATCACTTACCTACAACTGGAGGTGCCAATAATTATCCAGTGACAGCAAGCCTGCCAGTAGTTCATCCAGAACAACATCAACATCAACGACAACATGATCCACATCCTCTGAACGCCTTGGGCATTGTTCCGATCATAGAGGATGGCCCTCCTGCAGATATCGTACATGAGACGAAGCTTTTTTTGACCAGCATCAAATTCGACGTGTACAGAGAGCCTGATAAGGTGCGGGAAGTGGTAAAACAGATGGTATTTGAAAGGCGAATGCAGCCTGGGTCGATACAAGCAGTGCAGGCGTATTTGCAGACGCAACCGTTGGCGAACACAAGCGACACATCGACGCGGGACTTGATGAGCCAGTTGTTTGGAACAGGCGGAAACAGTGGCATGACAATGACAACAGCAGGGGGAAATAGTAGCATGAGTAGCATGTTGACAGGAGGATCAGGAAGTGCTTCTTCTACATCCTCGTTGTCTGGGATGAACGCCGCATCATCTTCCGCCACCTCATCGTCCAGTACAACTACGAGTACTGAGGAGCTCCTTGCTTCGTTGTTTGCAACTACGCCTTCAACATCGCACAACTACAACACGACTCCTGCGACCGCAACTTCTTCAAAATCTTTCACGGAATCAGGAGTAACTACAGCAGCTTCATCTCCAGACGATCTGTTTGGAAGTGGCAACGATATTTTTGGTGGCCTAGATATGAGTTGGCTTAATGATACCAGCACTTCCGCAGCCAAAGAGAATCGAAAGTCTGCCTCTGCAGCTAAAGCCGAGATCGATCACCTGCATCTGATGCTTCAGAAGCAAGCGGCGGACGCAGAAACCAAACAAAGAAAAGCGGCTGTGGAAGCTGCTAAGAATGCAGCGGCGGCAGAAGCTGCTGCGCGTAGTGCTGCAATAGCTGCTGAACGTCGTGCAGCTGTGAATGGAGCAGGCATGGCAGGCTGCCCAGAAGGGCTTGACGATAACAGTCCTACTAGATTCAGAACTGGCGGCAGCAACACAACTTCCAAGAATCAGAACAGCAGCACGTCCATAGAAATCAAACTACTGCCAGATCAAGGGTCTGCCGCACCAGCTGCAAGTAGTACTACTAGTGGCGCGAACTCAAATACAGCTGCCCCTACGGGCATTGCAGCTGACGACGAAAAAAGCACAATGGCATCGCCAGTTCAAGAGATGATGACAACCGTTCTGCGCAACGCCGTGGCTTCCAATAACACGCTTTCAGCCGCTGCGACACCGGAAGCTGCCCTTGCAAAAGCTGCTAGTACCTCGAAAGCTACGGTGTCACCTGCTTTGCTCATGTCAAGGAATCTTTCTGGAACAGAACATCAAGTAGTTACTTCTGATGGTGCTCCTACAACTGGTACGGTTCTTGGCGCTGCTTCTAGTTCTTCAAAAGAACAAGATGCTGTCGGACCACTTCTCGCGTCGGCATCATGCAACATGCTGGCACCCACACAAAAAACAGGACTACAACTTTCAACACTCGGTGAGCTAGTACAACAGGTAGGCTCGTCTGCTTCGGCTTCCTCATTATCATCTTCTATAATGATACAAGCGCAACGGCAACAAGCGCAACAAGTCAAGAACCTTGGTCTTGGTGAACTACAACCTCCTGGTGAACAAAGCGAAGTGGCCCGTCAGATGCGTGAAGATGAAGAACAGAAACGGCAGTTGCGTGACCATTTTACAGAGTCAGCCAGATCCAAGGTGATCGATGAAGGGCTACAGTCGACTCTATCCGCAGCGGGAGCCACTGACATCCAGTCTTCAGCAGGCGTATCGACTTGCCGTGGTCGCGGCAAAAAACATCATCACACTTCTGGCGGGAATAGTAAGAAAAACAAAGCTTCTAGTTCTAGTAGGAGAACAGGAGGTTCAATCCGAGAGGAGGACCATCAAGGAGCCGAGGACAATGAAGGTGTAGGAAGTAGAGCAGGGAGCAAGAGCAAGAACAATAGTAGGTCTTCAAAAGACAAGAAGAACGATAACGCCTCTTCTGTTGCTGGAGGTGCTGCTTCGAAAACAGGCTCATCCAAGGAGCACAAAAGGGGAAGGAGTCGTAAAAGGAGTAAGAAGTCTTCGAGAAATAACGATCACTCTCAGAGTGATAGAAGTTCCAACGGATCAGGATCACGACATTCCTCTGACAGTAGCTCTTCGAATCATTCTAGACCTTCGCGAAGTGGGGGTTCCTCAAGGTCTCGCAGCGGATCAGATGCCTCTCGATCATCTTCAGGAGGTCGGCGACAGCAGTCTTCTAGAGCCGGCGGTCGCAGTGGCGTTTCGTCCAATGTCAAGTCAGGAACTCACGCGTCCTCGAAAGTGAGTCGGTCGAATAGCAAGCATACAGGGACAAGCAGGCGGACGCGTAGAAGTAGTAAGGAGATGAGCAGGAAAGAACGGTCGAAGAAGAGCAAAAGTAAAAAATCTGGACGTCGACGCAAAAATGGAAGTAGATCGTCCTCTGACGGTGGTTCCTCTAATTCATCTGGTTCTGGTTCATCCCGACGGTCATCGTCAGACGAAGATAAAGACAAGTCTTCCTCTTCTTCGTCGGGTAGCGAAGTCGACGACAGTAGTTCCTCTGACGACGATCGTGGCCGCGGTTCTACTTCTGGCGGCCAAAAAAGCAGCAAGGAAGACGAAAAAAGACGCGCAAAGAAGCAGAAGAAGCAGATCCAGAAGGAGGTCAGGAGAGCCCGCAAAGAAGAGCTGAAAAAGATTGCAGCCATGGCGAGTCAATACCAAAAGCAAATTCCGGATAAATTCACGTACACCGGATCTCATTACGACTTGCATGCGGCGCAAGGGACTCCGTCTGCTGTGAAAGGGTCTAAAGGAAGCGGGAAAAGCAGCAACAAAGGTGCTAGTGGTCGTAGTAAAGGTCGGAAATCCGAGAGCAAAGGAGATGGAACACCAGCAAGTAGCGCTGCTGGGGGTTCATCTGGTGATCAAGAGGGCGAGAAGCACAGTGAGAACGCTGCTGGAACCGCAGGAGATGGTGGTGCTGGAGTCGCGCCGAATGCTGGTAACAACAAGAGGAAGAACAAGAAGAGCAAAAAGCAACAACCTCAGCATCAGGATGCAGCATGGGCGGCGTATTACGCGCAATGGGGAGACGCTTACGCAGGAGGAATGGCTGTGGATGAAAGTACGGGGTACTACTGGGATCCGAATACTCAAATGTACATGGCCTGGGACCCCTACTCGTATCAGTGGGTTTATGTACCGACTGCAGCCACCGCAGGAGCAGCAGGAGCTCATGCACATCCTTCGCAAGGTGGTGGAGTTGGAGATAGTAGTAGTACTAGTAGACAACTACATGCTGGTGTAGGACAAGCAGGTACCACGACCAGACCAGGACTTGCACCTGGGCCGAATACGAAAAAACCACCGAGAGAAAGTACTAAGATGAAGTTTCTGGAAGCTGCACTGGCGAAACATGATAAAGAAACTCAGGAAAAGAAAAATGCGGCTCTGGAGAAGAAAGACGACAAAGACAAAAACGCGAATCATGGTTCTGGTTCCGAAAATGAACCACGAGCATTAAACGGTTCAGGTGATGAACGTGTCACGACAGGTGCCACAGGAGCGTCTGATGGTCCCCACAGCTCCCCCTCCATTGGTCCTTGGGGAGCCCGTTCAAACCTTGCTGCGTCGCTACAGACTGACGGAAATCCATACGGAAATAACAACTCTGCCTCGAGTAGTAGCATCTTCCCTCTCCCCCTCGGGTTACCTGGTAGTTCCATCGCTGAGCAACGCGACATTCCGGGTACTTTGCGTGAGCATTTGTTTTGCCGTACGCCGTTTACGTGCAGTCCTGCTGCGGAAAGGCAAAAGATGTGGGATCTGTGCTACAGCATGGCCGTTAAGGGACCGACTGAATACCCCTTGAAAGACGGAAATGCGTTTTCAGAGTTGCGCTTCTTGTGTCCAGCAGTTTTTGCGGCATTGGAACAAGCTTGGATGGTGGATCGGAAAGTGGAATTCAATAGTAAAAACATCCTAAAAGGAGATGCTGTTGAGCTTGACCACGCACCAGGAACAGACAGTCAAGGTGATCATCGTGATCGTCTGCCAACACGTAACGCTAGTAGATTTGCCGCTCCTACTGCCACTGCCAATTCACCGTCCTCTTCTCCTCGATCTTCGCACAGTGGAAAATCGCTGATCCTCAAGGACGGAAAGGGCCACCGCGCAGTGGCAAGACAGGTTTTAACTCTCGTTCAGGGCATGATTTTTGGTCAGGAACCCCGTAATTGCCCTAAGAATGTCCCGGCTAACGCTGTCAAGGACAAATGCGTTCGCGAGTTGTACCATTTGTACGATAGGAGGACAGGCGACTTGCCAACGAAATACGAGCGGAAGCAAGTTGCTACGCAATTGCCATGGTTTTTTCTGCATACCTTGGACTTGAGCAACAACGAAATCGACACGGAGACAGCAACGAGATGGCTGGATTTTTTGCGAGTGTGGCGAATTCATGTGAAGAACATTTCGTTTGCGGATAATCCGATGGTATAACTACTTGTTCATTTTGTTTATAAGCTCACGTCAGGTGGCTTTTTTTCTTCATACTCAGAGATTCTCCGGAGAAAAGCTTTCATGACTAGGTCGACGTATTATATATAGTACAATCGTTATCGTACCGATACCTTTACATAGTATGCAAATGGAGCCACCCAACCAATTCCAATATCTTCAGATCGACCACCGTATCTTCGGACCGCTTATGCACTACGTGGGCGGATGCGCAAGTGCCATTCGCGTGATCGATTTGAGGGGAACCAACGTTTTCGCCTTAGTGCGCGAAGCCTCTTCCAGAGCTCTCGATGAATGCTGTGACTGCTTCTTCGAGATGTTACATATGCTCTACCTGCATGGTGCCTATCCGCAGAAACTGTCTTCCTACTTGACCGATGGAGGCGAGAGGATGGTCGCTTGTCTGCCGATTCGCTTGATGCTGCCCAAGCCTGCCGAAATGGAACAAGTTACCAAAAGATGGGAACAATTCTTGAAATCGCGACCATACTTGAATCCGGAGAGGATGAAGATTGGGGAAAGAGGTTGTGCAGTGCGAAGTGAACCTAGAAGATCGCCATCATCATCACCGGGAAGCAGTCCAGAAGAAAGCCCCGTAAAAATAGGTGATGGAGGTTACATTTCGAGGCCTGCGCCATCAAATACTTATTTCAGCAGTACTTCTTCATCCTTGGCCTTGCCGGGTGGAAGTAGAGCTACACCAAAAAACGGCATCTCATCTTCAACTTCTTCGTGGCCAGCCTGGTTTCCCGCTCTAGTAGTCGACTTTGCATTAGACGTTGCATTGGAGCATGACATGAACACTGAGTTCGCGAAGGTCTGTGACAACCTGGTAAATGACAAGCGACATGCATCTAGGAAAAAGCGAGGCGCTCTGGCAGGTCTAGTCGGTCTAGATTTGATTGACGTCGACGGCGATCATGGTCATGGAAGTAGTGAAAGTGCGACACCTGGTGGAAAAAGTCTCCTAGAGAACAATGACGGAGGAGACGGAGATCGGGGGAAACGTCTTAGTCGCAGTTTCGTGTATTCCACACCTAGACATCGCTCCGCCTCTCCCTCTTCTTCACCTGCTTCTCTTAGACCACATGGCAGTCCGAATCACGCAGTAGCATCTCCTTCTCCTCAGAATGGTGAGCTTTCCCCTGAAGACGTTGCCGCTTTTTTCGGTCTGCCAGAAGGTTATCTATGCGAGGATCAGGATGCATCAGCGGACGAGGAGGATGAGAAGCATTTGGCTCGAGTGCTGCAGTTAGCGAGACACGATCCAACGTCTAGTTATATAGCGGATCATAGCGATCGTTTCTGTCCCGTGTTGCCATTGGTGCCTGAAGAATCGCCGACACTGATGTCCTCAGAAGACGGAGGCCCAGCAGCGAAAAAAGCTAGGAAAATGTCTCCGAGTGGGGATAATCACTCAGGACACAAGACGGTGTCGACTGTAGGAGTAGAGAAGAAGAACGGCGACTCAAATAAAAATGCTGCTTCTTCTTCAACCAAGGATAACAGTGCTGCTGCAAGTGCATGCGCAAAGAACGATGAAAAACAAAATCAAAACACGACTGTGGATGCCGGTACCCCTGGCTCCAGTACCAACAACAAGAATGGAAACAAAACCAAAAAGGCTAAGGCTAAGAGTAAGAACAAGAACAGCGCAACTCGCACTCGGCAAGAAATCCTGATGCAAGCATGCGAAGAAGCAGGCAGTGCTGTTTCATCCTCTGGCGCGGTTTTAGGAAGCCGCAACAATACAACTACTAGAGGTGCTCCTCGCAACAAGAAGGGTCGAGGAAAGAATGCTCCTGGTCGCAAAGGTGGACCCGGCGGACCTCTACGAGGGGCAATGAAAGGAGACCGGAAAGCCAGAGGTCAACGCGGAAGGGACAGAAGTCGTACTCCTCGAGAAGCAGGTGGTGAAAGAAGCCGCAGTGGTAATCTTGGTCGGGATTCATCATCTAGTAGATCACGTTCGCGCGGGTCTTCCTCTGACGCATCTAGAAGAAGATCCCCGAGAAACCGTCGCAGAGGCGGGAGATCTAGGAGCCGGTCCAGAAGGCGAAGAAGGTCTGTTGACAGTCGTTCCAGAAGCAGGAGTAGCAGTGCCAGTGGAGGGAGGTCTAGGTCTAGGTCTTCTAGACATTCTAGACATTCCTCTAGTGACTCTGAAAGAAGTAGACGTGGCAGTGTTGAAAAAGCGCCTCGCAGGGGTCGTCGTCGTGACGATTCTCGTGAGAACAAGAAGCAAGTGCAGAATCGCAACAATTCTGCCGACTCGCATCTTTCGACAGGTGGAGCCGAAAATGAAGCACAAGTCGCATCTTCATCAGGGAAGGTTCTTGAACAAGCCATGACCTTTTGTGGAGAAGACCCTCCTGCTCCTGTGCAACAAGGCGTGCAGCTACAGTTTGTACAGGACAAGGATGTCAAGAACAAGGAAAAGGCGGCTGCTGCGTCTGGTCAAGAACAGGAAGATCTTGTGGCAGGAGTTGACAGCAATTTAGTGGTTTCGCCCGAACAAGAACAGGCTCGTCTAGCCGCAGAAGTACAACAACACGATCAGGAGACGGAGAAAGACCAAGAACCGAAAGAGGCTACGCGTACGAAGAGAATCAGTGTGGGTGACAACCCTTTCGACAGTGATGAAGATATTGCACAACATGTAGGACGAGAAGGAGTGGAGCTAGACCTCCAAGACGATGATCCAAAGGCTGTACATGTACAACTCGATGAAGATGAGATCAATCAGGAATTCGAACGGCACGTGCAGAACATGCAGACTTCTGATTCCACGTCAATGATCCAAGATCAAGAACTACAGGATGCAGATGTAGTTGAGCACGAAGAACAAATGCGGGTACAGCCGCATGAAGATCATGTTACAAATACTACATCAATGAACTCGTCCAACTCTCTTTCTACTTCCGCTCTTGATGCTGGCGTTGCTTGTGGTCTTCCTCCCGGTCATGAGCAGGACGAGTGGCAAGAGGACGAAGAGGATGATGAAGAAGATGACGACGATCAAGAAGGGGATGAAGAGGATGGAGACATAAACGCTGCAGAAGATCTACTCGACTTCCTGTAAAAATGCACATTATTTGATTATTTTATATAAGTATGAAAAAATAAGACGCGCAATTTTTTTTTTCCAAAGCTCAGTCGAGGGTACCATGATTGTTTTTTCCAGTTGTTTCGTAACACCAAACTAATAACATTTCCTATTTTCATCTTGATGAATGCGAATTGTTTATTGCTCCTCACACTCACCAGAAGCACTATATTTCTTTTCTAGTATGAACTATGACGCTTACAAACAGACGGTCCCCTGTCTAATGATTCCTTATAGTTGCATTCAAGAAAGTACTCAGAAGATGTAGTAGATTTCTATCCCTACTTAGTGATCTGTTATCTTCACCTATAAGAAAATTGCCCAAATGGAAATGGTTCGATGTCGAGCCGACGTAACCTGTTTGATCTATTCTCGAATTTTTTCGCAAGAATGTACGATTGGGGAGGATCGCATCAAGACCAACCAATTAAGTACCTTTTCGGGATGCTGGAGTATCAAATTTATTGGCGGCGGAAGTTGTTCTTGTTGCTGTTCGATTGACTGACATTTGTCGAATGATCCACCAAATAGTACTCCTCTGTGACATTTAGACAACTCTTTCTCGACGTCATGATGCTGTTTCAACACTGTCTGTCACAACGAAAAGTCATCAGTCGTGAGAAATGAGAGAGATAAGGTTGTCAACAAACTTGGGTCTGTCCGAAGGAGAGGAGCAAACAAATGATCAGGAGTCTGTGGTCATGAGTGCATCAAAGCTACCTCTGTCATGAGTGCATCAAACCTAAGAACTCTGTCATGAGCGGCGCATCCGCTGCGAGGTTCTAAGTTTGTCCTGAGCGCTAAGTCTGTCCTGAGTGTGATGAGATTAATCAAAACTGTTGCGGCTTCGTGCGGCTGTAGATACACTTGCTTAGTCTGTTATGAATGTAGATCTAAGTCATCCCGTTCTGTCCCTCTTTTCAGGACCCATTATGCGTTACGGTTTTATCTTGTCTTTTGCTTTTTGTTTCCCGTACGTAGAAAGGGTATAATTTCTTTTCGTAGCTGCAGCAAAATAGACATATAGTCTATTCTTTCAATCACGTCATCAGAGTCTGAAAATCCTTTTTTATCCAATAGTTGATAAGTACGTAGTTTAGTTACCACACAACCACAAGAAAACAAACAAAATGATGCAACAACAGATGCCAATGCAACAAATGCCTATGCAAAATGGGCAGATGATGCAACAAATGCCGATGCAGAACGGTCAGATGATGCAACAACAGCCAACGTATCAGCAGCAGATGCCTATGCAGAACGGGCAGATGATGCAGCAGATGCCCATGCAACAGCAGCAGATGCCTATGCAGCAGATGCCTAATCAGCAGCATGTATTCCAAATTTCATCTTGACTAATCATACTGACTTATCAGGTTCACGGCTAATGCTCACGTAACTTGTGGTCTGTTATCCTCGAGATTATCAAAGCATTAGCTTGATAGTTATTGCATATCTTCTAGGAAGGCAGGAGTAGCAATTCCAATATTTTGTTTGCGACGTCAGTTGAAGTTGAAGCCGCATCCATTCTCCTCTCCACCACTCACAATCAGACAACGCAGACGACCACTACGACAACTACAAATCAGCAAGGAGTAATGATGCAACAACAGCCGATGATGATGCAACAACAGCCGATGATGATGCAGCAACAGCCGATGATGATGCAACAACAGCCGCAGGTTGTCATTCAACAACAACCGCAGGTATTTTTGTTCTTGTATTTTGTTGTGCAGTCACGAAGAAAACCTGGAGGAAAATACAGTCCTCTGAACAATTTCAGATTTAAGATCATAAACCTCTACTTCTTGTTCTTGTTGCTGGCAGAAGAAAACTTAACGTTAACTCTCTTGCTCTCCTAACCACTTTCTTATAGACAAGTTGTAGACCTAAACCTAAACCTAAACCTCGAATCCACAGCAGGTCGTTGTCGCTGCTCAACCTGCTGTGGTGATGGCTTCTTCACAACCGGTTTATGTTAATCGGGGACCAGCTAATCCGGTTTATGTAACAAGAGGACCGGCAAGATGCTATGACTATTATGACCGATATGACCGAAGACGACGAGACGATGCGGCAGCAGGCGCAGTAGCTGGTGCCGCGATCGGTGCAGGCATTGGATGCGCTGTATTGGCTGCGGCACTTCGTTAAGGGTCATCGAAAAAATAGGCAGTTAGCCTAGGTCTAGCTTTCGCCTGGGCATTGATGCTTTTATGTCTTCTTTTCAATGTGATTGTGAAGATGAACACAACATACATACTAGATATAGAGTTGGAGGCGCAACATGCATAGAAGAGGAGATGATCAAAAATAAACCTTGATGACGAGATAGAAAGCTTGACGTCCATAGTTCCTGAACTTTCTTTTTGAGTACCAGATAGACGCATTAAGAAGCTGCACATTTCCAAATACATAGTGCATAATATCAGCCTGATCATACTAGATTGATAGACTCATTCATTTTTTAGATTTGTCATGTGTCCTCGACGACATTTTTTATCACCAGTCAATGATAAGAGTAACTGACCTTGATGTACTTGTTTTTGAGCCGGATGTTTGTAAGTGTAACTGTCCCCCGAGCCGAAGATGAAGCTACACATGATATCGCTCATCATGTTGATACAACCTGAACGTGAACCTGATGGCTGGGGCACAACTAGGTAGTTCCTGCAGGAAATGAACACGTGACGAAGAACGCTTTTCACGCCCTACGTTTATACACGAACTCGATCCAATAAGAGCAAAACCGTCCTCATGGGCGTTCTCAGCTGAATTTTCGTGATCCGCGAAATGAATCGGCTGTTCAAACAAATCAAAAATGGAAATACGAGAAGGTCGTCGTGGTCACGTATTCCTGCATATACACATGTGCATCTCGGTAAGAGTGTATCGGTCGTGTCGGTTGTAATATGGGCAACATTTTTGTAGTGAGATTGTCTCTACACGACCTGCTCTCATGAAGGATCGTTCTTTACATATGTACTACAAACGAATGAGAATATGAATAATTAGGCAGAGTCCATTACTCCCATGACTCCCTATATCTACTTAGTGCAGCGTGTAATCTAATAGAACAGAAACTGTTCCGGCCAGTTCCTTCTGAATTAAATTTCTCGAGGGAAAATCATGATCTGAAACCGAAAGTTCTTCCACTCCAAAATCATAACAAGCAGGGTTCCACGGCGGGTGTTCAATAAATATGAAACTCAACGATCTTCTTAGATGGATCCATCATTTCAAAGATCCCATGAAATCCACGCAGATCAGGTCCAATGATTCCAAAGACCCTGAGAGAATAGGTGTTCAACAAAATGTTAGAGTTCTCCATTATATGCGATTCGGAGAGCGACATTAAATTGATATATAAATCTGTCATGAGTTGAAGGTCAAAGGTGATCAGATTCATCAAGCTCTGTCTTATGGTTATGCTTGTAGAATAATTACACATGCCTTTGCATGTTGTAATAGTAATTAGGCACCCGCTCCTCCTCGTCCTCCTTCTCCTTACATCTCCATCAACGTCAACTTCACACTAAAAAATTTCAGGCATGCTGAATTCGAAACTATTTGAGGTGAAAATTTTTTGCGGCACGCATTTGAATTCAAAAACGCTCTGACATTTTGGCTCTGTTCAGAAGAGATAGAGAAGTAGATTCTTTCCTAATTGCTGTTTGAAGAAGAAATTTCATATTCATTTTCATGATATATTCGTTTTTTTTGTCAACTTCGACGTTTTCATCAGTTGGTAGTATCTTTTATGTCTTGTGAAGAAGAAGATCTGGGTGTGTGAAAGGCTTTCAGTGCATTTGCTTGTTGTGACACGAACCTCCAAGCATATTACATCAATCGCGTATATAACTACTTCTACGCACCTCTGTCTCTCATCGAGTAGCTTGCTAGCTGATTCTTTCAATAGTTGTCGTACTATTGAGTCCCTGGAGTTGAACAAGTAAAAGCTTAGGGAACTTAGTAGGGTCGTTGATTCTTTCCTTTTTTCACGAAGAAGGAACAAAATGAACTCCCAGGCAATGCAAGGTTACAACCCGGGCAGCGGGTACAACCCGGCCATGCAACAGCAGAGAATGCAGCCACAGCAAATGATGCAACCGCAGCAGATGCAGCCGCAACAAATGATGCAACCGCAGCAGATGCAACAGCAGCCGCAAATGATGCAACAGCAGCCGCAAATGATGCAACAGCAGCCGCAAATGATGCAACAGCAGCCGCAAATGATGCAACAGCAGCCGCAAATGATGCAACCGCAGCAAATGCAGCCACAACAAATGATGCAACCGCAGCAAATGCAACAGCCTATGATGCAACAACAGCCACCGATGATGCAGCCGCAGCAGATGCAACAACCTATGATGCAGCCGCAGCAAATGCAACAGCCTATGATGCAGCCGCAGCAAATGCAACAGCCTATGATGCAGCAACCTATGCATCAGCCGCAACCGATGCATCAGCCTCAGCCTATGATGGCGGGAACTCAACAGGTAATTCACTCTTCCATTTTTTTTACTCCGCGAGCAGGCAGAGTCTAAATGCTCAGTACCTTTCGCTTCTAGCATCTTCCTCATCACCCCAATTACGCTGCAGCAGAGAGTATTGCTGTGCTTTTAGTACTCCGAAACACACGAAATCAAAATGTACAGCTACAGATGTTGCCGTGACAGACTACAACTACATCAACTAACTACACTAACTACAACTACACCTGTTTGTTCGTCATACTAAAACGAATTATACCTTCTCCACACTCTGCTCGTCCACACCAGTTTCAGCAGACTACAACCACTACGACAACGACAAATGGTGGCATGCAGGTGCCGATGAAACCGATGTGCGGACCGCCAACTACGGTCATTCAACAAAAACCAGCTCAGGTACTTTTTACTTGTGAAGATTCCTCTCGCGTTATGGAAAATGATGTCTGTGAAATGGAAAATGATTTCAAAACAACAAGAACTGTTGTATTTGATTGTACTCATCAAAAAAAAGAACAAGTCCACCTCCACCTCTACTAAACTTGATGTTCTTGTTTGCTGGCAGGTCGTGGTCCGACAGCAGCCCCAACAGGTTGTTGTGAGACAGCAGCCGCAGCATGTGATGATGCAGACACCGAGCACCATGGTCGTGCACCAAGCTCCACCGCCACCTGTTGTTCATCGCCGAGTCGTTCACCATCGTCGGGTGAACGACGGTGCCGCAGCAGCAACTGCTGGCGCAGCAGTCGGCGCTATTGCCGGTCTCGCGATATTGGGAGCAGCGTTGAGATAGTCCCACTCCCATCGATCGTTCTAAGTAGGTTGTAGCTTTTTATTTATACTTACAGTGTGTATTGCTATTGTAGTTCTAACCATATTATACCGTATATCAGGTTTAAAAAATCTTCGTCATTTATTTTACACCATTATACTTCTTCGTTAACAGGAGCTATTGAGAACATCATCACATCCTAGTCGAGAACCCATAAAGACTCAACAACAGGTGGAGATGAAGTAACCTATAAAACTAAGGCAGGCTAAACGCATACTTTTCGATATTGGAGGACTTCTGTGTTTAGGCAACATCAAGCAACATTGACATCATAGTACGTCAGTTCTCTTAAAGTTTTGGCATTTTGATAAAGAGGAGTTGCGAAAAAACACATATGATCTACATCATCCAAGAATACGGCGTAGTTGCGCAGCACAGAGCTTCATTTGTACCTGGAGGTTTCTCTGAAAGCGTTTAGATGAAAAGAGAAAACGATATAACGTCTAAACGACTACTTCTAAAGATGAAAAAAATGAAATTGAAATCTTCAGACAGTAAATGAATGAATCTAGCACTCATATCTTTGGAACAACTTAGTCCTCTTAGAGATCAATAGTTTCTTTAAAATGAAAGAACAGGAGCATGATCACCCACTTTTTTAGTGCAGGAATAGGGTGTAGTTTCTTCAGGATTGAAGAAACGAAAGGTGAATACTTCTAGGAAAAAAAGTCTAATCAAGATCAACTTAGACTTACAGTACTCGTACAAGAACCTCTAAAACCACTGTTGAGTCGTAAATTACCGTGGTCTTAACAGGGAAGAAAGTACGTACGTAGGTATCTAGATCAATATAGTAATTTCCTGAACCTAAAGAGCCAAAATAATATACCAACCACAGGAATAGGTAAAAAAGAAAGTTGAAAAAAAGCACAACAATCAGCTCGATGATGAAGCGAAGGCCGCTTAGATGAAGTGGAAATTGTGCTTCTCCTTAGAAGAAGGAGTAGTACGTCGTTGCGGCCTCGCCGTTCAGCGTCGTTTTAAACCATGAAAATAGATGACCTCGTCCCAAAGATTAAGATATATGATTAAAAGTTGAAAGTGAAAAAATTAGAGATCACAGAAGTTGTTCTCGCTGATTCGCTGTCGCTGCTTTGGTGAAGCCATGTTGCTGGCCTCGTCAAAAAGTAAAACGCACTACGTAATCAAATTCTGAAGAGCGAAAAGCGAGTGACGGTCCCCTAGTTCCAAAAGAAATTTTCCTCTAAAGAACGTAGAGATTCTGAACCAATTACAACTAAGAACTAGTCGTGGTTGAATGAAGTTGACGATCTTAATTATGAAAAGATCTTTGACCCCCACGCCCACGACCCCATTGAACAGCTAGAAGATCAAAAACCAAATCGACGTTCTGAGCGTAATATGGCTACGAAAAAGGCTGTTGTGATAATGAAAGTTCTTGTTGTAACAATGAAAGTGAAAGAGCAAGTTAAAAAAATTCGGCATCTTCTAACATGATGGTGGAATGAACAACAAGGGAAAAGGGAGACCTCCCCCTCCTCCGCACACAGGCACTACAACGGCTACGCACCTAGATCAGGTAGATGTTTCGAATCTATCCAAGATATTTCGTAAACAAAGATAGTACATTACTTTTCTCTCTCTCAAATCGATTTCTTTCAATGAGTGAGACAAGCTAGGACTTACGAGTAAGTACTTATATATAAATATCTAACAAACTACGTTTACTTAGTAAAAAGGAAATAAAGTGTCAACATCATCTTCTTTCGCTGTATAGTCTACTTTGAATAAAGAGGTGGACCATGTTGTTGCACGTATTTGCCGGGGTCTGTGTCATCTTTGTGCTGACCCTCGTTGACGCCGTTGTGATATCTTCGAGCGGTACCACTTGTGTGCCAGGACCTACTTCATCAGGAACGGGACAATATGCCTATGAAGCACAGCACTATGACAAGGAACAATTGGCAAGTTTTCTGTTTTCGAGTTCCAAGCAACAGAACGAAAGAGATAGCATCAAAAGCGAGGACGCTATTGCAGGATCACAGCCTGAGGAGGAAGTTGCTGAGACGGAAGTTGATGGAGTTACAGGATTGCATGCTGATGCATCTTCTCGTGCAGCATCGCCGGTTCTTGGAACTGACGAAGGTAATCCGCGACGGGACTGTAGTCCGGACGAGGTTGCCTCAGCAGCATGCGAAGCAGACAGAGAAGGAGGCTCATACAACTTTCTTCTCCAAAGTAGATCATCATTCCTCAACATTGTTCCACAATTCTTGCAAGAACTTTTGGGTTCAACATTCGCCATGGTAGAATCGAACCCCTGCTGCGCGGCATCGCGAGGAACGCAAGCAGCGCCTCTATCGTCCGTGAATGAGAGTTCTGCACCTCGACTTGGACCTCCACCGTCTCTTGCTTCAGCGGAAGAAGCAGATGAAGAGACCGAGCAACCACAAAATGTAGACGAGGTTCCTGATGGACCGCAAATATATGTAACAGGAGCCACCACTGATGGAGTAACAGGAGAGGACGATGCAGCAGTTGTAACATATCAAGATGAAGGAGGTGCAGCACCAGCAACTGGCATTGCATCTTCTGTAGAGGCAGCACAGCTTCCGGCACCAGAACCAGCCGCTGATGGTACTGCATCTGCAGAGGATCTTTCATCTCTCCTGCAGCACCTCTCGCTGACGGTAGTACCTGCATCTACTGTAGAGGATCTTCCACTATCAAAGGCCGTACCTGCATCTACTGTAGAGGATCTTCCACTATCAAAGGCCCGTCCAGACGCACAAGGAGAACACCACCAAAATGCTCCTATGGTAGAAGACGACGGCTCCGATGTGGTGTTGCAGCAGCCGCAGGCAAAAAGGAAAATCTCACTTCCCTGGATATGGAGCTATGGACTGGGTGATGAAGCTTCTGATTCATCCGATGATGAAACGGCGGAGTCTGATTCTAGTTTGCCGACCGATAATGTTGACATGTACTTGGCGCAAAGTGAGACTGAGCGCACCGGACGACGTGAAAAATTTCGTACAACAGCTCCTGAAGAACAATTTTCCTTTTCGGCTGCATCCTCTGGTGACCCTTATCTTCCTCCAGGCGCAAGGAGTGCAGTTCTGCCAGAAGAAGGAGATAGTCCCGTAGTTTTTCCTGTAAGAAGAGATACTTCGGGATCGTCTACGCGATGTGATTCTCTTCGTATGGGAACGCCAATGCCTGCCGATGCTTGTCCTTCCTCTTCTGCTGCGGGGCATGATCAAGCAGCTCGTGTTTTCGGACCAGGCTCGCCAGCGGGAGCAGGTAAAGATGAGCAAGCTCAACTTCCAGTACCACTTCGATGGTGTGATGTTGAGGATGACGGCATTCCGCAAACCTCTTTATTTGGAAAGTATCTTCCTAGCAAATTCGATCCGCAAGGAGCAGAACTACAAAAGCTGAAAGAGGCGAGGGCAAAAGAACTACAAGGTGACTCACGAGCACCGACCCGCCGCGGCGGCCAGAGAAGCTACGAGGTCGGGGCGAAAAATGCGAAGCAAGAGTCGTCTTCCTCTAGGGAGCAGGTGCATATTCAGGATGGACAAGATCCGGAACACACCATACGGCAAAGCTTTGATAATTCACCAGAAGCTAACTGCAGGACCAATGACGTACAAGGACAACGAGATAGTCAAGAAGTAGATAGTCAGCCTCATGAGGATCAAGTTCATCCTGGTACACAGCAAGTCCATATGTCCGAGGTGGAGGGGACGCCGATGCCCAACCAGCACTATAACGTTCTTCATGATGTTCCAGCTTCAGCACCAGCTAGTTTAGAGCAACAGCAACGTCAGTTTTCAGCACAGCCGCCAGGTTGCTGGTCGTCTCCTGATACAACCAATCTGAACAAGTATATGCCGAATGCGGGATAATTGTCATCGTCTTTTCATCCAGCAAAGGGACCGTCCGAGAGTGCTTGTAAGGAGGATGTCAACAAGAACAGGATTTAAATCGATATTCTCGTATGACCTAGTACGCGAAGCTCTTTCACGTTCCACCAGCTTTAAATGGACTTTATTGGGAAGTTATTTCTTTCGCAGGGGTTCGAGGAAGAATCGGATCATTATTTTAAGGAATGTCTATTGGAGAAGAGCTGCTAATATAAATGATGTATTTTTTATTTTTTAGACGACTTCCACTTCAGGTCGGGTGGCTTGTTTTTACAGGTCTTTGGCTTGGGTTTGTGCCATCTTTTCCTCTCTCGCCTCTTTTTGCGTCTATCTCTTGATTAATTCTGGTCTAAGTTCGTGTTTCCACTTCCCTCTTGTTTGCTTTCTCGTCCTTGATAACTTTCGTTCATCTATCCACACTTGTCACTACACTACAAACGAATAATCACTTGTGATTTATACGACTTCGTTCAAGGACTAGGGGTCGTTCGGAATTTAGATATTTTTTTTTCTACTCTATGAAAACTCATATAGGAAATGTCTAGCAAGAGATTACAACATGGACGAATAGGAATAAATCGTAAAAACTTATCAACAAATGACTTTTATCAGGTTCTTATTCTTTGCTATCTCAGGTGCCTTCAGATAGTTTTTTTAAGGTGCTCCATCACAATTTATACTTTGTTGAAGAATTCTTTATCGTGAAAATTTTCTTATACTTGTGCTCAATCCAGGGACCGGACATCTTCGACTGAAGCAATACTTGGTTTAGAAATAGGCATGTTTTAAATTTCTGTTCTGCTCCTAGACTAAAAAATAGGCATGTGTTCTGATCCTAGACTTGGAGTTACATTCCTTACACCTTGTTTCTTTCACTTGTCCTAATCAATAGTAATTTCTGTGGCTTATTTCTGTCGCAAGGGTAGTTCAAATTTTCATCCGAATCGCCGTCTAAAAGCCTTTCATCATTATTCTTATTGGCGTTATATCATGATCTTCTTCTAAAGCAGTAAAAAGCATCAGGAATTTTATCCCAGTGTTGTGATAGAGTTGGACTGAAGACCTCTTGGTGGCGGAAATCTCGAAATAACTTGGTAGTTATTTTTTTTCTACATGGCTGTAGGAGTTTATTGAGTAAGAAAGTCACTTCTCGATGTCGTTACGACGCGAGGTCGATACCAATCATCATGAAATATTTGCTGTAGACGGAAGTAGTGCGTTTAGAAGTCTTGTTTACCCCTGGAGTGGGTGCATTCATTCACTCACACCGCTGAAGCAGCGCGCGGTGTCATAGTTAAAGTTAAAAAGCGATGTGGGTGTGGGTCCTCAGCATTTTCTTTTATGTTTAAAAATCAGCTTTTATTGGTGATAGCGCTCGAATATGCAAAATTGATCTGCCCAATATGAGGATGGGAGTATCCCCAATTAGCAAAAATTTGATAGCTTATTCGTCTTGTAGCACTCTTTCTGGGCGCTCGAAGATGCAAAATTGATCTGCCCAATTTGAGGATGAGAGTATCCCCAATTTGCAAAAATTTGATAGCTTATTCGGCTTGTGGCGCTCGAATATGCAAAATTGATCTGCCCACTATGAGGATGGGAGTATCCCCCATTGGCAAAAATTTGATAGCTTATTCGTCTTGTAGCACTTTCTGGGCGCTCGAAAATGCAAAATTAACACTCTTTCTGGGCGCTCGAAAGCGCAAAATTGATCTGCCCAAAATGAGGATGGGAGTATCCCCAATTTGCAAAAATTTGATAGCTTATTCGTCTTGTAGCACTCTTTCTGGGCGCTCGAAAATGCAAAATTGATCTGCCCAATATGAGGATGAGAGTATCCCCAATTTGCAAAAATTTAATAGCTTATTCGCCTTGTAGCACTCTTTCTGGGGGCTCGAAATTGCAAAATTCACACTCTTCCTGGGCTCACTCTACCAAACAGCGGCAGACACCTAACTAATTCCTCCCGGGGAAGAGCGCTGCGCGTATTCTTAGCACAGGCTTGCTTCACTGACTTCGGGTCTGCTAGTCGTAGTTAGTTTTTTAACTGTCTGTGCATGCTTTAGTTGTTTCATCAGCAAATCAGTCATGCGTCAGTGTTGCGGCGTGTCATACCCCTGCAGGTGTGCTGACTTGCTCATGGGGCCCCGCTGCGTCGGGTTGCGCCTTAGGTTTTCTTCAGGGGTCGAATGTGCGACTTCTCCGATAGGTGTAGACCTGTGGCCGATTGTGCGGTCTTATGCGCCCCCAGTATGTGACTTGTTTAAAAAACTTATGCTAGATTTATCTAATTGTTTGAAAGGGAGGCAGCCTCTAGTCCTAACTCAAAAAAAAAAAAAAGCTGGACTGAGGACCAGGGCGACATACAGGGAGACCCAAACTGAACTGAACGGGTGACTGCAGGATGCAACAGAAATAAGGATGAGGTTTTGTGATGGCTTCACGATGTCGCGATAGCGATAGCGCGTGTTGGCTCCCAGTGGAAGAGTGCTGAGGATGAGAGTGTTGAGAGCAGCGTGGTACTCGTTAGAAATTGCATTATTGTATATTGAGGTTGTCAGAAAAGGGTTACTAAATGCTGTTGAAAGAACAAGACGAAGACTAGGAAAAGTGACATTGTTGTATCGTGGATCTGTGTGACGCTGACATGACGCTTTACGGAGGTCTCCTAGTAGTAAATATAAGTGTAGTAGAAAATATGGATCCACTCGATTTTCGTGTCCTCCAAGTCCAACTATAGCCCATTCCAAAATGCGGCAGCCAGAGGACCTCGCAGGTCTCGCTCTTGCCTTCTTGGCTGGCGGAACAGGCGAAGAACAAGAAGATGAAGCTCCCCACCCAAGCAGGTCCGATGCACCACAGACAAGAACGATGTGCGAACGTATCATCGCTATCGTATTGCCACACGAAGATATGTTGGCTGCGTCGGGTACGGTTAAGGTGCCAAGATACCTGTGCAATATCGCCAATGCTTTAGATAACGCACGCTTGCTGGATGAGGAAGCAAAGCTTGAGGATCAACATTTTAATATGCAACTACTCCAGCTTGAAGAAGAAAAGGCTTCTCCGAGGAAGTCGCAGCAAGCCAAAAATGAGGTCGTTGTAGCAACTACCGCCACCAGACGGCCAAGTACAGGTAGTGCCAAAAGTGCAAGATCTTCGACGACGAGTACGAATGGAGGAAAAATTGACGATGCAAAGCGAAGACTCAGAGAACAACACGAAGCACGAATGGAACGAGAGAAACGTATGACTCGGTTAGTTTCTTCTGCACGAGAGCGGGTCGGGAACCTTTACGGGAGGATGTTTGTTGGACATCATGACTCGGGAGACGGAGACGAAGCAGCCAGTATATCTCCTGAGATGAGAAAAACGGAAAGGGACACGAAAGAACGACCAGCCTTCGTCTACGCTTGGGAGAAAATGTGGAAGTTTTATGAAGAACACGAACAGACCAGAAGTGGTGGATGCGATGGTGGTTCTATTCTCGGCAGTGCAGGTGACGAAAACGACGGAAGCCAAAGTCCCATGAAGCCTACAGGGAAAACCTCACAAGACTCGATAGCAACAATAAATGCCACATCGTCAAGACCTGGAGGTTCTTGTTCTGGATACCAGCCGCCAGCACTGAGAGCGTTGCTGTACGTGCTCCGACGTGCCCTGGTTTGGAATCTTGAAAGGATTGGTTTTCTCGTAGAGACATTTCGCATCGACAATGATCAGGTGTATTTGATACTCAGCTATAGTTCTGGACAACGGCGAGCATGTGGGACAGCGAGTTCTTCTCTCGGAGCTATGACATCAACAGCACATGATCATCAGCCAGGAGGAGCAAACAACAAGCCCCGCGAACCTCTACTCTTCCGCGAAGCACAGCGACAAGGGCAGATAGCTGCTTTGAATCCGAAGATCGTGGATTTGGATGCTTTTGAGCCATGTCACCCGCAGACGTTTTATCCCTTGTCGTTTGTCATGACCCGAGCATGGCAAGGACACGGAGACGCGGTTTTGGCCAGGTTAGAGGCTATGGTCGCGAAATGGGAGGTGGAATTGGAGATGCGAGATGCTGGTCAGGAGATGGAGATGGATCATGGAGATGGACCAGAATCAGAATTACAGGAGAAATCTTCAAGTAAATTAGACGAAGCCTTTCCGTGTGATCCGTCTGGAGGTGCCGTGTCTGGAGTTGCCGGGTCAGGAATGGCACCTGCTAGTCCTGGAGGACGAGAGACGAAGAAACAAGACGAGCCAATCGCAGCTGAAGATGTAGTGCCGGAACTAGGGCTCTCTCCAGGAAGGTCTTCTGATAGGGATACTGTGTCGTCAAGATCGTCGTCATCCGCTGGTGGCTCTCCATCAAATGCTTCTCCCGACATCAAGAACCAAGGTGGACAACAGCCTCTAGCGATCGCCAGCTTTGAGAAAGATTCTACTACTGACGTTGTAGTGGTCACCTCCGCATCTGGAGCTAGTAAGGCAAGCACTGCTCCTGTTACTACTGCTACTGCCAGAAAATTCCGAAGTCTAGACGGTCCAGATCGTGCTCGAGCAGCCTTGGAATACTACAGGGGGGAACTAGCTAAGGCACGTTCGAACCACCGAGTGGTCACTGCGGAGAACAAAATAGCGGATGTGGCAGACGTTGAGCCTTTGTCTCCAACATTATGCGAAATCGCGACATTTTTTGGCTGCAAAGCGGACTATGGGGACCTTGAAAATGAACAAATCTCGCCGAAGAAAAACCGGACGAGCAATGCGTCAAGACGTAGTAGGGGCGCTATAAATCGTGGTTCCGGCTCCACTGGACCGAACAAAAAAGGAGGTGGTGCAGCTTTTGGGGGACCAGGCCGGGACGATGACCCAACATCAGGCCAAGGTGGTCTGCCAGACAGTCTAGTGCCTAGTGACTCCCGTTCCTCAGCTTCTCATAGATCATCTAGACTCGCCTCTTCCCCTTTGGATATGGCTAAGAAGTTCTTGGCAAGTTGTGAGGGTGCCATTGTACGGACAGAGCGCGCTGTTGGAGACTATGGGAAGGACATCTTCGTCATGGGCTTAGAAGATGTGGTGGATGGCAGAGCAGCGTCAGCGAAGATCAGAAAGAGACATGTGAGTCGTACGGGTAGTGCAGATAATGAGAATGGACGTGGTGACTGTAGTGGAAGCAGAGAAGGTGCATCAGGGGAACAACGATATCAAGCAGAGCGACATCAAGAGGAGCAATCCACGACTAGTCCCAGCAAAGCAAGACCCTTAACCAAACATCAAAGAAGAAAGCTACAGCGTTCCCAATCCTCTGCTGGAGCTGAGTTATTCTGGTTGCCACTGCAGTGGTGTCGGAAGATGATGTGGAGTTCAGTTGGAAAGCCCCTAAGCGCTCTGATCTCAAGGTCCAAGACGTCGATCTATCAAAATACCCGATGGGCCCTGAAAGAAGCTGGACTACTGGAAGAGATCGTGGTAGAACAGCATTTTTACCCAGGAGGTGCGCAGTGGCAACGAGCGCATGGTGGACAGTATAATATGTCGAAAAGCTCTTCGACTCGGATGGTCAAATCCTCTAGCTTCACCAGCAGTGCAATAATGGCTAAGAAGCCTATTTTCGCAGCTCCGAAGACGATATATGATCGCGCCTACGAAATGTACCTGGAACTAAGGCAGAAGCGCATCACGGCCGATCCTGGAGTGCTTATCCAGGAGGTGAATGCGAAGGTGGATGGCGATATCTTACACAATCTATGGACAAGTTTGAATTTGCCGGTCGAGGGGCTGAGCTTGTTTGCGCATGTGGGAGCATTCGACGTCCCACGATCGTTTTGGATTCATAGGCCTGTACACGCGGCAAAGAACTTGCACGGGGATTACTTTGAGGATCTGAGGCAACTTAGCGTCTGGGAAGAGTGCAATGAGATAGCGAATCAAAATGGAGCAGTGGATGCGGACGATGGACAAGCAGCAGGTAAGACCCCGGCAGAGCGTGAGTTGTCATTCGACGACGATGGAGACTTAACAACTAGTTCTGACGAGTCAACTACATCGTCCAATGCAGGGGATAAGGGAACCACCACTGGTGCAGGTGGCACTACTGGAATATCTTCAAAAATCAACACCACGGTAAACAAATCGGTTCGTGCACAGAGACTGCTGAATAAAGCCGAACAGGTGGCAGCTGCAAACCGAAGACCATCTGTTGCCTCAGCGGCTGCGATAGCACTGATAGCTAAACGAGCAGCCAAAAATGCGAAGGCACTGGAGCAGGCATTATCAGCTGGCAATGCGGGTGACGGAGGTGCGGAGGAGGAGCAGGGTGGTGCTGTTCTTGATCAGCGGAGGCATTCGTCTGTTAGCTCGTCTGCCGTTCCTCCAGTTCGCGCGTCGATGAAACCGCCTGGAGCAAGTCTAAGCAGCGCAACCGCCAACAAGATAAAAGCGAAGATCTCCTGGCAGAGAGCGGGCGTACGTGTGATGACGCAGAATAGCTTAGCCAGGATTGAAGCTCCGCAAAACGCTTTTGCAATTGAGGAGAAAGCTGCAGGGAAGGGGAACAAGACTGACGATGAGGAGCAACAACCAGAACTCGCGCAACCCAGTGACAACAGACAGCTAGTAGTAGTACAACAATTTTCAGCATCCTCCACATCAGCTGCCGGGAGAAAGTTCTACTCCATGTTTTCCAGCTGTCAGCGCGTCCGTCTCGCCTACGACGCTCTTCTACGTGGCGTCAACCTCTCTTACTTGGAGGATGAGGAGTTTGTCATTGCCCATTTCGCTCTCGATAACCCAGAAAGGAACCGATTACGCAATTTCTGTCTCGGCAAATGGGGAAGATATTGCCAGCAGATGCAGTCTGGGTCGAAATGGCAGTTTCAGACATTGAAGGAGTGCTTTCAGAGCTTTGTGGCGGATTTGAGCTTTAAAGTGCCGGTAGAGGAGATACACGATTACTACGGACCGAGTTTGGCGTTCTACTTCGCTTTTGTTAAGGCTAGCGTAGAACGATCCCAGGTCCCATGTGGAGATTCTGAGTGAGGTCCTCTTTGATTTCAAGGGGAAGCAAAGGGGGACGCAGGGCATGTTCCTCGATCTAGGATGGTGAAAGGCTAGCGTTAATTTTGTGGCGTTTTTTGCGAGGGGATTGATTCCGATAGCGACGCTGGGAGTGCTTATTGTTGTGGTATTTCAGTACTATCATTGCCAGTACTTGATGACTTCTGCTAGGATTATTTCAGCAACACTCCCTGCAGCGAGGATGTGTGCACACATACAAACAACGACTACGATCTAAGATGTTCTTTACACAACACACAACACAGATCTCATTAGTACGAACCATCAATAAGACAACAACAACCAACATCTACAACGACTCATTGTTCGAGATCACACTATCACGACGATCATCACCAGCACAAGCACAATCATCATGACTACGGTTCGCCACCGCTTGTACTATCCCGCTTGCTGTCGGGTAGTTACTTCGAGCGCGTAACCCAGAGTAAGCCTGTTTCGCGAGTCGCGTAGGGCATTTTCACACCTGACAGCCCTTCACCTTCAGGATCTACGAAAACCAGTTCGTTTTTGTGAGTCTTGTGAAGTTTGTGGTGATACGGGTACTGTATATGTGGATGACACTTCATAACTGAGACTACAAAGGTGACCCTACAACGACACTACAACGCCTTCACAAGTTCCACCAAGATCAGAACAACGAGGATGATGAAACAGCGAGATCAGGTAGATCAGCACTCAACTTAATCATACTATCACAACGTCTATTCGTCTCCAGCTTTCGTTCGCGCGTTCGTGGACTATCAGCAGAAACGCGGAGGATCAAACACCAGGATCAGCAACTACTCTGACAGACACTTCTACGGCAGCATCTGCTAGTACCACGTGGGCTCCTGGAGAAGTTCAAGGTGATCAGTACCCCTATATGGGAGGTCAGCAACCTCATCAAACGAACACTGAGAACCTCTGGGAGATCCCAGCTGTAGCTTTCGGCATCTACAGCTGTTTCACTAGTCTGTGGACGAGTGTCTTTCTGGCGAATTGGCGGCGTAGTGAAGCCTTTCTCCGCATTCGATGGTACGGCCTACCCAACGGCAATGAGAAGCAACTTGGCTACGTCGAGCCGTTGCGACCTCGGTTCAAGGGGATGTCGATTCGGTCGCCGGTTACGGGAGAGCCGGGAGCACTGCACTTTCCGAGTAGCGTACGGGTTTTCCGGCAGGTCTTGTCCTGGATTATTCTGAGCTCGATGCTAGGCGTCAGCATATGGCTGGTGATCATGATCGGGAAATTGCGGACTACTTTAGTGGAGAAGGTCTAATGATTCTAATACTTTGTAGTTCTCTCCTTGATTGATGGTTAGATATCTTGTTAGCTCCTTCATATACTACATGGTTCTCTCTGAACTTGAAATGTGATCCTGAAGTGTGGATATCAACTGATCCATCGTGTCTCCATTGATCCAACTGATGACAAAATTTCGGGTGCCCCCACCTGAGTCCAATTTATGATGGCCGTTCGGCAATCTATTCCATGCTAATTCTGAAGGATGTAATGGAGACACGTCTGGAAAAAACCAGAAGATCCTCAGGTAAAGCCAGATCTTCAATGTTTGTATCATATTGACTCGAGCATCTCGGATCTACGACTTGTTCTTCCTTCGAATCCTTCAGCTCGGGAACAACCTACTTCTCTATAATGTTTGTTCCCTCGTTTCAGGATTCTAGAATAAACTAGACTGCATCTCCGGATGGGCAAAGACTCTTTCTATGGTGAGTCGCGCACGTCTGGCCCGGGATATCGGGTATGGTGGTTCTGACAATCTGACTCTTCAACGTTAATACACAGTCCGTCTGCACGTGTACCTGTAGTAGATGACTACTACCTACTAGGTAAAGACAGGTACTCGTCTGTACCTGTTGTAGTAGAGCACTACGGAAGTACACGTGCTACCTCCGTTCCGCATCATATGTCAAGCACCCATTTCAATATCCATTTTGATGATGTCTTGGGTGCCGCTTGATGCGTAGAAAAGAAGAGTCTCTCCACGGTCGATTGCCCTGTAATATCTAGTCAGGAATCGCATCACTATCAAGGCTCGACATTTGTATTTCCATGATATGACTGTTTTTTTCGTCCTGCACTCGTCAACAATCCTCATTCGCTAGACTGAAATATCAGGTACCAATCTCCATTACCCATTACTACAAACCATTTTACCACCTGTCTACCACTTCAGGCTACGCCAGACGCCGCTGCTACCGTGAAGCTGATCCAGATCATGACCGGATGGCTGAATACTATTCAGATTAACGTGTTCAATGCTCTGGGGGATTACACAGCCCGTTCGCTCAACGAGTGGGAAAATTATCCTTCCAGACGCCGCTTTTGCAACTCTCTGATCATAAAACTGTTCATCTTTCGGTTCATAAACAACTTCAACGTCTTCTTCTACATCGCGTTTGCCAAGACGCACATAGAGGGCTGCGTGGAGAACGGCGCAGTGACGTACGACGGCCGCGCCTGTGTGGAGGAGCTGCAATTCAACTACGCGTTGATCTTCATGATCCAAGCGGTCAGCAATGTGTGGGAGCTGTATGGTAATAGCTGCACGCCACAGCCCTTGCCTTTCGCGATTCCGCGTTCCTTCTTTGGTGTGCCAAAGTTTCTTGTCATTCATTCTCGTCTCTATCTGTACCATCGTAGTTGTCTTTCTATTTCCAAACCACAAATAATCCCTGCGTTCGTGAAGGCGCCGTTGTTTCCTTTCTGGGACGGAGTCCTATTGATCCTCGCAGGATACCAATTGAAATGACCTTAACTTACGGGTTCTGGTTGTGGGTCCATACTACGTGGTCCTCCGGTTTGTAATCTGGAGTGGCCCAACCTTGGTGGGCTATAAAACTCTGACATTGGTTTGATATGCTCTGATTTGTAGGTCTATTAAAAGGACGGAAATCTGCTGTACCTGTCCCAATGCTTTTTCGCGCCATCTTCCGTCTTGGTCGCTTGCCTTTCTTTTCCGCACTCCACTTCGTCAGGTGCTGTCGTGTCTGCGAAACTATCAAAGACGTTTTCTGGCGGAAGTGCTTCTGCGGCGTCATCTGGAGACGAGCCGACGGCTTCTAGAGCATCTGCGAGAGATAACCATAGTAGTCCACACAACTCTGACACCTCCAACAGACCACTTGACAACATTGCTGGGTATACATCAGACGAGCAGCAAGAGGAAGAACGCGGTGAGAGGACTCTTGCTTCAGATCATCGCGCTCTGGTTGCGACCAATCAGAGCAAGATTTTTAAGCCTACCAATAAGAAGAAGTGCTACTGGCGCTCCTTGCGTACAGTTTTGCAGGATTTCCTGGACAAGCCTTCATACGGGGATCACGAGTTGGACGGCACGTTCGAGGACTGGGTCGAAATCGTAGTCCTATTTGGCGATGTGACGCTTTTTAGTGTGATCTTTCCTCTTGCGCCGTTGCTAGCGATGATACTGGCTTTAGTGGAAATACGCATCGACTCCTTCAAGGTAAGGCTCTACTTTCTTTCCTTCCTTGTCCTCTTCCTTTCACTTCCGTTCTTGTTTTGTTTCTGCTATGCTACGAACCTTTGCGTTTCGACTATTCATCTCCTTTCAACACGTTTCTTACCTGTCACTGTCCTCTGACATCCCTAGCAGCTGCTGTATCCAAAATCCTATGACCATCCTAGGACCATGATGACATCCTTTCGCTGGCACCAGTCAGACTCATGGGGCCTACAACTCCCCATGCTCTGTGGTGATAAGCGATATTGGAGCTGGTCTGACTGTTCTTTGCCATTCTTTTGTACGTTTCGTAACTCAAGATGTAACTCTTAGGTTTAGTTTCACATGATGACACTCTATCGCTGGCACCAGGCAGAAGTATCGGGCCTACAACTCCCGATACATCTATGTTGATTAGCGTTATTGGAGCTGGTCTGATCTTTGTATTCACATTCCGATTCTTCTTCATCAAAAACTCTTTCTACAACTAACGCATTCTTTTCCCTGTATCCCGCTTTCCGCTCGCACTTTGCTTGTCATTCTATTCAGAAGCACCTCTTGTTTACAACCAGATTTTCAAATACCATCGGCGACCGACTCCTCGACGCTGTGTTGGTATTGGGAGCTGGCTCTACTTACTGGAGCTGGTATCCTGGTTCTCGCTGGTAACCAATGCCGCTCTACTGGTATGGACTTTCAACGTCATCCCGACCGACGATCACTGGGTTGCCTTCTGCTTCCTCGTACTAGGACTGGGCATGCTAAAATACGCTTTGGAATTCTTCATTCCGGTGATACCGACAAACATGAAGACAATCGTAGCGCGACATCGACTGTTGCTCGACCGAGTGGCGCACAAGTGCGGCGCAGGGATGTTTGGAGAGAAGAGCAAGGAGGAGAACAGTAGCGTTGGCACTTCATCTAGCAGCCCTGCTGTGGACAGAAATGCTGAAGACAAACCACGGCAACGCGATAAGAGTTCACATCGCTCGATCCACCGCTTTCCGGAGAAGCCACATGAAGCGCCGATAAATGCAAACGATCCTGACGAATTTGTGCATTTGGCGCATTTTGGCTACGATCCGCATGATCTGTTGGAAGCATGATGTCAGCCCTGATTTCCGATGTATGCGGTGAAGGAGAAGAGGCTTATTGTTACTTATTTCCTCTGTGTGAAAGAGATGAGATTCGAATGCTATTTTGTATAGGAGCAACACTTAAGTACCAACTTTCGAGACAGGCCCTACTATGTTTAGGCAAATTATGCGGATGCGCGATGCAACAGATTGAAAATGACAAGATAACTCATTGCGAACCATGCTTAATTTTGTAAACGAAACTCCACCTGATGATGATACGAAGGATAATCGTGCACAGATAAATTTGTCGACTGTAAAGCGCAAAGCACTTCGTAAGCACTCCGCTAAAATGGACACTGAACTTACAGATGTTCACATTGCAAAGCAACCTGTTTCTAGTATCAAGGAAAAATGATACACTTATCATACGGGTGTGAGCAAGGACCGCTTGCAGCTCTTGCACAGGCTGGCCTCCGCAGCTTACGTCGGGGGCTTTTTCGGCCACGGTCTAGAAGAATGTCACATAATTCGAATACCAAAAGCGGAGATCTCACGAAAAGAGAACGACAGAGCAACCTTTCACAAATAAAAGCTGCTGAGAGTGTGGTTACAGCCTACAGGTCAGTAGAAGATAATAAAAGGCAGAAGTAGGTAAGTTGAAGAAGCAAAAATAATGGACCCTACCTCCGCATCAGCCGCCGCTAGTGGTCGCGCCGAGCCTTACTCTGGGGGCCACGCGATCCACACCAACGACCCAGAGCCATCAAGTCAGGAGCCACTACACGCAGATCCCGCAAAGGGAACAAGATCTCCTTCAGTGGTTCCTGGTGCTAGATTGTACGAACGTTTCGTCTCTCCTGGCACCGATCCTCTATGGATCCGAATTACGTTTTTCTCGCTGCTCATCGTCGCTGGTACCTGTTACGCGTACGACTGTTACTTGTCTGGCAGCATATGTCCTCACAGAACGCAGCTACAGAAGAAAAGGGAAAGGGTTCCCAGGATAGTGCGGATGCAACAAGTTGCAGATGCCATGGAAGCGAGAAAGGAGAAAGCAAACGCCATCGCGAGAGCAAGAGTAGCACTGATCGAAGATGTGGCTTCTTGGGATGGTGGAGCAACAGGAGCATCAACTTCAACCGATGCAAAAGAAGGTAATGCAGCAGCAGAGAGACTCGAACCAAAGAAAGAGAAGTAGTACAGTAACCGTTTTCCCGTCTCCAGATTCGTTTGTCCGATTCCTTTGTCCGAGAGACGACATTTGTGCTAAGCAACGAGCTGCTGCATTCAATTTCCTGGAAAAAAAATCGATTTCCTTCGAGTGGCGTGTTCATTCAAGTCGAATAATAGTTTTGTGTTTTCTTGTGTCGTATCCGGTTAGATTATGTTGACCTTTGGAGAGCAAAAGAGAGCACTGCGTCGATTTCTCACTCATCGGGTCCGGAGAGATTCTGCAGGTGATGGCACTCTTATGCACGCGATATTGATTTTCGAAACGGGATAGACAGTCTGCAACCCCGCGCTTTTTCCTTGCCCCCCCGTTGTCGTTTTTTCTGACCGTATTGTGAGTTTACTGAACACCATTATAAATGGCATTTTTCATTCGTTGCAGATTTGTACCTCTCACTGCACAAGCATGTCTTGAGCTGAAAAACCCTAAACACACGAAATTGTTCCTTAATGACCACGACGATCACATCGATGATGATGATTCAAAATCCTCTCTTGTTGCGCTTGCGATGTTCGCTTTCCTTTTCAAAAAATAACCACTGATAACCTTGTTGACGACCACACCAAAATGGACCAGCCATTCACATCTAGCGCTGCTCCGCCTTCGCGCGGTTTCGTCGGAGTACGACGCTCGCACAGACAATCACGCACATTTGTCGGCGCATCACCTTCAGAACTCGTTGGATACGCTGAGTACCCTATCTCTGCGGCTGGTCGCGGCGATGACTTGGTAGTTTCCACTTCATGATCTACATCCATGTCTAGTATGGCCGCAGCAAACAGCTCAACTCCTCCCTTAGCTTCAAATCTGCGTGACACAGACAACATGATGCTGGTACAAGGATCTTCAGCAACTGCAACTACGGGCGTGCCACTACCATTTCCAGGCCACCCTCAACAGCATCTAGCACATCGAGGACACTACCAGGTGTCGATGCTTTCTTCCAACAAAAAGCATCGGATCCAATCCATGGACGTGTTTCGTGGCTTCGTGATGATTGTCATGTGCTGGGACCACACACAGGAGTTTTTGATGCCTCCTGGAGACCCCAAGGACAGCGGTAGTGAAATGTGGTCAGGACCTTTGAAGACATACGACCATTCAGTTAAGGCTTTCTTAGCACCTTCATTCATCTTAGGAAGCCTGTTGATTTTGAAGCTGTCCTCCAAAACGAAGGAAGAGAAAGAAGCATCAGGATGCGCATGAATTTGATTCCAAGATGGATAGGGGTGAGCTCCGCCTCTAATCTAGTCAGTGAATTCTTTGCAAGATGGGTGTCGCACATCTGCGCCCCCGGATTTTTCTTGACCATGGGCATCGGCATGTACCTGTTCACTCATAGTAGGATGCAGAGAGGCACATTGCCGAGAACCTACTCGATTCGTGACTGCGCTTGTGCGTGTTGCAGTTGTGGTTGGCGATGTCTCAAACGGTGTTGGAGGTTTTGTTGCTCCAGAAGGATATTATTCGGTGCTCGTGCTGGTCGTGAAAATGCTAGTGCTGGCGGAGAAGTAGATGCGAATGCCACTGCAGAAGGTGAGGGTGCCAACGCTGGTAGTAACAACGCAGCCCTCGTCGCTGCAAGAGCAGGTTCTCAACAGAACAGCAACAGTGGCAATCATTTGTCCTCAACGTCTAGGAGCAGCAGTGGGGATGACGACGACTCTAGCGGTAGCAGGATACCTATGAGTAGAGCCAGAAGCACTTATCAAGTCGATGGCGCCGATGATGACGACACTATTTGCGAACGGCCTGTGACAATAGAGGGCTATATCAGGCGTTATTTCTTCTTGCGCGGTTTGGTTTTGATCCTCTGCGGGCGAGTGGTCAACATCTGCGAAGTGGGTTGGGTTTGGCTGTTGTTGATGCAAGGGAAGCCTGTGCCAATTCCCTTTGGCCCGATAGATCCAGCGTTGCTAGCATGGTTTCCACTGGTGGGGATATGGTAAGATGTTTTCAAGAACCGTGATGTTTACAGACTGATAAAAGTCCACAGACTTGTCATTTTTTGATCAATTTGTCTTTGTCAACATCTGAACATTATAAAAGTGAACTACTCAGCATTCTCATCACGACGTCTCTCGTCAGGCAAGTCCTCGTCGGCCTGGGCATGTCGATGATTATCGCTGGTCTCTTCGTGCCTGTCCTCTTCCACTACAAGCGCTTTGGTGCTTTGTTTTTGACGCTGCTTGGTTTCGCTGTCTTCGGCTTGTCCTCCTATGTGATTGTGACAAATCAGGATCCTGGCGATGCGGCCAAGGATGCAGACGTCTTTCCTAGATCCTTGTATCCAGCAAACACGTGGTCTGAAGTCGCACTACGTTTCCTCATCCTACCTGGTCGCACGGCTTTCGGCGTAGTGGCTTACCCTCTGTGTCCTTGGGTAGGCGTGGTGCTGTTAGGAATGGTTTTGGGCTCAGTGTTGTTTCAGCCGTTGATGAAGCATAGTGGGTCGGATGAAGCCATCATTCACGCTGGAAGGACCAATGTTAAGACTACCGCTATTAAAGCATCCTCAGGCTCAGCATCATCCTTGGCCCTTTTTCTACCTGATGAAAAAGAAGCCGAGGATGCTCCCACTCTCAGGCGCTAACCATGGATCCTTGACGTCGAACGGCTCTTCTTCTTCTCTGCGAAACCGAGGATTCTTCCGCAAGTTTCCTCATAGATCCAAGTGGCTGGAGCCGATTTTGGCGATAATTGGAGTGCAGTTTCTGGCACTGTTCATGTTCTTGCGGTTCCGGCTACCAGCAGAGTATGCGAAATGTTAAGGTCGTGACTGCAACGTAGATCATGATTCATGATTATCATCGTATCCTGTGTGGCTGTAGTGGTGGACTAATTATATCTGTAAGAATCAGGGGGAACTGATTTCAAGGGGAACTGCTCTACTGAGGGGAGAAAACAAAAAGAAATTGGCCATTCATCTACGGATATTAGTATTTATAGTATTAGCAATTCCCAGAAATCTCTTAAGGAGCTCCCTTAAGGAGCTTCCTTAAGGCGCTTCCTTAAGGAAATCAGTTTCCTTAAGGAATTTTTATTATAAAAAGTTATTATAACTTTCCTTAAGAGGAAAAAAATTCCCTTAAGGAGGTCCCTTAAGGGCAAGCTGTTACAAACTTGGGCTAATAACAGCGGCTCCTTAAGGACCTTGCTAGTACTACGAGTCCAAAAGTGTCAAGAACGTGCTAACGTGTTCGCGGCTGTTAGTTTGTAGGCTACTCACGTACACCAGCCACATCCGCAGCAAGACACTACGCGCCCACCCCTAGCGAATCGCCCCAACGAACTTCCAACCGCTACCCTTGTCATATATCGCCCAGCGCCTTTGCTTTTTTTCAAAAACTTCAGGGAGGTCATTCAAATACAGAGAAAGCTGAACGACCTCCCTGAAGTTTTTGGAAAAAAGTTAGCTCGCTCCCCTTCCGCGACTACCTTCCGCGCACAGCAATCGACCACGGCACAGGAGCGCGCGGCAGCCCTTGGAGGTCGATGGTTGACCAGTATACTCCTAACCAGCACAAAAGCGGGAGAATTGTAAGGGAGAGGGTGAGCACTTGAAAAGGTAGAGGCTGACGAGCGTGATCGCATTGATTCGCGAGAAGGCCAAAGACATACATCGCGGCGCTTCAAAGTCGTAGCCGTAGAGGATGTCGATGGCTGTGAGAATGATAGCCGTGCGCACTTGCGTGTCTGAAGGGTGGACCCTGGTGAGCATCATCATATCCATGAGAAGGCCAAAGGTGTGCAACTTTGCGTGTGAAAGTCGAAGCCGTTGAGGATGTTGATGTCTGTGAGAATGATAGCCGTGAGGACTTGCATGTCTGAAGGGTGGACCCTGGTGAGCGTCATCATATCCATGAGAAGGCCAAAGATATACATCTCTGTGTATGAAAGTCGAAGCAGCTGAGGGCGTCGATGTCTGTGAGAATGATAGCCGTGAGGACTTGCATGCCTGAAGGGTGGACCTTGGTGAGCATCATCATATCAACGAGAGGGCCAAAGACATACGCCTCGTCTCTGTGTGTGAAAGTCGAAGCCGTTGAGGATGTCGATGTCTGTGAGAATGATAGCCGTAGCCGTGAGGGCTTGCATTTCTGAAGGGTGGACCCTGGTGCGCGTCATCATATCCATGAGAAGGCCAAAGATGTGCGTCTCTGTGTTTGAAAGTCGAAGCCGTTGAGGATGTCGATGCTTGTGAGAGTGATAGCCTTGAGCACTTGCGTGTCTGAAGGGTGGACCTTGGTGAGCGTCATCATATCCATGAGAGGGCCAAAGGTATACAGATCTGCCTGTGAAAGTCGAAGCCGTTGAGGGTGTCGATGTCTGTGAGAAAGTAGATAAGGGTGGACCTTGGCGGGCGTCATCATGTCCATGAGAAGGCCAGGCGCATGCATCTCCGTCGGTGAAGGTTGAAGGCTGAGGACGTCGATGCCTGTGTGTGAGAATGATAACTGTGGGCCATTGCATGTCTGAGGCGCGGACCGTGGTGGGCGTCTTGCGTCATGTCCATGAAACAGCCAACCCTATAGACACATCCCCGCGCCTGAAGGTTGGGGCCCAGCTTCTGGCTCTGCGCATAGATATGCCCAAGCGTGGCCTTCTCATGGGCCTCGTCCATGACGCTCGCCAGTGTCAGCCTTTTGCCATCCCATGGGTATGCTATGCTTTAGGATTCTCCTGGACATGATCACACTCAAAAGGGCCCAACCTCTGTGCCTACATATGTCCAAGCGTGGCCTTCTCATGGACTCCATGACGCTCAGCGGGCCAGCCTTGGCGCCCATTGGCTTGCCCCTAGCAAGCAAGTTGGCCAAGGCAGTAGCCATAGGGGTAACCTCCTCACTAGCCTCGCCACAGTGGGGGCCAGCTTCCCAGCCTTGGCGAGCAGACTTGGCGACTTTTTTCGTTTGTCTTTCTGTCTCTTAGTAGTCAACCTGTCGAGCTGTTAACCTATGCCCAGCGCAGCGGGCCCTTGATGGGCCCGCTTTCTGGGCATGTAGTCACAATGTGAGAAGACTACCTCTAGTACCTCTAAGAATAGTTTTCCTTTCGCGGTTCGCCGAGAGGCGAAACGGACTCCCCGTTCGAGGGGAAATTTACGTTTTGCAAGTATCCACCGGACGTTTGCTTTCTACTCTTCACCACAGGCGTCAACTTCCTGCTGTGGGCGTTTTTGTCTACATCTGTTACTGGCAGTGGTGGAGATGAGAATTCCATTAAGGCTTTGTCATAACACTGTCCTCGTACTAACTACTATACCTAGAAAGTGTCTGTTCCTGTTGGCTGCAACTGCAATCATTTTGTTGACGAGATGAAGCATCGCTTTGCTTTCCTCGCTACTTTTCTAAGAAGAAAACAAGCGGGCGACGATGACTCTCGTCAGGATGACTTTATTATGCCAGCTGCTCTAACTACAGTTCATCCATGCGCGGAGGACGTTCTTCATCTGGCGGTCGTGTCGCGGAAGGTGCAGCCTTTAGTTCGTACAATCTCGATATCAGAGGAGAGTCTTACCACATCCACTTACGCGACGAAGATATCGGAGTGATCAGCCCTCATCGAAGTCGAGGAGGGAGGGAAGAGGAAACTGCAAGAGCGCTACGGACCGATTTAGTAGTTAAGGGTACATCTTCTCGACGTTCTGGTTCTCCTAATGATCCAGGAGACAACTCAGGCTCAGAGGATCCAAATGGAGGGCTCTTATTTGTGGATGGTAGAGATCTGCCATTTTTGGAGAACTACAATACCGGTTCCACGGCTCCTACGATATCACCTCCTTCTACAAGTAGCACGCTGGACACGGACTATTCCCTACAGCATTAAGGCTTGGGAGTTGACATCTCTATGCGCGTCTCTATGTCTTCTTCAAGTAGGAAGGCCACAGATATGCGAGCTAGAGATGCCAACTTTCAACCCCTAACAGCATCATCCAGCCTATCTTCAGTCGCAAGGAAACAGCAGAAGTCGGCGGTCAGCTCGATGGATTTCTTACGGCTTCCACTTTCATCTCACTACGTTCTCACTACATAGAAATACTGGTCGTCTTAGAAAGTCCTAGGTTCATCTTATTATTTGACATACTTTCTGTTTCTTGGAGGGGAAAAGTAAGGGAGGTCAAAATGAAAGATGCTCTGCGAGATACATTGTGGTACGGTCTAAATCTCCTCATGTCTGGCAAGATGGTTTTTCTTTCCAGCCTGCTTGCTCCGATCCATGAGGAATATGCTGCATCTTGTGGTGTCTTTTGTGGGCATCTGTGGAAGGTGTCTGCAGGAACAGGGAAGGATTGCTAGAAGATGCAAACGCGAATTTGCGTCCTTCTTGAACGCTTTTGGCCAAGTCCCCCTCTTCTTTTACATGACGCACTACATGGCCCTGTCGCTCTTCACGATAGTGGTGAAATGGGTTAATAATTTACGGCAATGAAAGACTAAGAAGAGATCTGTAACTCTATCTGCTTGTGAGTGCTCCATATTTATAACAATTTCAATTTAGCGAGCAAATTGAACAAATTGGATTCAGATCAATCATAAGTATGTGAAAAACACGACCTTGCCGTACGGTAATACGTCTACTAAGAGGCTCACTCACGATTACAACATTCTAGATCATCCACTTTTGTTCCAAACATCATCTTTTCCAAACATCATCTCCTCTAACTTTTCCAGCAGACCCTGGCTCAGGCCCTGAGTGGCCACGAATTGCGCTTTTGCCTATTTGGTTGGGAGTTGTCTTGCTATTGCGAAAGCCATGTGAGATGTACAACGTTTTTAAGCGGAGGACAGACCCGGATTCATTGTGGAGGCTGTTTTAGGGATAGCCAAGGCTGTTTTAGGGATAACCAAGGCTGCTTTAGGGATAACCAAGGCTGTTTTAGGGATAACCAAGTCTGTTTTAGGGATAAGCATGACACTGTTTAGGGAAAACCATGACAGCGATTGATTCACGTACTCGAAAACTGAAAATAAGCGAGTTTCTGAATGAAATAGAAGGGTCGTTACTACATTCCTCTTCTTTAAGTATCTCGCATTTCAGTTTAGCGAATACATAGCGATAGCTCCAAGTCCAAAGCAAATTATACTGCGAATACAAACCTTCGGTGGATGCACCAGTATTTTTACTCTGTCTCATTCTCTTAATACTCTTTCATCTCCTTCGCAAAGGTCGATCCCAACATTTATTCCACAATGTTACTTTTTTTAGCAGGCCTTGACGGGTACACTTCTCTGCTGGTACTAGTTGTAAGTCGTAATCTGTATCTGAATTAAGCTACCCGGGCAGACCAGGTAAAATAAGATCGAGGGTCGCAACTGCCACGAGGAGCAGGATCTATGAGCAGCATAATAGTATTTCATTTTAAGATCCAAAAATGCTCAGAAGGAGGATCAGCACTAGGAGCTCCAATGCTCATAATCAAGAGAATTTCTCAGGAGCACTACTGAGATCGACAGATCGACCCACTGAGATGTGAAGATCGAAAAGTCCCGACCTCCTCCTCCAACCAGAGAGATCTTTTGGTCTTGGACGTACAGGTGGTGACTATTAGAGGTTGTACTTACTTCTACGATGATCCAGATGTTGAACAAGAACAAGTTGTACTACAAGAATTAAGATTGAGATCAAAGAGTTCGAGTAACGCCTTGACTTTTCAAAAATACAAGAAGAAAATTTCGGGAACCAGTAGCGATAGAAGAGACGTCCAAAGTAGAATCTCGTTGGCGATTTCTTATTGGAAAACTATATTGATCCTTGATCAAGCTATTGCTATTCAGGCGCCTTCAACCCCTGGGCCTCAATCCTGTGGTCACTTTTTTTGATTTTTAGTATTGGCTTTGACTCTCTCGAAGTTTGCTTGACATATAATAAGTTAACGCACCCTCAACCAACCACGGGACAACCAGCTGCGCAATTGGCCTAGTCAAACTGCCAGCACTAGTCATCTTCAAGACCAAGTAAAAAGATGAACAAGATGTCGCGAAGCAGTGGAAGCTTCTTCGGCAGTGGACGAAGCTTCTACTTCGTTTTTCTGCGGCTGCCGTTGCTCGCCTTTATCGGGGTGACACCCGTAACAGCGTTTTGCAGCGGAGTAACCGATGAATTTGGCTACATTCGCGTCGACAACGGTGACGACTTCATTCTTTATGGATACAGTGGCGAAGCCGGAAGAGACCACGGGCGTGGTCACGTCCAGTTGAAAAGCAGAGAGCATTGCGTGACGAAGGACTCTTGGGCGACCGGTCGGATAAGATCCAAGCGTCCCCTCTCGAATTGGAGAAGCGAAACCCGATCGACGGGGTACCGCTCAACAATGACCACGTTTTATTGTTACATGGATTCTAGCGTACCTGCGGCAGAATATGTCAGAGATTGCACCGCGGAAGAATTGAGTGAAGCCAAGGAGAGGATAGAGAATGCGAAACGGCTAGCGCGGCTTGACACCATCTACTTGTGGTGCTTCCTTCTTGGGCTTCTCGCGTTCGTGATTGGCACCGTTTGGATCGTTCACTGTTGTTCCCAAAGGAACGGAAAATGTGGGGGAAGCAAAGACAAGGGGGCGTACGACTTGTCTACGGTGTCGTCTGATGAAGAGCATGACCTTGAGCAAGGCGAGTACGAACAGAACGTGGACGCTGAACATCAAAGAGAAAATGACGAGATCAGCAGTAGAAGAACTGTATGAAGATACACTTGATAAACGCAAAGGGGCAAATTATAGATCAACCAAGTGGAACGTACTGAATGACAGAGAAGTGGATCTGGTTCAGTTATTTTTTGGCTTTTTGGTCGGGTAGGTCTAGGTTTACTGCAAAGAGTTTGGCTTTGGAAATGTATGAGTGGGTCAGTGGTGCTGGTAGAGCTGGGGTACACGTCCTCCACTAGTGCATTATGAAGAAACAAGTACAGCTACGTTCAGTCACGTGAGTACTGAGTAAGTATGTAGAGCCGCAGTTCCTTGCGCCACACAAGCATCTTAAGGAGCATGAGTTGGATCATCCTTGCGTCACACAAGCATATTAATCATGAGCATGAGTTGGATCATCCTTGCGTCACATAAACATAATGAGCATGAGTTGCATTCTTGCGGATGCGTCCCACAAGGAAGTATAAAGACTATGAGTTGGATCCATGCGTCACAGAAGGTCGAGTAAACTGCGTGACTCATCATAACGGAAGAAGATTGTTGCGTTTTGCAAGTTTGAGATTCATGTTCTCCGAAGTATTATGCGCAAGAGGAAGGAAGATGGGATAGGGGTTGATCATCAACATTTTGTAATGTCTTCATGGCGCCAATAAAGTAGAGATCATGACGAGTCGGAGGAGGGTAAATAATTCGGAGGAGGTTTAATTTCCCTCCCCCCCCGGCTCTTTCCTTGTATGATGCTGGGTCGGTGCTAGCGACGCTTCCCTGCACCCGACGGGAGCGGACTTGCCGATTCTCTATTTTGAAGACTTGATCTATTATGACATGACTTGTCATTTTGGCTCAAGTAAATGTCGTGCCCAGCTTTTCTAAGCGAAATGTGCACGTGAGTTTTGAGGGAGATCCACTGTGCCGGATCTTATATACGAGGGATAGAGTAGATCAATCATGGCTCATACGTGGTAGTAAGTCGACTCTCTTTCATATTCGGCACAAAGGTTTCGGTTTATATAAGTAATTGAGTATCGCATGTCGTCGAGCCCCGATCGTCGCCGGGGTACGTTCTTTTCCCTGTTCGGCTTTTCTACAGCGGTGGCCGTTGTGCTGCATCGTTTGCGTAATCGTAGCGCCTGGCCGTTGTGCTTCAGGCTTCCCGCGGGGTAATTAAGTGGAATTATAGCGGGAAATTGTAGACCCAGGTCCCAAAAAAAAAAAGATGCGTGAATGAGTGAATGAATAATGACGTAGCTACGATCTTTGCGAGGTACTTGCTGACTCATATCGTTCTATTATATGGTGGAAGATGACCACTTGAGTCGCATATGATATTATTTAATCGTGGACCTAAGACCGCTGATCAAGAACAAATGATGACAACAGCACACACATATCCAGAAATTAAGTTACAACAATGTTGTGACACCTCAAATTTTCATCATACTCTTATTACAACAACCAGATGAATTCTTCTACTGAAGCGATCAATTCTTCTACTACTACTAATGAATTCTTCTACTACTTCTCCGCGCACTTGGTAAGTGCTGGCCTGCTGCTGTCGTTGAGCTCTCGCTCCATACTACGACGCGGCTCGCCGCGGGGAGGTCCGGCGCTTTGGGGCTGCCTTGGCGCGGCGCGCCGGCTTCTGACTAAATGCCCCCGGCGTTGTTTCTCTGCTGTTTTCACCGCTGCACCTGCTTACCCTTTTTCGGTGTTGGTTCGAGGTCTGCCCAGGCTTCTTCTTACTTACCATGACGGCACCGGCAAACGCACCCGGACCGCGGCGCCTCTTGTTAGGACTCTCCTGCATTTGCCTAGCGCGTCGCTGTGCTTCAGATTCCGCCCGCCGGGCCGTCTTTAGGTCTGTGGATAACCGTCTATCCTTCTCTTAATAATAATACATAACCAGAAACTATTACAACAAATTCTCTCATCTTTTTACCTTTTCTCTTTCTCTCTGCTTCCTCCATTAAACCTTCTGGCACTTATCTCACGCTTAATCAGTTATTACAGCAACCAGATGAATTCTTCTACTACTGACACCGTCCTCACCGTGTTCTACAACTCTATTGGGCAGTACCAGTACCAGTCTACAGGGAGATGAAGGGCTCTGTGCTGCGGCCGGTGGATTGCCTCTGTCTGGTCGTGTCTGTTCACCGTGCGTGGATTTGTCTTCCTCGCCGCGTCTTGGGGCTGCAGATGGTGGCGCGGATGATGAGTCCTCGTCCGATATTTCCATTAGCTCTGCTAGCAGTGACCGGAGAACAGCCGCTGAGGCCTTCCTAGCGCGAGTGCTTGACGAGTATCGGGCGCTGTTTGGTGAGATCGTCTCCTTCCCATTCTTCCGACGGTCCGATGGCTCGCCACTGTCTGTGCCGAGTGTTTTTGCCCCATACAACATACCAGCAATCCGATGTGTCTGTAGTGATTGCTCGCCCCGGAGGCATTCCTGGGCTGGTGGCGCACTTGTTGGGAGGCGCTTTGGGTCTGTCAGGCTTGCTTTTGCACATATGAGGCACCATAAGGAGAAGGAGGGCGTAGCCCGCTTCGCGAGGGAGGTCAAGCCACCTACTGCCCCGCCCCAGCGAGCTGCCACGGGGGTCGCTCGCCAGCCACGACCTGACACTGTTAGCGGCAAGCGGGTTAAGAAGCCCGCTTTAGCGTCCTCTGGCTTATCGATAGCTCTACCACCGGGAGTTACGGCACGCCCTGGACATACGGCTGACAGTCAGCTCCTTCTGGTCCGCCGTTGCTATGTCGACTCGTCTAGTGGGCGCCGGACTGTTACTAGGTCTGTTGACACACGCAACTATGAGGATCCTGATGCTGCTCGGGCCTATGCGTGCTCACTCCTCTCCGACATGATTGAAGAATAGGCCCGAAGAGTGCGCGCCCGTCGTCCCGAAGCGAACAACAAGCAAGAAGGGAGACGCCCCCGCAGCATGTGCCTCCTCGTCGCCAAGTGGCGTGACTGAACTGTTGCAGGGATGTCTACTATGAAGAGTCTCAGTCTTTTGATTAAGTTTGAGCTTTGAAGAAGTGGGGGGCTTCTTGGTGGGGTTTGACAACAGAGAGCTTTTTCAGTGACTTCCTCTTCTAGTTCTTCTTTCCTTTTGCAACGAAGGGCGTGTTTTAACTAAGTAAAAGGAGGGGGGAGGGAGAAAAAAGAAAGAACGCTACTACTCTTCGTAAGGTTTGGGAAACTTCTTAAGCACTCCGCCCTGTCTTACCACAGCTATATCATACTACACCGCAAAGGTTTTTTTTTGGCTCTATTTTTTTGAATTCCAAAGTGAAGGAACTTACTCACCCGTGTTTATCTTTTTGACACCCGTACGGCCACTCGCGTGATTTGGTGTCTATAACAAAGTAAAAACAGAAGTCCTTAACTTAAAGCCACTGCTGCCCTTACAGCAGACACCCCTAGTACGTCCATTTTTGTGGTTTGGTGTCTACGTACCTAGAAACCAAAAGTAGTCTGCTGCCCCCCTTCTTTTTATAAAGAAACAGCGAAGTGTCAGCAAAGTGCTAAACTAGTTATTGTCTGGTGCCTGGTTGACTCCCCTACGGCCACTCGCGTGGTTTGGCGTCTCCCTCCCAGTCGGTGCGTGGTCTCTGTTAAACAACTCCTTCAGCTAGGTTAATAAGTCTAAGCGTAAAAGTGTAGCCAAGAGCTATAAGGGAGTAAGAAAGGTAAAAGCAACTGTCGCCATCGTTATACTTAGTTCCATCGCTATCGGTTGCTGTGTCGTCTGCTCAACAGAGAAAGTCTCACTTCGTAAGTCAACCTCAAGTCTAGTTAAGTGCCAGGTCGTTGGCTTATCTAATCTACCTATCTTTGCTCCATTTTGTGTCTCTCGTTTTTTCCCTTATTGCTCTCTAAGGCATTGACAAAACTTCCAAAGAATTAGCCCACTCGTTGGAGCCGATCCCCGGGTAAGTCGTCCCCCTTTATCCCTCACTTATCTCTTCAGAGACTGTGGCTCGGTATAACCTACCTTTTTCATGACTTCACAAAAAAATACCTGAATGATCTAATGGAACAGATTCTGTCGACATATTATTCTTATTTACGAACCACGATTTCGTCTTCCTATGCTCCAAAGATATCAAGCGGTCGGCGATGCCGCTTAATTTAATTGAATACGGTTACAAAAAAGAGTTGGTTTGTATTTAGCAAGGTCCGTTTCGTTTTTTACCCGATCTATCTGTTGCTAGTGTAGTTATGTGAGTAATCCAAAAATCATGTAGGTTCTCTTCGTCAGTAACCTCACTCCACGCTGAGCAGGCATGTAATACCCTTGCAGGTTGGCGCACTTGCTCCCAGGGCCCTACATTGTTAGGCTGTGCCTTATCTGTTCTACAGAGGCTATTGGGTTATAGCTCTCTCAGATAGTCTTAGAGTTTGGCCGTTGTGACGCGGTCTTCTTGCTCCCCCGGTATGTAAGTTTTTAAATGAGGTTATTTAAGTAGTTGAATGGGAGGCAGCGTGTAGTCCTATGGGAAAAAAAAAAACGCCGCAGATTTTGTGCGAGTAATGAATGAGTGAATGAATGAATTGAGATTGAGTATTCTTCTGATTCTTTCAAAAGGTGCCATTGAGTACCTGTGCCAGTGCAACTATATGTAGATGAAGCACAAGAATAAAGTTTATGCTACGTCGAGAGAAGAAGCACTTGATCGGCAATCAATAATTACGACTTTACCACTCCAGAGACGAGACAAAGAAAAAGCTATTACGATTTCTTAGGACGACTGGAATTCCATTTGCTATTTGGTTCTTGATCAACCTAAGACGTTTAAGTACTTTTCTTTTAGAAACAAACAAGTTTTTAATTCATTGTTAGTTTTGGTCTTGGATTTATTTTGGCTAAGAGTAATCACATTTTAGGAGCAGCAACAACAACATTCAAGGTCTTCCTCATTGTTAAGACGGAGAAGAAAGAGCTATCAGTCACGAGCAATAGGGTTAACAGGAGATTGAAAGAACTTGAACAAAGAAGAAGTAAGTAAGTACTCAACTACTAGCGCGAGAAGAATCAACTACACTACGAATCAACTACACTACAAATCAACAAGGACATCTTCAACAACAGAACTCATAGAACATCAGGTAGAACAACTCTAGAACTTCTCCTTCGGACTATATCTGCTAGTATTCCTAGTGGGCCCACACCGAACCTAATCTTCGGACGAGTAATTACAAAATGATGATGTCCTCGTCTGCAGGTACAGAAAACCTAAAGCCGGGCGCTGCGAAGGCTCCGACAGCTCGCTCGTGGATCATCATTATTATGGTGGGCGTAGGAGTGGCAGCAGCTCNCACCCCGGTTTTATGGAAGCTTGACGTGGATGCAAACGAGGTAACTAGTGAAATAAGTTCAGCCAAGTGGACTTACCGCCCGGCTCTCGAGGATGTGACTTCAGAGTTTCGTAGGAAGCTGTTGGACGCGGAGAGTCTAAAGGAAGATTTTGAGTCTAGAAAAAGGAGAAATTCGAGTGCGTTTGTGCTCATCATGAACTCGGCACACTGCTTTAATCTGTCAAGCTCGGGGGAACCGAGTTTGGGGCAAGTGGAAGTGAGTCTGGGAACGCCTCATGAACGAAATCCTCTATCCGACGACGCACACCAGCCCCTGCCTTGGCTCCCAAAGGAGATTGAAACTCGACGCGCGGCGATTTACTATCCGGAATATTTGGGTGCAGGCTTTGAAGACGGAGAATTGAGCAGCGTCCGCGTGTTGAATGGTATAGCGTCAGCTCGTGAAGAACATATTTTCAACTTACCAGAGAGGAAGGACGCAATTCAGCATGACTCAGGGTTTCTGCACAATATGCCGCGATTCAAGGTTATACATGATGCCGAAGGACAAGCTCATCACCGCGTCGTTGCCGAGACCACTTCGCAGTTTGCGCGCAGTATTGGCTCCAACGAGGGGGGGGTTACACGACCCGAAGGACAAAGCACACTGACACAGTACGCAAATTCGGGCGAGGACAACTTAGTGATGCAGGCCCTGCTGTGGCTGTTTGACTGGTCTCGGTCTCTGTCAGACACTGTGGATGAAGGAGCAAATATGGGAAGGGTCCAAGCCCTAAAAGAGCATCTCCTTGGAAACCTCCCAACGGAGGATAAGTGGATCAGGGAGCAGCGCCGCGGTATACTTGACGATTTGCGTTCCATGATCAATTACGACTTTTCCGGGACACGACCTTTCCACTATGTATCCATCTGATGGCCCACTTGCCAAAGCCAATGTTGGTGGCATCATGTACTTCGTGATTGTGAACTCTATTGACCTATGGAATCAGCTGCAGGTCTTCGAAAATGTGCGTAGGGAGTATATCTATGCTGCCGTGATCGATGCCATTGCTCGTTTGATGCTGAACTTGATTTTGACTCCGGAGCACGTTGCGGAAGGGTTTCTCTCTGCCGCGTGCGCCAGCAGCCT